TCCTCCTTCTGCTCCTCCTTCTGCTCCTCCTTCTGCTCCTCCTTCTGCTCCTCCTTCTGCTCCTCCTTCTGCTCCTCCTTCTGCTCCTCTTTCTCCTCCTCTTTCTCCTCCTCTTCAATTTTCGTCGAGCTCAGTTGATTGCTCTCGTCCTTATTTCCTCCCTTCAAAACAGGCTCAAGAAAACTCAAACTCTCCTCGATGGTAGCCATCAAATTCGCTGCCTTCTTAGCAACTTTCTTGCACTCTTCGCCCAAGTTGCTCGCTTCCACATCTTTGAAACCCTTCAAATAAAAGTGCCATCCCTTCAGTGATAGCTCATCTTCCCCGGATTCCCCAGCACGGATCTGCTTAAACGTTTCTAGGCCATCCCATAGAATGAATTGAGCTGCAGCGATTACACGTTGGTCCTGCTCGCCTTCGAAGGGGAAAAACCCCCAGTAGACATCCCTGACTTGGAACGCGTCACGCAGTGCTTGATAGGCAAACCAATGATCGTGTTGAACAGCATTCACCGCTGATAAATGCGCATAGAATGACATCCGGTTCGGCCATTCTTGGGGATTTTCTGGATTCGGTCCTAAAGTGAAACATGATTAATGGGCTGACTGGCTTCATGTGGGTAGCTATAATGACTAACCAAACTCGTATCTTTCGGCGAGCGATATTGCGAATCGCTCACCACGTGTGCCCTATACATCGGGTTAGTGCGTTAAAAGAAAGTGATTGGTTCAGTTCACACACAGTTTCAGAGGACTCGGAGAGCTTGGATGATGTTGTCAGTAAATGCGCGATCTGTGCGAGCCTCAATTGCGAGGGGTGGTGCCATGGGATCTGATCTGCAATCTCTAAGATGATATCGCCTGTTATGCAAGCTTCCGTGGACAACGGGGCATCGGGAAGAATTGCCCGGATATCATGGATTGTCCCCCAGAGAGTCTGCTCTGTCGCAGGTTGAACGAATTCTCGAAGGATTTTGAACACTGTTGTCCCGCGAAAGTCTGTGGTTCGAGAATAACAATACTTTTTGCCAGTATCGCTGTCGTCGATAACGTCTTTGGTCGAATGATCATGCATCTCCCAGGCAGCAAATTTGAGCTCGAGAGCTGACATGGCGGATATTGAATGTGGGGTGGAAACAGGATGGAGGTTTGTGAAGGTTCAAGTAAAAGACACTCTGAGATGCGATGGATGTGCTGAGATTGGAGTAGATAGTTTGAGACTGCGGCTTCTCTTATGCAAACTGCGAACTTAGGAAGCGCGCGGTATGATCTCCTTGAAACAGACTTATGTAGCGTATACCCACTAAATATGGGAAAACCCCCTGCTTTATCCGTGTCCACGGAGGTGGGGTGTGCTTGGAAGCGCCGGGATCGGCAACCGTTGGCGCCGAGGCTGAATACCACTCAATTCTCAAACAATGTTTTGATCAAGATGAGACATGTACGATCCAATAAAAAGGTTTGAATAATCGCTGCTGATCAAATTGACATGATCAATAGCTAGGTCATTATCTGTTATTTCAAGCTGTCGCTTAGTCGTTGGATACAAATCCCCCAATGCGCACGCCTGCCGCTGCCATGCATATCACTTGCATGGGCGCAACGGCTATTTTGATTTTCAATCCTTTTCTCATCTCCGATGCAGATACGGAGTGGAAACCGGTAGTTGGAATACCATGTAAATAGAGCTATAAAAGTCAGTATTATCTTCTCCAACTCCAATACTAGCTTGCCAACATCAGCTATTCTTCTACTACAATCTGTCTCAATTTAAATCACCATGGGATTCACATTTTGGGGTCCCAAGAAGGAAGAGCAACGTTCGAAGAAAGAGAAAGGCCCAGAGCGGACACAGTCTGACCTGACAAACAAGTTGCAAGATCCACGTATACCAGTGGTCAGTATTATTCCCCTCGCTGTCAAAGACTCCCCATTCCTTGTCCCACTGCCAGGATAGAGACCAGAGACACATATTAATAGTACTATTAGGCCTATCAGGTTCGACCCAATGCGGCTACCACGTTAGAAACAGGCGAAAGAATACCGTACAGCCATGAGCTTATCCCCCGGGCTGATGTTGAAGGATATCTTCAAAAGGCACCACTGCCTGTTCAAGACCCAGGAGCAGCGTCTGCTCCCCAGACTTTAGGTCTTGGACCCCGGCAGCGGGGTCCGAACATGATCCGCCCCAAGGAATTCAAGAATTACGGTCGAGTCATTCCGCGAACCGGTCATTACACAGAATACCCAACCATGGACTACCCTTATGACAATCAAACTGCTGAAAAAGGCGCGTTTCAGGCCCGCAAAACTCAGAAGGGGACAATGGTCCAGGAGCGCGTGAATCCTGGGTATGTTCGGACCATCACCGATCAAAATAAACATATTGAAGCCGTGCTCTACCACCCCGATACCAAGAAGGCTCACGGTGCCCCTCTACCCCCCAAGGCCACCGGTAAAGCCCCAAAGCCCAACATCAAGGGCCACAGCGGTGCACTGTATCCTGCACAGGAGGTTTTCAGAGCCCAAACCTTTGGTCCAAGGCAGACTGTGGGACTCCCTGTGTCCAAGGGTTGAGCCACGCTTCAATCCTCATTTCTGTTCATGATACGTCTATCCATATGGTGATTGGGCCTGCAATTTACAGTGGTATCCTTTCTATTGGGATGCAAATCATCGTTACCGATGGTCATGTTGATTTTTGAATGGAGTCAGAATTCAAGGTAGATTGGGCACCTTATCTTTTCATGACTGCTCTAGAGTTGTCGAGGAACTTCAAAAGCTCTAAAGTTTGTATGCACACAGGTGCCCAGGTGGTTCCTGAAGTCATACACCTCATGTATTTATTTGTTGGATAAAGGGGTCTTTTTTTCTTTTTCTTCCTCCTTAGGTTGTAGAGGCATACATATTTCCTCTAGTGATCCGTAGACTGGTTGTCATGTAAGAGGCTCAAAGGCTGTGGTGGAGTATTAGAAAGCATCAGCCTATCGGGCATACCTGTGATGCATGTCTTCTCCACCTATTCCGAACAAATTGGGAGATCGTACGGAGTACTCCCTATTTATGTAGGGATTCTACTCAGATACAGCCACAGGCGAAAGGGCAGGAGAGATCAGGGGTCTAGCTAGTTGGCTACACAAGCTCTATACATAATAATTACGAAGTGGTTACGGGGTCCAGTATGTTCCGTAATACATTTTGGAATAATCTGCAACTACTATGTGTTTCTGGTACATTATGCAATGGTATGATTTATTGGTGGTATCTGTCCCAACCTGCGGGAAATATGTGGATTGGACCTGGTGAAGACTTTGCATCATGTTAGCAATGATCAATAGAAGTCATGAAGATAAACAAGTCATGGAAGTTCAATCAGATAGCAGTTGGTACAATTTTGAGTCCACATGGTTATTCAGAACAGGTCTGTGTGAAAAGGTTGCTTCATCATAGAGAGCTTGAGACAAAAGGAGATGTAAAAACTCACGTTAGGAGAATTGAAGCTTCCCTATGCATCAAATAAATGAATGGCATAGGGACAGCTTTTGACAATCCCAAGTCTTGGCATGGCAAGTCAGACACAAGCTTCATTGTGCTCGAGCTGGCTTTCCATGCCAGAAAAAACTTGTGTAGCCCTAAAGGTTGCATCAACCAAAGGCTGTGGGAAACCCGCAAAATTCCAGTAGCTCATCGGGGCATTTCTGAAAAAATCAAAGGGATGTTGGAAGAAGAGAAAAAATTCGAAACTGCAGTGTCGTTAAATACCGAGGAGTGGATACGCTTTGCATCGTTTGCACTGACAAACAAAAAAAAAAGTGGTGGTAATTTCATGCAATTCCAGTCCCTCACTTTTTCTGTGCAATTATTCTTTTCTGAAAAGTCCTTTATATTCAGTGAGCAATTCTCTGCGCATCCTGATACCGTAATTAGCACTAACAAATACAAGATGGCCGATCAAGAGACGCCCAGCTCGGCGGAGCACCAGAGTGTGTGAGATCATAGCGAATTTCACGAAAAAGACTAATAGATCCAGCTCCTACCAAGCCTCCCTTCCAGAACGTGCGTACTGATGGTCGAGCTTTTGCCTCTCCCAACTGGCGCACCAAAGGCAGCCCTGCTGCTCCCTCGGCCGACGCCAGCCCGGCCCGAAGCCCCAACCCGAACCTCAATACCTCCCGTGCGGCATTCAGTCGGCCCGGCGCCCATGTCTCGCAAGCAATCAGTGACGGACGTCGTCTGTATGTAGGCAACATGCCTTATACTGCTAAGACGGAGGATGTTGAGGCAATTTTTATGGCCGCTCAGATGCCGATGTATGTCCTCTCGTTTAGGCTTAGTGGGAGACACCAGCTAATATCTTGACAGCGAACGCATTGATATCGCCATTGATCCTTTCACGGGCCGCAATCCCTCCTACTGCTTTGTTGATCTGCAACACAAAGATCATGCTGAGCGTGCTATGGCCGAGCTTGATGGTGTCAACATGCTGGGCCGCCCATTGAAGATTAAGCCTGGTGTCGCAAAGTCCCAGGAGCGCATTGATAACCCACCTTCGCCATTCAAAGTTGGAGGCTGGCGTGAACAGGAAAAGCCTAGCTTTGCCAAGATCAACAGCGATTCCAGCAGTCGCGTCTATGTCGGTGGTTTGCCGCGATTGACTGACCATGAGATTGTACAAAGCAACGTTGAGGCTTTCTTCGGCGATTTCAAAGTGTAAGATGATAGTCTTTGGATTATTTTGGTCATTACTAACGATTCATAGTGAAAATGTCAGCAAGCTGTTCACTCCCCATCCCGCCAAGCGATTCGAGCCCGGCGAGCACTACTATCTGTTCGTTGATGTCGGTTCTTCAGAAGAAGCCCAGAGAGCCATGAAAACACTGAACAAACAAGTTGGACCATGGGGTGCTCCATTGCGTGTACAGCATGCTCGTGGTTCCAAGACAACAGAATGAGATGCTTGATCAATGACAGGCGAAAAGAAAATAACTACTATTAATGATGGATGTGTCGCATTGCATGAGCTATGATACCTGAGAAAATAACACAATTGCATATTCCTTAGAAATTCTTATCACTTATATCTTGCTTATATCTTCTAGTGGTTGGGTGTTTCTTGAAATATTCAAAAGCTTGCTTGAAACATGCAGCCCTGGAGATGTCTACTCCGTACCCGAGGCATAGATTACCATTCTTATTTTTGAGCCCCACTGACTAGTCTCTTGATTTGCAGGAATTTATCGGATCATTGTGACGATCTAGTCCTAATCTAGGTTTTGAAATGAGGATAAATGTGCCCACAGAACCTGGATTTTCAGAGTTTTTGAATGTCTACCGCCTGGTAAGCCCTCCATACTACTTCAATAGCACTACACTCTCTGCAGATGACGCTATGGTACTTAAGAATATGACATTGCTGACCCTCTTCCAATCTATGAGTACGTAGTAGATCTTGAATCCTTCACGACCAACTCCATCTCGGTAATGCACATGAGGCGACAAGGAAAGGTACCGCTTGCGTTTTTAGCTTTGATGTTGTAAATAGTATAGTATTAAAGGTTTGCAAAGTCCCTTGTGATATATCCTCCAGCTGCAATTCCCCCCAAAGCCTTGAAATTCACTTGAAAATGCAATGATTATCTCAATCGCGAATGGCCAGTATAGCGGGTAGATCCAGGTTCTCTGAAGGAGAAAAAAAAGTGGATAATTGGGATGACGTTAGTGGGGGAGACTCACCGCATCGCCTCTCCCTGTTTCTCTTTCCCCTGCGTTTTTCGATGTTCTCTGTTTTATTCTATTTGGATCCTGTGTGACTATAATACTTCCTTCTATGAAGATCCTCTTGGCTGCAGGTCATCTCCTCCTACTCTACCCGCTCTAGACCTGGTTTGTCGCTCGGGATCTACCCCCCCTAATTCTCCCGAGACCTTCGTTACTCTCCAAACCATCACCTACAGCTGTCTATCAAAAATGTCTTCAAAAAGTGTGATCCGGAGTCAGCAGCAACATAAGGTGTTTATCGCCAGTGTAAGTGGCATCTCCTACTATGTTACCCCGCCTTTCTGCACTGTTTGATATGTCCGCGGGGTGGATGTGCTCTGCCGAGGCAAACCATTGAGACGGCTCTGGATGCTTTCATGGCCCAATTCAACGACATGCGTTTCAATCCCTTGTTTTTGAAACCTATTTGTTAGGGATGTATAAGGAAATACTGTCTAGACAGCCATGGCTTTTGGCTCCATGTCGTCGCCGTATACAAGAATCACACGCGGTGTGAAGGTACATAGACAAGCGGGAAACTGTCTTCAACCTACTGCTGGGAAAGACAGTTCGTTCACATCGCGGTCATTTGCTACGTCCTGTTTCGGGGTCGTATTTTGTTTTGCCTCGCAATGGTTCGAAACCTACGCTCGTCGACTACCGACTCATTTTTCATTTACTCCGATTTACAACACGGCACCGCACCAATGGATTTTGCTAACAGATATGTGCAGTCTGATGACTCGAAGATATGCGTTGTCATGGTGGGACTCCCTGCCAGAGGCAAGAGTCTAATTGCTGGCAAGGGTATGTGGAAATCCCATCGAGATTACATACTCTATACAGCGACTGACCAAAACAGCCATGCGATATCTCGGCTGGGTGGGAATTCCCGCCCGTGTCTTCAACGTGGGTAGCTACCGCCGTTTCAACACACCTCAGCCATCGGCTACTTTCTTTGATCCCCACAACGAGGAAGGTGAGCGCATGCGTCGTGCCGCTGCGGAGGCCGCCATGTCCGACATGATCCAGTGGTTCAATACCGGCAAGGGAGTTGTGGCCATTCTTGATGCCACCAATTCCACCAAGGAGCGCCGCAAGTGGATCTATGAGAAGTGCCAGGAAGCCGACATTGAGGCTCTTTTCGTCGAGTCGATCTGCGACGACGAAGACTTGATCATGAGCAACATCAAAGAAGTCAAGACTACTTCCCCGGATTACAAGGGCCAGGACCCTGAAGAGGCCGCCCTTGATTTCCGCAACCGCATTCGCAACTATGAAATGGTATACGAAACCATCGCTGATAGCGAGAAGCACTACACCTTCGTCAAATTGATCAACGTTGGATCAACCGTTATCATCAATCAGATCAAAGACTACCTCTCCAGTCGTCTGGTTTACTATATTCAAAACCTGCACATCAAGCCTCGTTCAATCTGGCTTTCACGCGTAAGTGGAAACTCACATGGCAATAGCTTCATTCGGTTTCATTCTGACATGATTTAGCATGGCGAATCCGAATTCAATTTGAGCGGCGCTATTGGTGGCGATTCTAACATCTCTGAGCGTGGCGAGGCTTATGCCCGTGCTCTCCCCGAACTTATGCGCAAGTCCGGCATTCCCGAGAACACCAAGATTGTCATTTGGACATCTACTCTCAAGCGCACCATTCAGAGCGCCCGGCACTTGAAGGCCGAGACCGGCTACGAGAAGCTGGAATGGAAGGCTTTGGATGAGCTTGATTCAGGCGTCTGCGACGGCCTGACCTATGAGCAAATCGCCGAGAAGTACCCTGAGGACTTTGCCGCTCGTGATGAGGACAAGTACAACTACCGCTACCGAGGTGGTGAATCTTACCGTGACGTTGTCATTCGTCTCGAGCCCATCATCATGGAGCTGGAGCGTTCGGAAAATGTCATCATCGTCACTCACCAGGCTGTTCTCCGTTGCATTTATGCTTATTTCATGAATGTGCCTCAGGAGCAGAGCCCTTGGATGGAGGTTCCCCTGCACACTCTCATCAAGCTGACTCCTCGTGCCTACGGTACTGAGGAGCAGCGCTTCAAGGCCGATATTCCTGCTGTGTCTACCTGGCGTGGCAAGGGTACCTCGGCTAAACACCAGGAGTTCCCGGCCGAAGGGGAGGCCAAGGAGGAGACCAAGGAAGAGACCAAGGAGGGCAAGGAATAGGTCTAGAAAGAGGCGAAAGACGAGATTTGGGGAGAGGCTAAGAATGAGGTTTGGAACGAGGCCAGGAAAGAGACCAGGAACGAGGTTTGGAGAGAGGCCAAAAATGAGGCTAAGAACGATTGATCTGCATCGGCGGCGCATGGATGTGATCGGATTTGGGGCGTGAAACTTTATACCAAAAATATTTTTCAGGTTATTTTTATTTTACTACATATTTTCATCAATCACAAATGGAGTTATTCTTTCTGCAATATCTGTGGGCTTCGTTGCTATAGTCTAGAGGAGAAATCGACGTAAATAGAAATCAGACGAAAATAGAGAGTAGAGGTCAGATGAAATCACACTGCAAACTAGATCGTCCTCTTCATACACCTCATATTATTTCCAGAAGCCAAAGCAATCGCAACTTCAAGCACACGGTCATGATCAAAGCCAGTTGATCTGTATAACGTAGAGCTCAGGTAAAAACCAATGTTCACCGCCCGTGGGCCCTGGTGTTCGGACGTCATGCGGAGAGCTCCAGCCACGCCCCTCGCCAACCCGGCAATTGAAGACACGCCGATGTTGTCAGCATTCACCGCGCGGCCTCTGGTCGAGCTCAAGCCGCGCGACAAGTCTCGCATCGACTCAGTTCTCGCATACGGCGATCGTCTCCTCGCCGGCCTCAACAATGGCAACCTCCGCATCTACCGCGTTGACGAAGGCCGTACCGAGCTCCTCCGCGAACTGGAACGTTTTTCCCGCTACAAAATCGAGCAGCTGGCTTTGATTAAAGAAGCCAATATACTAGTCTCACTCGCCGGTGGCTATGTCTCACTCCACGACGCCCAGACTTACGATCTGGTTGAACAGCTCTCCCAGACAAAAGGTGCTTCCGCATTCGCCATCACGTCCAATGTTGTCAATGACCCCGATACCAATGTCCCGGCGATCGTCTCTAGGTTGGCGGTCGCGGTCAAGAGGAAGATATTCATGTGGGCGTGGCGGGATATGGAGCTGGAGCGAGATACCGTGGAGCTGAGTCTGACTAGCGGTGTCAAAACCCTTACTTGGGTTGCAGCTACCAGGCTAGTTGTTGGGTTGAACTCGAGCTTTGTCATGGTCAATGTGGAGAACGGACAAGTGACGGATCTGGCGGGGCCTGGAAGTATCGAGGAGTCTGGTCGCTTTACTGGTGTCGGTGCGGCGAGTATGAGCTATATCGGCATGGGTGGAATGGTGCCGCGACCACTTGCTACTAGGCTGCGAGAGGGCCATATTCTCTTAGCCAAGGACATCAACACGACTTTCATCGACGTTGATGGTCAACCGCTGGGAAGGAAGCAGGTTCCTTGGAGTCATGCGCCTGTGGAGTTGGGATACTCATACCCGTTCCTTTTGGCTTTGCATGATTCTGCGAAAGGAGTGTTGGAGGTACGGAACCCGGAAACTCTGTCATTACTGCAGTCTATTCCGCTACCCTCGGCGAGCATCTTGCACATTCCGCAGCCGAACATCAGTCTCGCGCACGCCGGGAAGGGCTTCCTGGTGGCGAGCGATCGCACCATTTGGCGGATGGAGGCTTTGAGTTACGACACACAGATCGATGCATTGGTGGAGAAGGGCTATTTGGACGAGGCTATCAGCCTGCTTGGCATGCTGGAGGATGCATTGCTCCGAGACAAGTCTGGTCGGCTGCGCTCGACCAAGCTGGAGAAAGCCCAGAGCTTGTTCGCCTTGAGCAAGTACCGTGACTCTTTGGATCTGTTCACAGAAGTGTCCGCCCCTCCCGAGAGTGTCATTCGTCTCTACCCACGATTGATTGCGGGCGATCTCTCTGCGGTCTCAGAGCCTGAAGCTCCAAGTGGAAAAGCGAATGGCGATCAAAGTGACGGGTCATCTGATGATGCTGCACCTGGCCAGACATCCACTAACGCACCCTCCATTATATCTTCGTTGCGAAAACCCGACGAAGGCAGCGAATCCAGTAGTACCCGGGGTGATGAGAAAGGGTTGAGAATCGCCGTGCGCGAGCTACAGGGGTACCTGGCCGATGTGCGCCGACGTTTCCAGCGCTTCCTCAACCCCGATGGCTCTCTTAAAGCAACCGCGACTACCGAGGCCAAGGATGAAGCAAGTGATTCCGTTCTCAAACTGCTGGATTTCCCATCTACTGAAGAGTTTTCCACTCAAATTCGCGAGAAGGCTCGAATGGTTGACACTACTCTCTTCCGCGCGCACATGTTTGCGACTCCATCCCTCGCCGGTTCCCTTTTCCGTATCGCCAACTTTTGTGATCCAGAAGTGGTGATGGAAAGGCTAGAAGAAACGGGCAGATACAATGATCTCATTGATTTCCTATATGGCAAGAAGTTGCATCGCCAAGCCCTTGAGCTCCTCAAGCGCTTTGGCCAGACAGACAATGGCCCGCTGAGCGGTCCTACGCGCACAATCGCCTATCTTCAAAACCTGCCCCCAGACCAGATTGATCTGATAATTGAATTTGGCGAATGGCCCTTGCGTGCGAATCACGAGCTAGGACTGGAGATTTTCCTCACTGACACCGAAAATGCGGAGACACTACCTCGCTCGACAGTCTTAGAGTTCCTCGAAACCATTGATGTCACCCTTGCCATTCAGTATCTCGAACATGTCATCAACGAATGGAACGATTTGACACCAGACGTTCATCAGCGATTACTTGTCTTGTACCTAGACCAGCTCGTTTCGAACCAAGGGGATTGGAGAGACAAGTTCCTCACCATGTTGAAGGAGAGCGAGCAGTACTCCCCCGCAAAGATGCTAGACCGACTGGATCGAGAGGGTACGTGGGCACTGGTGCATTGGATGATCTATACTAACATCCTCAGATCCGAACTTCTACGAAGCCCGAGCTATCCTATTCAGCAAAATGGGCCAGCACCGGCAAGCACTCGAAATCTACGTCTTCAAGCTGGAGAACCACGAAAAAGCTGAAGAGTGAGTGATTTCTTGTATTCATACAGAAGATATGTGCTAACCTAGACAGATACTGCAATCACGTCCACCTTTCCGAAAAGCCAGAAGAAGAAAACACGATCTACCTAACCCTCCTTTCTCTATACCTCTCCCCGCCACACGGATACACCCCCCAGAACGACCCTGCCATTGATCTCCTCGCCAAACATGGCTCCCGACTCCCCGCCGATGCAGCCCTTAAACTAATCCCCGACCAACAAGCCGTGCAAAAACTCGAGTTCTACTTCAAAGGCCGTATGCGTGCCGCGAACTCCGTGTTCAATGAAGCGCGCATTGTCGCGAACCTCCGCAAAACAAGAGACATGCAAATCCAGGCTCAACTGGCACTTGGGGACGGCGTCAAGGGTGGCGGCACACGTGCGAGACATGTCACTGTGACTGAGGAACGAATTTGCGGGGTTTGTCATAAACGGCTCGGTGGGAGTGTTATCAACGTTTTCCCAGAGTATGTCTACCCCACCTCTGCGATGGCTCTTGCTGACTTTCTAGTAACACCGTTGTTCATTTGGGTTGTGCAAATCGGAGATCCAGTGCCGTTCGGTAATGCGTGGTTTCGTGTTTTGTTTATGTTTCGGTTCGCCTCTTTTCTGTCACTGTCGACTTTGATACCCATAGCATATATTTTTTTTCCAGCTCTTGTTCATGCTCATGCTTCCTCAACGACCTCTTCGCCGTAATTCGCTTCCTCCTTGGCTTCTTGGGCAGAGGTTTGCCCTGCTTTTTTGTCTTCCTCCATGCGTTGAGTGAGGAAGGTGTTGATCTCGTCTTGCAGCTTGGGCACCTGTGCCTGCAGGGCAGACAGGTGGGCTTGCTTGGCTGTGAAGGTGCCATCGGTGGTGGGGATCACATGCTCGAAGGCCTTGCTTGTGTCCGGGGCGGTGTAGACTGCTTGTAGGTTGGCCATTTTGAGTGGATTTGGGATTGTGTTCTGAATTGGGAAGATTAAAGGCGTAAATGTGTGGAGTTGCGAAGTTCTGTGGACTCTGTTGTAGAATACACCATACCGCCCTGCTTACCGCCCGAGGGGCTCTCTTCGGCTTCGCCTTCGCCTTCACGGGTATCATCTTCGGGCTTGACCCGGACCGTATGGTCGCATTTCAAGGTGTTTTATTTCTCAGGTCGTAACATCTCACACCGTCACATTTTGATGGCGAAAGGTTATTTGTTGAATGCAACATGTAAGATATGTTCCTCCATCGATGTTTCACGCTTAAAGCATCAGCTTCGAGTCACTAGTCCAAGAGGGCATCACCAACACCAACTGTATACGCTTTAGGGCAAATTAAAAGTATATTTCATCGTCAAAATGTGCTCCAGACTCCAAGGAATCCCCATCCCAGGGCAGAGCTAAGCTATAGATCTCCATCTCCACCGTAGATCGATATTCTGCCAGGGTTTTAGTTTAGTTAATCTCACCGTACACAGAAGGGATCGGCCAATGTGGCTTTTGTTTGTAGGCACAATACCACTGCCTAAACCCTGAAACACACCACCCGACATGGATTGTCCGTAATGAATCCAACAAGATCCCCAAACTCAGGGCGTCGGGTCCCTCCCACTTACCCCCGCCCTCCCTCCGATGACGAGGAAGACGACTCCGATGAAGACGAATTGGTTCGCCCCGGATCCTCCGGCAGTGACGCTTCCTCCAACGTGACAACTGTCTCAGCGACTCCTCTAACGCCTCTCAATACTCAAATGCCCGGCAGTTATTTCCCTCCTCAGTCGCGTTCCGCGTCCGCGACTACCTCCCCTCACGCCTTCCCAATGCCGAACACCAGAAGGCCATCTGGCCGTCCCTCCGTTGAGCTGCCCAGGCACCGCTCGAGACACCATTCACAGGGCTTCTTTGAGCCCTCTCTGCCCACTGCTTCTTCCGACCAGGTGCCCACCGTGTCAGCGTCTCGTATAGCCGCCCAAACAGCAATGCAGCAGAAACGCCCTACGCCGGAATCCCACTCACGAAGGAGTGGCAGTGCTTCCCCGCCATTGATGCCAGCACCGTTACGAGTGAACCAACCTTCCCCACAACCACCTCCACCGAACGTAGCAACTACAGCTGCAAATGTGGTGTTCCCGAGACCGGGGGCACAGCCCGAACCGCCCGAGAAGCAGAAGAAGAAAAAGCTCTTCTCGAAGCCAAAACATATCGGCATCAGCAGAGATAAGGATTCTGGTAAAGATCGTGGTCTTCCTTCACCAAGCAAGATCGTGGGGCTATCCCGCATGGTCAGCGCCTCAACAACCAATGTGGCCGATCTGCCCTCAAACAATTCATCCATGTACAATTTGTCCAATGCCTCGGTCAGCACCGTTGTCCCTGCGGATCGTCCGCCGGCATTGGAGAAAGACAAGGAGAAGGACAAGGAGAAAGACAAGCATAAACACCATTTCCTGTCCAGACAGAAACTCAAACTCAAAGATCGAGTCGACGATCACTTCAACCTCCCGCTATCTTCAGCTTCGAGCAACTCTCGACCTGCCGATCCTAATGCCCCAAAATCCTTGTACTCGTTCGTCAGTCCTGCATCGCCTGCACCGGGTGCCACATTCGGCAAATCAGTCAGTGGGCTAGATATATTGCATGGTGGGCGGGCATTGCGCGAGAAGAAGAAAGAAGAGAAGGCCCTAGCAGAGTCCGAACAACTGGATTGGATGTCTCATAATCCCGCTGGGCCTATAACACCGTTTGTCGGGCCCCCTTCAGCTGGAAGTGTAAACCCAGGGTCTGTTCCTGAATCGATTTTGAGAGAGACCCTACAGGGCTTCGGATTGAACAACATGACTCCCGAAGACGCCTGGGATTTCCTGAAAGCAAAGTTGCTGGTCATCTTTGATGGTGAGGATGTTCGCATTGCTATTGAGGACCTGAACAAATTGGTATTTGTGCATCTGCAGCGCTGTGTACAAAAGAGGGCTCCCACGTCCATCATCATGGATCTGCAAGAGTTGTTAGAGACTGGATTTGCGACTCTCAACCACAGTTCTCTGCTCGGGATTCCGGATGAAAGGCTTGTTCCTCATCTGGTGCAGATTTGGTTACTGGTCTTTGGCACTATTCTCCCCTTCATCCAGGCCGTCTTCCTTCCCCTCGACCTTGAATTCAAAGGCTGTGGCTCCATCATGACCAGTCGCGAAGCAGGTGAATTTTGGGGGGCCCTGCCTGTAGGCGGAACCCTCGATGTACGGAACCTCGTCCTCATCGCTTTCCGTGACCGTATCATACTCAACCGATATGACACGCTCAAGGCAACATTCTCCCGCCTCAGTCTAGACTCTATCAACTCGGGCTTCCCCACACTCAGTGTCACCGCAAAGAGTACCGGTACAGGGGGTCGTCCTGGTACGGCTGCTTCCCTCGATGCAGGCTTCGGCAGCTACAACTCTCAATCTTCCATGTTCCCCAGTAATGTCGCAGACAGCTATTCTTCCGACGGCATCAGCGCTCTTGCCAATCGCCCCACAAGCAGTGACTCACGTAGTCGCGCAACATCAAACACCTCTTCAAATGCGGACGTTTTCTTCAGCTCCGTCGCCTCCCCTCAAGCACCAAACAGTCGCCCAACCGTCATCCACCGCGCCAACGCTGCTGACACATCTCATATCATCACCGAAACTGTTGGCCGTATGCTCCAGTGTGTCAGTGTTCTCGCAAGCATACAAACCGACGACGCACCTCAAGAACGAATCGAAGTACTTAGCAAAGCTCTCAAACACAACTGGCTTGGCCGTGGCCGCACAGGTCGTGATCGCCGCGGTTTCGTTGGCGCCAAGATCCGCCCCGTCATGGTTGGCGGTCCTCCTGTCATCGACGACGCGGACTCTCTTACTACCGCTGGTATCAGCATTGGTGCTAGCACTAGTACAGGTGGTTCTAGGGGGCGTGGTGATTCTTCCTCCTCGGATTGGAGTTCTGGCTTACCTGGTCCTGGTATGAGTGTGAGAAGCGGACGGAGGGAGTTGAGCGCTCTTTAGCTTTTTATGACTATATGACCTGGGGCGTTTTGTTTAAGGATATCCAGGGGATTGTATACTTCGTTTCGTTCTAGAGCCTACTAGACCTCTATTTGGTTATTCAACTAGGTATACTTACTGGGCTAGTTTTTGCTGTGCCTAGGTACAGTCTTAGTTGAATCCAATGCATTTTCTTATGGCCATTGTATCAAAAACTCTAACTATACTTAGATCTCCCTCCCATGCTGTAAATCACAGATCCACATTTCATATTCGGTTAAGCGTATATACCGTATTACATCATCGCCCCGTTTGACAGGCGGTAATCTCAACTGTATCTCAACCTCCTTTCTCCCAGTAATAAATCACTTCTGCTTATACTCCTACATTTAAATTGGTTTTACTTCAAGATTTGACCTACTAGCACCTCAGATTACTGTGCTTTCAAATCTTCCTACACAAAAGAAATACTAGAAGGGTTTTGGGAGCAAACTTCTCATTCGGACAAGAAATCATACACGCCGCCGAAGCGGCACCGACACGGGCGGGTAATGGCAGCAGACCGCTGCCTGCAGGTCTCCCCCCTCCAACTGCCCAGGTTGGAGGGGGTAAAGACCGCCTAACGGCGGCCTTTGCCTGCCTGAGCCGGAGGTTCCAGCTCCAGTGCCGCAAAGCGGCCGGCACATTCCTCCCCACTGACCTTGAACCCAGCGTTCTTGGTCACCGCCGCAGCTATCTTCGCCCATGCACTAGGGCTCCTGCCCGGGCCACCCTTTGCCACTGCCCTCCGAAGAATGGCCTGATAGATATTAGCTTTTGCTCACATCCCATAGCGTTATAACATAAGCTGGAAAGGATGCTCAGGTGCTCAAGTGATTGATTGATAATACTTACATCAAAGCTGGTCCATCGTCCAATGCTCCCCTTAATCGAACCCCAGCGTCTCGATACCTGCAAGACGGTCTTGGCCGCCCCAGTTTCATTGTTCCACATCTCTGTGATCACCGCCCATCCCTTCTCCACATCCTTCATGTATGACATGCGCTTGTCTGCCAGGCATGCACGCTCCCAAGACTTCGGAACCTCAGTGTCGAGGGTGGGGGCGGCGGTGACTAGTGCTGTGGTCATCCTGCGGGTTTGTCGAGCGGGGGTGATCTTGGCAGGAGAGTCTTCGGCAGGGGGGTCGTCGGTGAACCGCACACGCTTTCGGGCGGGGGATGGAGATGGGGGCGGGGAGGCAACAACTGAGGGTGGGCTGCTGAGAGGGTCCTATTATCGGTCAGTTCACGATCATTTTTTTGATTGGAAATCGCTGCGCTTCTTACTGAGGACATGGCCTGATCATCTTCACTTCGGGCCGCGATCTCTTCTTCAGAGGCTGGGAAGGTGATGTCGCCGAACATCTCATCAAGATCTTTCATGGTGACCTCGCGCATCATCTCTTCCTCTTCAGTTGTCATGAGTGTTGGACGCACCCAACGTGATTCTGTCACTGCCATCTGCTCCAAAACGGCTTTCTCGGACTGATCGATAGTTGAGGCATCTTGCTCTTCGGTAAATGATTGAGAAGGTTTAGTCGGAGTGTGGATGTTGGGTCGCATTTTCAGTTCTTTGCGGGTCCTCTTGTCCAGCACGACTGAGGGGGGGAGACGGGTGTTGAGGTATGCCTTGAACCGGCTGAAAGGTCGTCGTCGTGCTTTGGGCTTGGGAGCAACCCGCCCCGAAGGCCGGGGTGAAACAGGTAGTGGAGATGGCTGTGTTGGCAAAGCCCAGCGGCGATTGACGGAGGGAGGGGTGAGGTTTGCAATTGGGATCCCGTAGTCTGAGTCGCTTGATTCATGCTGAGGTGCATTTGCTGACTCTTTGAGTGGAGCCGGTCTATCTTGACGGACCACAGGTGAGCTTTCTTCCGCGTTTAATTCAGATGATTCATCGTCGCTGTTTTCAATTGGGCCTTGGCTGCTGGAAGATTGGAGGATGGGGGGTTCGGCAGATGAGACGGTGGATGGAGTGCCTCGGCGTTGGTGCTGGGCGGAGGATGATTTGCGCTTTGGCGCCATAATTTGCGACGAGATTGGAGGTTGGTTTGAACGGATGGAAGAGCTGAGAGGGAGAGGAAAAGCCGAAACAATTGGCTTCAGACGAGCTTTGTCGGCGTGGTTGTGAGATGGGACGAAAGAGGTGGGATGGAGGCCAAAGCTGAGAGGAAGAGGAAAAGCCGAAACAATTGGCTTCAAATGAGCTTTGTCGGCGTGGTTGTGAGGAGGGAGGGAAAAGGTGAGATGGAGGTCGGAGCTAAGAGGACTAGCAGACTGCAAATAGCTGAATGGTCTCTAGCCAAAGTGTTCCAGAAAAGTCCAACGAGGACTCGACGCCTCGACTCAGTGGGAGACGACGACCAAACCACCTGCCCCGGATCGTGAACTCAGACTTGATGCCCGCTTTCCCCTCTTTGTCTTTTACTGATCTTCTTACTTGCCCATATCCTGTTGCTCCTTTCATCGCTGTTGCGGGCTGTTATCACAGCCCTTTCCCTCCGTTGAAGGGATTATTCGTCTTGCTGGAGAGAGTTATCCGGATTGAAGGGATTATCTCTCCAGTCGTCCGCCTCCTGCTGGAGGAATGCAGCGGAAATCTGCCCATTCTCGAATTGGATGCGGCTGATTGTCGGGCCGCCATTCGGAGGTCTATGAGTTTGGCGGCGCAGTTGCAGCAATTCACGGGTAAAGTCTGCAGACGGATTTGACCAGATGCTCTCATCGATAATGGGGTCCATCGAAGATGAGCGAATTTTCGGCGTTAGCCAAGAATTGAAGACTCGCCTGCGCGTGAGCCTGCGGTACTGTTGAATTGCTTGAGACTCTGAGAATGAACCCTCTAGGGGTGAAAACTCAAATGTCTTGGGTTGAAACTGCTTCTGCCAGAGGTACTTCCTTTTTCCATTCACTCCGGGCGAGGTCCAGCAGGTGCTGTCAATATCATCCTCGGGTATGGCTCTTGCTCTGTCCATTCGGTTGGTGATTGACCAGTGTCGCATCTTGCTGGCTTCGTTCTTGTTACGTGCGTCTGCGTCGAAAGGCATCGCAAGGTTTTATTGTGTTGATAAATTGGATGGATTGGGTTCTCGACAAGTCTAGGTTCGGGGGTACACGTTATGGTTTCCTTATTATCGTGGCGGGTCCGAGCCCGGACATGCATCGCCATGGCGATGCGATGCGTCCGAACTATCGTCGTCGGCCCAATTCGGACAATGGTGGCACCGTTAGCCCTAACCACCGACATCCCGGACCCGCTTCCCCGTTCTTTCAGAGCTTCCCTGGCCCCATTGCCCTTTCTGTACTTGAATATACTGACACGGTCTATTCATTGCAGATCTTTTGGTCCTGTGGTGAATGAACCAGAACTGCTCCTCTCATGCTCATGGTTAAATATGGTGTCTATCAAATTGACACCATATTTAACCATGTAAATGACCAATTTGCGACAAAAGCTGCAGGGCTATGGGTATCAGTATTCAGTATCAAACTAGTCTATGAATGTCACATTGTTACCTGCTTAAGTAGTTTCTGAAAAGGAAAATACACATAATCAACATTCCTGGAGGTCCTGGAGGTCCTGGAAGTCAGCCACTGCTAAGAAGCTCACAATGTTTAAATTCTCGCCTTTTATTAGTGCGGAACATCTCTAGAACCTGTTAAGTCAAATCTGATAATTTCTCAGGGGCAACAGAGTGCAGACCAGAGACATTCCCAACAGTCTCAAATAATTGCAATTGGGTCTACATGCCAGCCCAATGTGCCAACGTGAAGGAGCCGCAGTATCAGTATCCAAAATGTGACTTATATGCCTGAGAGCCTGCAGCTTCAGCTGCATAGAAGAAACAAAAAAAGGAAAAAACACCAAAAAGTACATGGCCAACACAGCTATGTGTCGTGGGGGCAAGTGATTGGTCTCAGCCCGGCTGCAGCCTGCGTCGTGATGGTTCGAACATAAAATGCGTCTCACCCACAGCGCTATTCTTTCTTCTCTCACCTGTCTTGGATGTGACCTTTGTTTTTCTGCCTTTCATTTCTGAACTTCTTCCATTTTCTACTTTCTTCTTTCATCGTCGCTTACCTTTCGCCTACTTGATAGTGCCGGCGTCATGGCTGAACCGACGGAGCATGACCGGGTGCTACCCACATCTGAGAATCTGAATGGATCTATTCAGATTCCTTCAGAGAAGGAAATCAAGGAGCGAGAACCAGATAAGGATGTCAAGGAGTCCAAGGAAACCAAGGAGAAGGATGCCAAGGAGTCTGAGGCTACATCTAAGCCAGTCTGCAAGAAGCATGAGAAAAAGAAGAAGAAACCAGTGAAAAAGGAGGAATCAGACACCTCTGCGTCTGACTCTTCGTCCAACTCTGACAGTGACGCTGACTCCGATTCGGATTCGGAGAGTGAGTCAAGCACCGACAAGCGCAGACGTCATCGCCTGCGCACCAAAGCCCGGGCTCAGCGTGCACTGAAGGATAAGAAGCGTCGCAAGAAGAAACACCGGTCGCGCAAGGTCGAGACCTCCGACTCTGCCTCCGATTCGGAATCTGAGTCTGATACCGCCACTTCGGCGGAATCGGACGAATCGCTGGACGAAAAAGCACTTCGGAAATTGGTCACTAAGCTTAAGCTCAAGAAACGAGCAAAGAAGCTACGCGATCAGACTTCCGATGACTTGACTCCCAGTGACCCAGTGGGTGAAGGTCGCCAGAAGCGCTCGAAGAAGAAGAAGCCCGCTTCTAAGGTTGCATACAAGCGTGTTGATCAATGTGGGTACTAGTGAATAATTGGGCTGATCTCTTCATGCTAACTTCTTCCCTTAGTATGGGATACCACGATCCACAAATACAAGCTCACGGAAACGGTCGATGACCCCGATGCTGACGAATGGGACCAATACATCTTCAACGTCCGACGCAAGTTCAACTGGGAAAACAAGTATCTGGAAACGGTCGTCGATATCAAAAGCAAACACCTCCGCGATACCCTCTCCAAAATCATGGATGGCGTGAAAGGTGTAAGTCTCGTCCAAGAACCTGCCGTCGTGGATCCAAACATGCTCTTCCTGTACCTCGAGGAGACTCGTCAGTACATGAAAGATCTGAAGAAGCAGTCCCGCAATGCGAAGAAGCGCAAGGCTCGCAAAACCGCCGCTGCAAAGGCTTCTCACCTCAAGGTTCTTGTCAAATACCTTGACACGGACTATGCGGATACCAAGAAGACCCTTTACCCTCTGCTTGAAGCTAATACCATTACTTTTGATCTTCTTTGGGCGCTTTTCAAGCCCAATACCATCGCCTACACCCCAACTTACGGCAACGCCGATGAGCCGCGCGCTTTCAAAATTGAGTATGCCGTCAAGGAATCCTCATTCATGAAGGGACAATGGTACAGCGTTGAAGGTCGCTATCTAGAGTATGATGGCAAGGATTTCGGTTTCGGCAGTATGTCTGCCGAAGTTGACTCTTTCAAGGGGGCTCGCAAGATCACCTCCCTGGCCTGTTACCCGCTTAAGTATCATCGTGATGCAGATGCTTTGCGTACCAGGCTCATCGAGCGTGGTAAGCGATTTGTTGCCCTGCGCGGTATGAACTACCGCTTCCACAAGGGCATGGCTTTCTACAAGAAAAAGCGCACCTTCGTTATCAAGGTCAATATCAATGGTCGTGTCATGATTGATCCTGCCATCCATCGAAGAATCAATCCCAATTATCTCATTTCGACGGTTCGTCCAAAGGACCCCGATCTTTTGGATTCAGATGACTTGGGTCTGAGCGGGAACGACGATGACAGCGAGAGTTGCTGCTGTGGTGGCTCTGACTCTGAAGAGGAGCATGGTGGATCTTCCGATACCCCGCGAACCGTTTACAAAGTCATTGAAGATACAGATGGCATGCCTCGCGTTGTCGAAGTAGAGGTTGATCAGAACGGCAACGAAATCCAAAAGGAGAAGATTGACCGTATTGAAGACGGTGCTAAGGAGCGAGAGTTCACAGAGGAGGAGCTCCTCGTTGCCAGTCCCGTTGTCCTCGGCTTCGCGTTCAGCGAGAAGCTCTGGTTGGAATTCACTATCTCTGGTATTAGTGATATCGAATGGGACCAGGATGCCTTTGGCTCCCTTGTTCTCCCTACGAACCAGAAGTCCATCGTCAAGGCTCTCGTGGAATCGCATACATTCCATGCCGCTGAGAACATCGATGATGTTATCCAAGGCAAGGGCAAGGGCCTGGTCGCTGTTCTGCATGGTCCACCTGGAACTGGAAAGACACTTACTGCAGAAGGCATTGCAGAGCTTCTTCGTCGCCCTCTGTACATGGTCAGCGCAGGCGAACTAGGTACTGACTCGAGAACTCTCGAGGCAGAGCTGAACAAGATTTTGGATATTGCTCACTCCTGGGGTGCTGTGCTGCTTCTCGATGAAGCTGATGTCTTCCTTGAGAAACGCACTATCCATGACATCCATCGCAATGCCCTGGTCAGCATTTTCCTCAGGCTTCTCGAGTACTTCCAGGGTATTCTTTTCCTCACGACGAATCGTGTGGAGACTTTTGACGATGCCTTCCAATCGCGTATCCACGTTGCCTTGCGATACGGTGATCTGACCACCAAGGCAAAGAGGAGCATTTGGAAGATGTTCTTGGAGCGTGTTCGTGCTCTTGAGGGTGTGCGTACCGCTACCTTCACTGATGCCGACTATGATATGCTTTCTAGGCATACTTTAAACGGTCGACAGGTTTGTTACACACCCTACAGTAGATATAAGAGATGCCTTGCTAATAGATATCAGATCAAAAACTCGGTCCGTACCGCTCAAGCTCTGGCTGTTAACGAGAAGTCACCCTTGGCGATGGAGCACATCAAGCGCGTACTTGAGGTGGCCGAAACCTTCGACCAAGACCTTCGTGGTGGAACAGGGTACCTTGATGCCATGCGGAGCTACACTTGATCACATTTACGCATTTCGGGAATTTTGGAGCTTTCGGAGACTGGTGCAAGGGATTTAGCTTTACTGGTATCATTGCTTTTCTGTTGACGTGCTTTTGGCTGTTGTCTTTTTCGGCTCGGTGCTTTACTTGGGTCGACCATACGATGCTACGGTAGCGCAATGCATACTGGAGAATAATGAGAAATATTTACTAGAATGCTTATGGGTAGACCGAATATGGATTAAAGGGTCGATCTTATAGTAAACATGTCATACACTTTCATTCAAAAAAACGCATGAGATATGGTGGTTATACATGGAACATTTTAAGGGTTGGACTTGACGAAGTCAACACCCTTCTGGATGTTCTTCTTAAGGTCAGCCAGGCAGGCCTCAAGGAGACCCTGCTCGTACTGGTTGACCTCGCCAACGGGGTGGATCTGCTCAACACCGTTGGGGCCGAGCTCGACCTTGGAGGCGAAGAAGTCGATACCCTGGTCCTTGTAGAGAGGGGAGTCGACGAAGGTAGGCTCAATGACACCCTTCTCGCCCTGAGCGGCGCGGAGGAGGGACTCAGCGAAGCGAGCACCGGCCATGGCCATGGAGAGGGTGGCGGAACCGGCACCGTCCTTGGCCTTGACGACCTCGTCACCACCGAACTGGATGCGGTTGACAAGGGCATCGCGGGCCTCACCGGCGATGGAGGAGTGGTTGGACTGCGAGAGCAGGGGAACGATGGTGACACCGGAGTGACCACCGACGACGGGGACGGCCTCGCCGGAGGGGTTGGTGCCCTGGACCTCGGAGATGAAGCGGGAGGCACGGACAACGTCGAGGGTGGTGACACCGAACAGACGCTTGGGGTCGTAGACACCACGGGCCTTGTAGACCTCGGAAACGATGGGGACGGTGGAGTTAACCTGGACAATCAGTGTGGGATTTCGTGTCGGATTCCAGTGCTACTTACGGGGTTGGCAATGACCAGGACGTGGGCCTTGGGGGCGGCCTCAGCGGCGGCCTTGGCGAGGTCGCGGACGATGGAGGCGTTGGTGTTGAAGAGGTCATCACGGGTCATACCGGGCTTGCGGGGAACACCAGCGGGGATGAGGATGATCTCGGAGCCCTCAAGGCAGTCACGGAGACCGGAGGCATCGGGGTTGTAGCCCTTGACGACGCTGTGGGTGTTGATGTGGCTCAGATCAGCGGCAACACCTGGGACACGTTAGCTTTCAATGATCTGTGTCACCCAATTGAGGTCAAGCTTACCGGGTCCACCGCGGATATCGTAGAGAGCGAGGTTGGAGACACGGGGGTTGAGCTTCAGCAGCAGAGAGAGAGGCTGGCCAATACCACCGGCAGCACCGAGAACAGCGACCTTGGAGGCCTGCGCGAGGGTGAGCTTGAGTTCAAATGAGAGACTGGGATACGCACATTGCTAGCGGAGGCCGAGAAGGCGCGCTTCTGGAAGAGGTTGACAGAACGACGAGCAGCAAACATGATGATGGACCTTGAGTGATGTGGAAGAAGAAGAGAAGGGGAAGGGGAGGATTCCGGTGAAGGAAAGAGATTGGCTGGGGGCTCCACAACAGTTTCCGAGCTCCCGATGCTCGGCTGCTCACTGCGTCGTTTTAAGTACCTGGGTACTTGTTCTCCACGATTGTTGGGATGTTTTCTTGAGAGATTGGCTGGTGATTTCTTTTGGAAAGTCTTTATGCAGTCACTTCCTCTGCAATTGGCTTCTATACAGCTGTCATCTCTCTTCTGACGTACCGAGGTGGGCATATAACGGTTGTTCCCTTCGCCCAGGTATGTATATCGGTACTTATGCATGTGCCATTCGCAATATTTCTCTCCATTGGGGCACTTCTAGTAGATGCAGCTGGTCATTAATCTGATCCGCAATTACCAGAGAGACGCATACTTAAGTATGTATACAATTATGTTTAAAATTAATCATATTCGTGGGGTTTCCCCGTCATATATCCATATGCTCCAGAGCTGACCAAGGCTAAGTACCTAAGTATACAGAGGTAAACCTAGAATTAGTACTTAAGTAAATATCCGGAGAACCCTTCCAGAATTGGCCATAGCTCTGGAGCCTTTAGGGCTTGACACGAACAATACTTCAGTACCCAGCACTGTCTGCTATGTAATCGTTTAAATTGGCAATAATTCATCAATTGGAAAGACCAAACGCCAGCGCTGATGAACTAAAGATACAACCCTGACCAGACCATGTATCGCAAATTGGAATCCACAAAAACCTGGAACTACCGCAAGAAGTGTAGCACAGCCCAACAGAACAGGAAGAAAATGATCACTCCACCCCAGAAAATCCACTTATCTTGTCGCGCACGACGCTCAACCATCCGGATCGTGTCTCCGCTCACACCAAGTGTATTCGCAACGCTATAAAGCCGTCTCTGGGTGCCCTTGAGTATCTCGCGTTGCTCACCTAGGTCAGCAAGCACAGCCCGGCCCCGATCCAAGAAGTCATCTAGCTGGGTGTTTGTGTTGGAAAAGAAGGATTGCTCACGCAGAGCCTGGTTTTCGCGATTATAGTCTGAGGGGCCAGCGCCGAAGCTTAGACCTGAGGAGGTCGGTGCAAATGCTGAATTCTGGGGTAGGGAGGACTGTGCGTAGGGGTTCTCCGGTGTTGCGGCATGGTGTGGGCGGCGGCCGAGGAGCTCATTCCGGTTTGTTACCGATTGCTGGTAGAGTTAGCATGGCACAACAGGGAGAAGGAGACGTCTTACTGCATCCTCGCGCTCCTTGCGGAGTCGGTCAAATAGTGTGCGATAGTCTGCAAGCTCGGTGCGGAAGGTCTTGATTCGGTCAAAGGCCTTTTGTTGTTTTTCGACGATCAATTCTTTCTTGGAAAGAGCCGCGTAGTCGTCAACTGTGCGGGATAGTGATGCCAAAGAGGCAGCAAGCTGACCTAAAGTTTGCAGTGAGTAGGCGGCCGGGCAGAGATCCAGTTCAGGAGCGCACCTTGTAACGCTGGCGAAGTGGTGGCTGGGGACTGTGAGAAGGTATCAAGGTCTCGACGGATAGATGACGACTGCTTCAAAGCAGAGTTGAATAGGGAATTCTGGACAGGTTAGCTTTGCCAATGCATCACGGAGAGCTGCAGCATACCATTATGTCAATGCGGCAATTGGCCGTCTAGATTGAGGTCTCGTAATTCGTATACCACTGGCTCTTAGGGAAGGAAACTGGAATGACAAAATGAATAGATCACTATGTCTCAATCCAACAAGGCGGTTTCACAAATACTGTGTGATAGTTGACTCCGCCTTTGGCGCGAGGCCAGATGGTCTTGTTTGGGCACATTCTGACGTCGTTGACCGCCTTCAGGTACACAGCGCATATGCAAGCTGCCCAGATGTTTTTATGAGCGTGAAGACCGATTTAAGAAACCTTTTACATTGATAGGGTGATACAAAGAGGATCACCAAATCATTACTGCTGACCTTAGACTGCCTATAACAAGAGATTTTTGGTTCATAAAAAATGATATCGTCGTTAGAGAACTAGTACATCCAGTCGATCCAGTAGGACTCCACTTTCGCCCGATAACATGCAAAACCACAGAAGAGCTGGGATGGTATATTAAGAGAAAGCAATTAGGTAAAAAAGAGATGATGCGCCATCTATTTGGAAGGGAACTTGTTCTGCAAGAACCACCTGCATGTGTGTTAGTCTTTTATGTTGCATATCCCCACGGGTCCCACTTTTACTTACTTGCTCACGAAGTAGTCCACGACACCGAAGGCACCAACAGCTCCAGCGGACAGGCCAACTAGCTCCCAAGAAAGGTTCCCGCGCGCATGTTGCTTGTAAGCACCGAAGCCCAGACCGGCGCCAACCAGGGTTGCGATAGCGGCGTTGGCGAGGAAGACAGGGTTGGTGGTGTTGTTGCTGATACCGCTGGTCTTCGACTTGCGGGCCTTGGCCTTCTTCTCTGACTCTTCGCGCTTGCGCTTCTCCTTCTCCTCAGCCTCGCGCTCTATGCGTTCGGCTTGAGTGTTGGTTTGCACATCCTGCTCGAGGAAGTCGGCTTCGACGGTCTGGATGTGGGGTCCATCGACGTCGATCAGAGAAGCTGTGCTCTCGGATTCATCGTGGTAGACTCCGCCGACGGGGGGGGCGCGGCTGATTGTATGTTAGCTTTGGGTCGGGAACATGTCGAATAGAGGGTACTGACGCCTGTCACTCGTTAGTAATGCGCAAAGATATGGAGTTCTAGGATCTTACATCTTCGGGGGCCTGCTTAGGGCCAGAGGCGGCAGCGTCAGCGTAAGACATGATTTGAAGTTTGAATTAAAGTGAGGGAATCTCGCACGGGAAGGGAAAAGCCGGGAGGAGGTCAGTTTTATACCAAGGCAGCTGCATGACATCACGTCATTGATCTGGGCCCACTTCCCCGACAAGACATCCTTTGGACGTAATCAGTTTGTACTTTGCTCTGTTTGAATCTCATTTTATTTCTCTCCTACATATGCTCCAGTGTATCCATTCATATTCATGATATTAGTTAAATTTGTATATATATCAACGAGTATGGGGCAACACAGTATACATCTTCATTGTATCCCCTCTATATCCGCCTCAGCCACCTACGTGATTGTAAATTCCTATACACTCTAGAGCTCGATCTATAGTTCAAATCCAAAATTGAAGTCGAGAAAATTCGATTGAAGCTGCTAAAGAGATCACAAACAAAAAGGACCTATGTAATGGTCTATTGGGGGGGCAAGGTGTTTTAATACAGATTACAGATAAGTCGAAAGTCCTGGCCTTACAGAAGAAGGTCCAGAGGGTTCTCAACGACCTTCTTCAGCTCCTTGATCCATTCACCACCAACGGCGCCATCGACAACCTTGTGGTCGAAGGATCCGGTGACGATGATCTGGTCATCCCACTCGGTGACGGTGCCCTCCTCGGTCTCAACGGGGATAGCGACCTTGCGGGTGGTACCGACAGCCAGAATACCGGCCTGTGGGGGGTTGATGACGGCGGTGAAACGCTCGACGGCGGCGTTCATGCCCATGTTGGAGATGGTGAAAGTGCCGCCCTGGTACTCCTCGGGCTTGAGCTTGTTGTCACGAGCACGCTTGCCAAGGTCCTTGACCTGGCTGGAGATGCTGGAGAGACCGAGACCCTGGACGTTCTTGACGACGGGGGTGATCAGGCCAGTGGGGGTGGAGACGGCAACGCTGATATCAACGGTGCTGTGCTGGCGGATGACGGCCTGGCCGTTCTCCTCGCGCCAGCTGGAGTTGACCTGGGGAACCTTAAGAAGGGCAACACCGCAGGCCTTAACAAGGAAGTCGTTGACGGACAGCTTGTACTTGCCCTCGGAGGAGGCGTTCAGGGCCTGGCGGAGCTTCAGAAGCTTGGTGACCGAGAGGGTGGTGGACACGAAGTAGTGGGGGTTTTCGGCCATGGACTGCTTGAGACGGTTGGCAATGGTCTTGCGCATGGAGCTGACGGGGAGGTCCTCGTAGCTGGCACCAGCGGCGGCGGCGGGAGCGGGCTGGGACTTCTCGACGTCCTCCTTGGTGATAACACCACCACGGCCGGTACCCTTCAGGCCCTTGATGGACACACCCTTCTCAAGGGCCAGGGCCTTAGCGGCGGCGTTGATGAGGGGCTCACGGTCGAGACTGGGCTGGAGCTTCTCATCGGAGTTCTCGGGCTCCACAGCGGCGGGTGCCTCCGCAGCAGGGGCGGGAGTAGCGGGCTCGGCGCTCTTGGGCTCCTCCTTCTGCTCAGCGGGGGCGGCCTTGTCACCACCAGCATCGGCCAGGGTGAAGGCCTCGAAGGCGGCAACATCGGAACCCTCCTCAACAAGGACGGCAATGGGCTAGCGAGCGACGAGTTAGACCAAGACCAACGTCCTCGGAGAAAACCGGGAAAATTCTTACCGAACCAACAGCGACGTCCTTCTCGCCGCTGTCCTTGAGAACCTTGGCGAGGACACCCTCATCCTGGAACTCGAAGTCCATCTGTGCCTTATCGGTCTCGATCTCGACCAAAACATCACCGGGCTGGAGACCGTCTCCGGCCTTCTTCTGCCACACACCAATGTTTCCTGCGGTCATTGTCGGCGAAAGAGCCGGCATGCTAATGAGTGTGTGAGGAGGGAATGCTAGACATATTGTTAGAATTCATGCGCGAGGCGAAGAAATAGGACAATTGCCATACACTTGGAGGCGTAGAAGCGGGAAAGAGCGGAGAGCGCAGGCGCTTGGGTCCTACAAAATCCCATTAGCATCGATTGATCAGTGCAATTGGATCAACAGAGCTTACTGCATAACTTCCTGAAGCTTGGAAGAGACCTGGGGACGGCGCATAGTCGCCGCGCCGCGGGACATGAACATGGCGCTCGGGGTGCGCATCCGGATAGCTGACGCAACCATGGTGTCTGAGACTATGCTGCGATGATAAAAAGATAGAGAGATAAGGGCCCTCAACGCTGAGATGAATAAATAAAAGGAACCCGGAACGCGGAATACGTAAAGGGCCGAGAAAGGATGCGGTTGGGGTGGAAGGAGATGCCTCTAAATCACGAACTTTTCTGTTGAGCCCGTTGCTCACCGGCTTTACCGCCTAATCGCCTTGCTAAGACAAATCTTACACCGCCGTTACCATTCCATACCACGTACTGTGAGGGCTTGAGGTTGTTCGCAAGATCTGGAGATTATGGGGGAAAAAGCAGAATTTAGCAATGATGAACAGAGAAAATAATTTTGACATTATTCTGAAAGATTCAATATCTGGAGAAGCGTAATTTTTAGGTTATGAAAAGCTTTAAATTTGGATCTTAACGAAACGGGGTACTTGACTTAACACGGTGTCTGTATTCGTAATTCCGGTATGTTAATTTTCTGCCGGCCAAAGCTAGGACCCAGGCACCAAGGCGGCAATCTCAGGCATTTGGGGGTGTGGCCATCGTGTCACGGACTGCAATCCTCCACTCCGTCCTCCGCCGCATGGATTCCGGAGCTGGCCGCTCATTTCGGAGACTGCATACTGAGTTCGAACTTTATAAGGTTGAGCATCAAGGCCGTTTGTGTCGTCTCTTCCAACACATTTGGGCTTGCAAAGGATGAATAGGTTCATCTTGAGCTACGCTCTTTCCTAAGCTCATATATGTAGGAAATTCACCAGCAGCTCCACAGCTCTCAGAATGGGTTCTTTCCGGACATCAACACGTCCGGCCTTGGCTTCACTCCGAGTACCCTATGTATTCCCTACCAACGTGAGCACTTCGGGAAGCGAAGGCTTTGACGCTTAATCATGAATCATCTTTTCCCACGGGGTCACTACGAGTAAGAAACCACTGCGTTCTGAGGTCCCGATTCTGGTATCTAGCCAAAGTCGCCGGCGGAGATAAGTCCGTGAGACTCTTTGAAAGCAGGGTGCGTAACATTTTCGAGTATGTCTACAGTTTCCGCTGTAGGGAGCAGCCCTGAGACGTTCAAGTGATAGTGCACATTTATTTAGCTATAGTCGCATATAAATAATTAAGTATCCATGTATATATATGAGACCCGTAGCCCTATACAGGCTGCAATAGCAGCCACCGTATCTATAGATTGTTAAAAGCACTTGAGCAACGACTAGATACTGATCAAGTGGTGTGAATATTCTTCTTTTAGTTCGAACTTGATGATGATTGGTTCCCACTGTGGCCGTTCCAGCCCTCACGTAATCACGTCACCTGACACCTGTGGATGCTGCGGGAAATGTATGGGGACACGTTGAAGCCGCGATACTGCGCATATCTTCTTCATTTGCTCGTTCAATGTTTTTGATCTGATTGCATTGCTCCGCCCGGAGTCACCTTGACAATGGCGGACGTTGAACCCGGCCCCGAGCCGAAACAATCCATTGAAATGCCTGAGAAACCCGTGGAGACCCCCGAGGTATCCCCAGCAGCTCTAGAGTCTGACGAACACGCACTACCCGAGCAGACCGAATCGCAAGACCCAACACACGAGGAGAATGCGCAATCGCCCCAGGAGGAGGAGGAACCAGACGAAAAGCCAGATGTACCGCCTAAGGATGATCTCGAAGCCGAGGAGGAACCCCAAACACATGGTCCACCCACGATTCAGGAACCACCCGCAGACGATGCCAATGCCACCGAAAGCAGACTGCGATCTGACTCACGATCCACTACCGCCACATTCATGACGCAGCGGTCTGGGCCAGTCAGCTCGACGGTCTTCATCGTGACAGCTTTGGACAATATTGCTGCCTCCCGGGATGCCCGGAGGGACAAGAAGCTCGAGGATGCCACACAGGTGGCCCTGGCCAATATCAAACAGACCGAAGGGCAACCCATCGACCCGGAGCTTATTTTCCGTCCATTGCATCTAGCAAGTAAAACACTTAGCATCCCGTTGCAGGTGACTGCGTTGGATTGTATTGGAAAGTTGATCACATACTCCTATTTCGCATTCCCATCCGCCCAGACCGAGAACGAAGCCACCCCTGAACAACCTCCGCTGATCGAGCGCGCTATCGATGCAATCTGCGATTGCTTTGAAAATGAAGCTACGGCGGTTGAAATTCAGCAGCAAATCATCAAATCCTTATTGGCGGCAGTTCTCAACGACAAAATTGTGGTTCATGGAGCTGGTCTCCTGAAGGCTGTCCGTCAAATATACAACATCTTCATCTACTCCAAATCCAGCCAGAACCAACAGATCGCTCAGGGGTCGCTCACACAAATGGTTAGCACGGTATTTGAACGAGTGCGGACACGCTTGGACCTCAAGGAACTCCGATTAAGGACGGCAGAAAAGGCATCCTCGACTCTCGATGCCTCAGCAAGTGATGTTGGCCAAGCTTCAGACGCGGCTTCCGTGTCTGGTGTTGACCAGCCCGACCAGCCCGACCAGCCTGTGACCAAAGACCCCAATGCTGAAAAGCTCACTCTGCAGAGCTTTGAGTCGCCCAAGGAGGTTACCTCTGTCAACGACAATGCGCCAACTACGGTTACCCGCGCTAAACGGTCAGCGACGCGATCAATGTCCGGCATTCCCGAGGAGAGAGATGATGATAGCCTGGCCGAGGATGATGTTGATGAGGTCTATGTCAAGGATGCCTTTTTAGTATTCCGCGCATTGTGCAAACTGAGCCACAGGGTCTTGACCCACGAGCAGCAGCAAGATGTGAAGTCCCAGAACATGAGGTCCAAGCTCCTAGCGCTGCACTTGATCCACTACCTTATCAACAACAACACCACAACTATCATCTCGCCTTTAGCGACTATCAAGAATAGTTCCAACAGCACGGAACGCATGACACTGCTGCTTGCTATCAGGCCCCATCTTTGCCTCAGTCTCAGCCGCAATGGCGCAAGTGCCGTGCCTCACATCTTCAAGGTTTGCTGTGAAATATTCTGGCTGATGCTGAAGGACATGCGTGTCACGGTCAAAAAGGAACTCGAGGTGTTCATGAAGGAAATTTACCTCGCAATTCTCGAAAAGCGCGGTGCCCCCGCATTCCAGAAGCAGTACTTCATGGAAGTCCTGGAAAGGCTGGGTGGTGATCCACGAGCTTTAGTTGAAATCTATCTCAACTACGATTGTGATCGAACTGCATTGGAGAACATCTTCCAAAAGTATGTGCTGCAAACCCCAACCATCTGGTGGAGCTAATCCTTCTAGTCTCATTGAACAGTTATCCCGGTATGCCAGTATACCAGTTGTCACATCCTCCTCTCAGCAGTACCAGTACCAAGAACAGCATACCAAGATGACAAGCGTTGGCTCTGAATGGCATCAACGAGGCACACTGCCCCCATCATTGACCAGTGCTCACATTGTCCCGACCCCGCCACCCCCGATGCCTAATATTCCATCCGATTATGGACTAAAGCAGCAGGGGTTGGAGTGTCTCGTTGAGATGTTGCGCTCACTCGACAACTGGGCTACACAACGCACTGATGACCAACCTGCGGTTTCCATGCCATCGAAGTCCATGGACAACTCTCGCGAATCCTTGGACACAAACGTGCTTGCGTCTCCGCATCCCGAGGCGTTAGAGAGTGGAACAGGCCGTTCTACGCCTTTGCCTGAAGACGACCCCAATCAAATCGAAAAGGTCAAGCAAAGAAAGATTGCGCTCACGAATGCGATCCAACAATTCAACTGGAAGCCCAAGCGTGGAATCAAAGCTCTCCTGCAAGAAGGATTCATTCGTTCAGAAGCACCTGAAGATATCGCTAGCTTCATGCTCCGCACTGACCACATTGATAAAGCCACACTCGGTGAATATCTGGGTGAGGGAGAGCCGGAAAATATCGCGATTATGCATGCTTTTGTCGATTTGATGGAGTTCACGAAACGTCGTTTCGTTGATTCTCTGCGGTCATTCCTGCAACACTTCCGTCTTCCTGGCGAAGCGCAGAAGATTGATCGATTCATGCTGAAATTCGCTGAACGTTACACTACCCAAAACCCCAATGCATTCGCAAATGCTGACACCGCATACGTACTTGCATACTCCGTCATCCTGCTCAACACAGATCAGCATAGCACGAAGATGAAGGGCCGCCGTATGACCAAGGAAGACTTTGTCAAGAACAACCGTGGAATCAACGACAACCAGGATCTACCAGCGGACTACCTCGGAGCGATCTATGAAGAGATTGGGAGCAACGAGATTGTGCTAGACACCGAACAGGAACATGCTGCCAATCTTGCCACTCAGCCGGCTGCCCCGACTGGCCTTGCTACCAGGGCCGGGCAGGTCTTTGCTACTGTTGGACGGGACATCCAAGGCGAAAAGTATTCGCAGGCTTCGGAGGAGATGGCCAACAAGACAGAACAACTTTATCGCTCCCTTATTCGGGCTCAGCGCAAGACAGCAGTCAAGGACGTTCTATCCCGTTTCATTCCTGCCACGTCGAACAAGCACGTTGGTTCCATGTTCAACGTTACATGGATGTCTTTCTTGTCTGGCTTGTCTGCACCCATGCAAGACACTTCAAACCTCCACACCATTCGTCTCTGCATGGAAGGACTGAAGCTGTCGATCCGCATCAGCTGTGCTTTCGATCTGGAGACTCCCCGTGAGGCCTTTGTCACTGCCCTGGCGAAATTCACCAACCTTGGAAACGTGAGAGAGATGATGCCCAAGAACTTCGAGGCCCTCAAGGCCCTGCTTGACGTTGCTCTTACGGAAGGAAATCGTCTCCATGGTTCATGGCGGGATATTCTGACCTGTGTGAGCCAGCTTGACCGGCTACAGCTCCTCAGCGATGGCGTTGACGAAGGATCACTTCCTGATGTTTCAAGGGTGCCATCATCGGCGGATGCATCTCGTAGATCCATGCAAAGTACACGGCGCGCTCGCCCCCGTTCCATAAATGGACCAACCGCCTTCCGTCCAGAGATTGCCATGGAAAGTCGCTCAGCAGACATTATTCGCAGCGTGGATTGGATCTTCACCAACACTGCCAACTTGTCACATGAAGCAATCATTGACTTTGTTCGCGCCTTGAGTGAAGTCAGCTGGCAAGAGATTCAATCTTCTGGTCACACCGACTCACCTCGGACGTTCAGTTTGCAGAAGCTAGTGGAAATCAGTTATTACAACATGACCCGTGTCAGGATTGAGTGGTCCAAGATCTGGGATGTCTTGGGCTCACATTTCAACCAAGTTGGTTGTCACCATAACACTACTGTTGTATTCTTTGCATTGGATTCGCTCCGTCAGCTTTCAATGCGGTTCATGGAGATTGAGGAATTGCCCGGTTTCCAATTCCAGAAGGATTTCCTCAAGCCTTTCGAGCATGTCATGGCGAACAGCACCACTGCCGCCGTCAAAGACATGATTCTGCGATGTTTGATTCAGATGATCCAGGCTCGTGGCGATAATATTCGCTCGGGCTGGAAGACCATGTTTGGTGTTTTCACAGTCGCAGCGCGCGAACCCTATGGTAAGCAGTATTGGTCCATACTTGGAGTCAAATGTATCCTAACCTCAAAACAGAAACGATTGTCAACATGGCATTTGATCACGTCACCCAGGTCTATAACACCAGATTTGGCGTGGTGATCACTCAAGGCGCCTTCGCCGATCTCATTGTTTGTCTGACAGAATTCTCTAAAAACTCCCGGTTCCAGAAGAAATCCCTGCAAGCAATCGAAACGTTGAAATCAACTGTCCTCAAAATGCTGCGGACCCCCGAATGCCCCTTGTCCCACCGCGGGGCTGACTCGGCGGCTACGTTCCAGGACAATGGTACTAATCTGGCCAAGCAGCTTACTCGTCAATCCAAGGAGGAGCAATTCTGGTACCCCATTCTCATTGCTTTCCAGGATGTACTCATGACCGGTGATGATCTTGAGGTCCGCTCACGAGCACTCACATATCTGTTTGATACACTGATCCGTCACGGTGGCGATTTCCCAAGAGACTTCTGGGATGTCCTCTGGAGACAGCTGCTGTGTCCGATTTTCGTTGTCCTGCAGTCCAAGTCTGAAATGTCCAAGGTCCCAAATCATGAAGATTTGTCGGTCTGGTTGTCCACGACGATGATTCAGGCACTGAGAAACATGATCACTCTCTTCACGCATTACTTTGATGCCCTGGAGTACATGTTGAGTCGCTTCTTGGAGCTTCTGACATTGTGTATCTGTCAAGAAAATGACACAATTGCACGCATCGGTAGCAACTGCTTACAACAGCTGATTCTGCAAAATGTCTCCAAATTCAAGCAGGAGCATTGGTCCCAAATCGTTGGCGCTTTCGTGGAGCTGTTCAGCAAAACTACCGCCTATGAGCTCTTCACGGCTGCCGTGTCAATGTCTAAACCAGCTGAAGTGCTCAACGGTGATCTCACGTCGAGTCCAGATTCTGTTGCGGTATCAGGTGATCCCGATGCTTTGCAAGCGAATGCATCACAAAGCACATCCTCTTTCCAAGAGAATGGAGACCCCCCTGTGCAAAGTCAGGCTCGTGCTGAACTGGAAGACTATCGTCCCCAGTCGGATCAACAACAGCCTGCCGCGGTAACTGCAGCTCGCCGGCGGTACTTCAATCGCATCATCACCAACTGCGTTCTTCAACTCCTGATGATTGAGACGGTGCACGAACTTTTCTCCAACGAGAATGTTTATGCTCAAATCCCCAGTATGGAGCTTCTTCGACTCATGAGTCTGCTGAAGAAGAGCTACCAGTTCGCGAAGAAGTTCAACGAAGACAAGGACCTGCGCATGCAGCTCTGGCGTCAGGGCTTTATGAAGCAGCCGCCCAACCTGCTGAAGCAAGAAAGTGGCAGTGCCTCCACCTACGTACACATCCTCTTCCGCATGTACCATGACGAGCGAGAGGAGCGACGAAGTAGTCGCGACGAGACTGAAGCCGCCCTCATTCCGTAAGTGGATCATATCGACATTGTTTTCTTTTCTTTTCTATTTGCTTTTTGGTCCATTGCTAACTTTCACAGACTTTGCGCCGACATCATTCGCAGCTTTGTCCGCCTCGAAGAAGACACCCAGCATCGCAATATCGTCGCCTGGCGCCCCGTCGTCGTCGATGTCATCGATGGCTACACCAACTTCCCGCAGGATGGCTTTGATAAACACATCGAAACATTCTATTCTCTGGGAGTGGAGCTCCTCAGCCGCGATCTTAACCCGGAGATCCGCGTTGCTCTGCAGTCTCTTCTGCGCCGTATCGGCGAGGTCCGACTAGGCATTGCCCCGCCAAACCCCCTGGACGCCCCGATCAGTCCGCGCAGCTCCGTCTCTCAAAAGGCCTCGCGTCGTGATAGCCAGGTCTGACGCTCTGTTTGAATTTTGGATATCCTCGCCGTTGATTTTAGGCGTTCTATAACCCGGTGCTTCGGGTTTGTTACAAACAATTTCTTTTTCTTCTCTTTGTTCGACCTAGATGCATAGCTGTATTGATAAGATAAAATATTCCTTGATTTATTATTCTGCTCGGGCTTCTTGTATTGTGGGCACTCTGCCTGATTCATAAAATGACAAAACACCATCCATGTCCTTCTCGGTCATGGAAACAAGTTCTTCCAGGCTCCATTGTTCGCAAACACCGGACATCCTGCGATTGTTAGTCAGGGCTCTATCCTAAGTGGTGGTGATGCATAGCAACTTACCATTTCATCCGTTTTGGGCCCTGCTCTGGATTGGGCGCAACCTCACGAAGCTTCTTCCGTAGCCTCCCAACGTTTTCAATCGCTGCTCCCATGTTGCTAGGCAGAGTCTCGGCGATCTTCTTACGTACAATACTCGCCAGCTTAGGCCCATTCCCATTCGTGCTGACCATGACCTGCAGTGGTCCGTCACGATGGACGCTTCCAAAGTAAAAGTCACATTCGGGTGGAACATCGGCAATATTGGCTGCGATTCGGCGCTCCTTGCACAACTTCCAGACCTCTGAAGAAGCTTCTGGGTCGTCAATGGCGCACATCACCATGTCTGCACCATCGAGGTCGTGTGGCTCGAAGTTACGGTCAATATGTGCCACTTGCTTTTCGGAAACTCGGAATGCAACTTCTTCGTTTAGTCCGGAAGCAGGGCATACCACTGTGACTCGTGCGTCGGCATTGAGGACGTTGAGGATGCGCCCCGCAGCGACCTATCGGAGAAATATAGATTAGCAGAATATATGCAGGTGTAGATTGAATTGCATACCTCTCCGCCTCCAACCACTAATACATGCTTATCCTTAATCTGCCATGCCAGGATGAGCGAGCCTCCGCCTTGCACTTCTGGAAATTTCGACATGGTGGGATGTGAAGACATGGTGGGATGACAGATGCAGCTCTTCAAGCTATCGATAAGGAGGGTCAGTTACGGTCGACCGCACACACCTCCTGCGCAACCCGAGACTTCTTTTCCCTCTCGTTTTTCTTTCCTTTTTTTCTCTTCTTCCTCTCCCCATGCCTTCTTCTTAAAATGCGGGGAGTCCAAATATTTTCTGGGAATTCCCATCCCGGCCTCGCAGATACTATCTGCGAGCGCTTAGGAACGGTTCCTGCCAAGGCTAACCTGGGAAAATTTGCCAATGGTGAAACCAGTGTCAACATCGGCACATCCGTGCGGAACCAAGATGTTTACATTATTCAGAGTGGTAGCGAGAAAATTAACGACAGTGTCATGGAGCTTCTGATTATGATATCAGCGTGCAAGGGTGGTTCCGCCAAGTCGATTACAGGTTTGTCGTCGATCTTCCTGAGCAGAGCTTTCCCCGCTAACCTTGCATCTTCTTTTTTTTCTAGCGGTCATGCCGTATGCTGCCCGTCCTGTTTGACTTCAATCCACAGTGAATGCTGACTCAAACGAGATACTTCCCCTACTCGCGCCAATCTAAGAAGAAGAGTCATCGCGGTGCCATCACGGCTCGTATGCTCGCCAATCTCCTCACGATCGCCGGCGTGGACCATGTGATCACCATGGACCTGCACGTATGTTCCTATGTGTCGAGTTTTGTATTTTGGATATTGATGGGCTCTTAGGCATCCCAGATGCAAGGGTTCTTCGGAAAGCCGGTTGACAACCTCTTTGCTGAACCGTTCATTGCCCGCTGGATCCGGATGAATGTTCCCGGTTGGAAAGATGCCGTCGTTGTCAGCAAGAACGCCGGTGGCACCAAGCGCGTTACCTCGCTGGCCGATACCCTGAAGCTGAACTTTGGTATTGTGACGACGGATCGTCGCCGCCCTAAAGTGCCTGTCAATACCATGTCTGACAGCACTGTCTTCTTCGATGCTGTTGATGACGAACCAAGTCTAGGCAAGAAAGACTCGCAGCTGTTCGAACTGCATCTGCATGGTTCCAACAGAGCTCCTGCAACTCCTCCCATTCCGGAGGAGCCGGAGCCTGAGCCTGTCACACCACATCAACTGCTGCGTCCGGAGACTCCACCTGCGGCTCGCCGTCCCTCGGAGCTGGAAGCAGCTAACGAGTACACGGATGTGCGAGTTCGGGATGTGATCACCGGCCGTCTGGTGCAAGGCCAACTGGTGGACGACGACTACAGCATCAAGGAAGAGTCGGAATCCGGTGGCACTACACCTGGCGCTGCAAGCAGTAGCCAAGAAAACACTGAGGTCATTCCCGATGCCATGACTGGCTCTATGATCTCAAACGCATCTTCACAAGCTCCTGATCATGCGCTTGGTGGCTCCTTTGACGCAGCTGAATCCGATGACGAGGCTAGTGTTTGTGGCCCCGCCGATGAAAGGACCATCACGCTGGTTGGTGAAGTGCGCGACCGATCTGTCTTCATCGTTGACGACATGATTGACAAGAGCGGTTCGTGGATTGCCGCTGCAGAGACTGTCGTCAAGCGCGGTGGCGCTGGCAAGGTCTACTGCATTGCTACCCATGGGCTGTTCTCCGAAGAATCTCTTGACCAAATGGAAGCATGTCGATCGATCGATCATATCGTTGTGACCAACACCTTCCCGATCCCTCCGTCAATGTTGCGGCGATCGAAGAAGCTGATCGTCATTGACGTGTCAAGTCTATTGGCAGAGAGCATTCGGAGGCACCATTATGGCGAAAGGTTTGTTTTCACCGACTGTGTCGTGTGACCGTCCACTAACGACGAGCAGCGTCTCGGCCCTCTTCCACCTTAACGACTGATGCAGATAGTAACGAGGAAAACGACACGAAAGAAACAACCCTCGGGCGGCGTTTTTGCATTGCAGGACTGCGATGACATGATACCTATTTCCTATCAAATGAACGACCTTCCGTTCCACCCCCTTCCCCTTGTAAACTGGACAGATCCACTTCCCGATCTTCGATCCCCCATCCCTCAAACCTCAAACCAGCGATGCAGTCTACTCTGAGTTCTGCAGGAGCATCTCGTTTTACCACAAGGTGTTCTTAACGGAGCGTTGGCAGATTAAAACCGGATCTTTCTCTTACTTCATGCTGTACTCCAGCATGGAGATGTCACCCCTTTCTCAGTTCTTCGGAACGATTTGGTCTCGGCCGGTGGAAGTGGTGCAAGAGATGATCTCGAACATCATGTAATATCGATAGCAAACAATACACCCGAAATTATTTTTGGCATTCCGGTTCACATTAATCATTTTCGTATCCCAAAACCTCATATGATCTTCCCATGCGGCTGGCCGTCCCTTGAATTCTCGAAGCCGGTTTGCGATTCAGTTGTGGTCTGGTGATCGCCTGTATCACATCTATAGCCAAGTACCTTGGTATACTGCAATGGGAGTGTCGGTGTGCACGTTGCCATACCCACTTTGTTCCAGGCCAAGTATACTTCAGACCGAACGGCTATGGCTGGGCCAATTTGCAATCTTCAGGTGTGACAGATAGACCTAGCAGCAACTCAAGCATCGGGTAATCCCTGGACGGAACTGCAAGGCTCGACCCTGGGAAACCCACCGTTACTTCTCATATACTGGAGCTGCCTCATCCAGGCGCTGCAGACCTGTATCGAGCTTGGAACCTTTTGAAATGTCAAAACTAGCCGGGATGTGACAGATGTTAATTATGTTCTATCTTCTTACGCGGCTATGACAAGCAATTGGACCAAGCGTATGGAGTATGGAGTACGGAGTCTCCGTATTTTGTGCGGAGTACGAAGTACGAAGTTCTGGAGGAGCTGAAAAGTACAGTACTTTTTTTTTTTAGTGTACTTTGTTCGGGGGGAATTAAATGGTCGAATAGTTCTTATTTTGTCTCAGCATTTCTCTCCAATTAGCCAGGCATATCGTCCTAAAGTTTAGTGTCATACCTAGCGTATAGCGAATTGGCAAATTAACAAATTAGCAAATTAACAAATAGGGCAACCAGGGGCAGATGACAGGGTGGATCGTCCCCGCTTAAGTCGATGTATCCAAGTTCCTTTGATATCGAGACTTTCAGGGGGGAAAGAAGTTTGCTGAGGCGGGCCGCGGAAGTGATCGAAATCAAAAATACGAAACCAGCATCGACAGCATCGGGATCATAATTGGAACAATGCTATAGACGCTAGGACTAGTGTGATGCACCTCTCGATCGGAACCGGATTGCTGGGATGGGCATGCTTGACGATCGACTAACAAAGTACCCAAAGGACCCAGGATATTACAGCAGAAACCTCCGATCTCTGATCCAATTGCTTCGGATGGGTCCATTGTGCGCCTATCCCGTATGTTTCCTACGTATACTCCCGTGAACCTCGGACTCGTACTTGTCCGTCCCTTCTAGAATTTGTAATTCTATTCTTTTCAGTCGGAAATACCTATTTGACCTAGTCACCTATTCTACCTATTACCTATTATGTCTACACACTTCACATCGAGTACTTCCAATCATGTCACTCCGATGTCCACGATCGATTCTCATCTCCCTCATCCTCTGGAAGATCGGTACCTAGCTTATCCTAAATACACATTATATAGATTTTAAAACGAGGCGTGCGGTAGATCTTGACCTCTGTCAAATTTCTCTCGCTTTTTTTAATTGATTTAAATTCCATATTTCTCTTTTCCTTCTCAATTGAAACGGTTCAACTATTTGTCCCCGGTTAGCTGCGTCACGGTTTCGTGCATTCTGGTCGGCTCTTTTAGTTATCGTCTAGGAGTCTGTTGTCCTATATAATGGCCGTTGCTGCCGTCTCTGATCTTCATTCAATTGACTTTCGCACTGCTCTCGACTGTTTTCCCTTGCTTTAGCATCGACCCGGCTTTCTCTTTGCTCGATTCTCCTCTTATAATCCTCCATATCTGCCCCCCATTCCAGGCGCTTGGAACCCTTCTCCGGTGATCGACGCTTCCACTCCCTCGGGTCCTTTTAATTTGTACGTGACAGAATCTCGGGTCTACCCTCTTTCTATCTACCTCAGTATATACTGACGATCCCAGCTACACTTTCTTACTCTTTTACAATGGCCAACCAATGTTCCGGTCACGTCTTTGCCATTGTGCAAGCCACCAATGGCAACATTCTCACTTGGCGTTGCTCGGATTGCAACTCTGGTCCATTCGTGGCAATCTGGCGATGCAAGGCCTGTGGCCACTGTCGCTGCAATGCCTGCCACAACACCAAAGGCTGTAAGTGTGTCCCAAAATTGTTAGGTTGCAACTACTGACGTCCCAAAAGAGACTTGTGCAGCAACCCTCCGGCATTTACAGGAGTGATCTACTCCTTTGCATGAACCCGGTGCAAGGGTAGTGTCCACTCAAAGCCCCAATAGCCCCAACCCCTTGGGCCTGGGATTTTCCCTCGATCTTCTTCCTGGCTTCGATTTGGCGAGTTTTTGTGATTCCAAAAGTCCCAAAAGTTTTTGATGCATTGCATTCAGCATCCGGAGGAGTTATAGACCGTTCTTTTCCTTTTCTTTTGTTATTTCTGGATCGGGTTTTGGTTCTAGGCTTTGGTTATTTGGTTTGAACCGGTCATGTATTCTATTTGCGTTTGCGGATTTTCGTCTGAGTGAACATGTTCAATTTGGTCCTTGTTTTTCTTTTAATAGAAAATTCCAACCTTGGAAAAACCTTCACTATTCATATTTTCCTGCTTTTTTTGCTTGCCTCACCTGCACTCAAGGAATGTGTATCCTGTAGGCCTCGTCACGAGCTTATCTTGACGCCAATGAATATAATGGATCGTACTGTCGATCCATTATATTCATAGATGGTGATATCAGCCGGCCAAAAACCAAGCTCGTCCTTACGCTGGAATGCACATGATGCAGGGTCCAACCTGTCTAATTTTTCATCGAAAGCCTATTTCAAGGTTTCGGTCAGAGATCCGGCATGTCGGCCGCACATTCTTGAGCCCCTCGGCATCAAGGAAGCGAGGATTTCTCATTCGTGGACACGAAAATGATCAAGTGCGGAAACGAACCTATCCCATTCGACCGTCAGCTAGGTCTGGAAAAGGTATCCGCAGGTATTTGGCAGCACCCCAGTGGCGGTGGGAATGAGATGTATCGCCGGAAGGGCAATGCATGTTCCGTGGCTAGTGGAATTAAAGGCGGGACAAAAGTCAGACGCGATAGACACTAAAGCCACTAATTGGCACTAAATGAAGACTAAGAGAATAATGGGGATTGGGGGGGGGATGGAAAATATTTCCCAGGAGCTTGGGTCTCCCCCACGCAAGGATTATACCTGTGCGCTTAGGGTTCTGGAGTGCATAGGTCATGATCTACGGAGTACTTCTCCGTACTTGAACACCTAGATTAATTTTATTTCTACTATAATATTTACTGTCCCGATGAAGTTAAGGGGAAATTTCATACATGTCCACTACGACGTACGGAGTGCTCCGTACTCCGTATTAATTCTCAAATTAATCATGGCGCGATTGAAAGGGCTTGTGTCCACTAAGTGTAAATGCTCTGTTGAAAATGTTAGCCAAGGTCACTTCATAGAACATTATAACAAGACTCACCTCGGTAATTTGATTCACAGCCAAGCCAGGCTCTGCCATTTCGGCATCCTTCAAGAAATCCAAAGGCAACCAAACGAGATGCCCCTTAATGAGATCCAACTTCTCCCGCACATCCTTAATAGGCATATAGGGATCGAACAAATGCCCTTCCTTCCGGGATCCCCTCGGTCGGAAATTATCATAATCCTCGAACGTTTTGATGTTGTCATCTGGATCCGCCCGGAACAGCATCCGATACGTATCGGTGTTCCCGCTCGCCTGAGACGTCCAGGTGTTCCAGACCCCGTCGCTCAGGGGGTCCACTACGAAATCATTCTCTGCCCCCATGTCGATCTGGTTTAGACACTCATCTACAGATCGGGAGTTCGGGTGCTCGGGGGTATCGTATTCCTGTGCCGGTAGAAGGCCCAGATGTTCCCGCCACAACTGTCGACGTAGCGTTGCCGCCAATCGGGACGCCTGGTATGGCGCTCCGTTCATCGTGCTGGAGATCATGTCTTGATCTTCCATTACGATCGCCAGTTCGCTGTCGTGTGATCCGAGTTGGGACTGTCGGTGGTTAGCTGGCTCGATGTGTCAAGTATAACTTGTGATAACTTACTCGGTCGTTGATGTTCGCACTGCCGCAGATCACTGTCCGGTCGTCGACGATACAAACTTTGCCGTGCACGTACAGCTCCTCCTGGACAATGTTCTCCTTCTCGGCCTCCGCTTCACCTTCCCAGACCTCCTCCGACATCTTACCCCCGTTCAGCATGGTGCAGTGGGAGACTGTGTCCCTGCTGTGGAAACCATCTTCTTTCTTGCGCTGCTCATACTTCTCTTCGAATCGCTCAAGCTTCGCGAGGTGTTCAGCCTTTTTACTGGGCTCATTCTCGTAGTCCTTCTCGTTCTTGTCGCCATCCTTGCCAATACCGGGGTGTACACTTTCACTCATAATCGATTCGGCAATACCACGCTGGATATCCTGGTATGTGACATCGGCTTGCTTCTCGAGCTCTTCGAGCGCCGGGGTCTTGTTGATGCGGTCGTACGCCCGCAGGGCAAATACGAACATGTGCTCTATCGGGGTCTGTTAGAGGGATGCGTGGGTTTCCGAACTCCTGTAAATGACTTACCTCGTGGGTCAACACCCTCCTTCTCTATCTGTGCGAAAATCGAGTGTTCGCCTCGGCAGATCGACTTGTACTGATAGTCCATGATAGCCCGAGTACCCGTCGCAGCATCGTCGCGGAGATCACCAGCAAATCCGGGAATTGCGGGAATAACAATGATCACTCGGAATTTGCGACCTTCTTTGCCTGCACGTACACATGCATCAACGATTGCACGGCCAATTTGGTTGAACACCGGACCCTGCTGGTCGCCAGTGGCAGTGACTGTTATTGTTAGTAATGATTTCCTTCGCAAGACGGATGATGGACCCACTGAAGAATTGGTTTTCGATGTACACGCAGTGTTGCGCGTTACGAATCGTCTCGCAGTATGCATTTTGGATGCTATGCTCGTTCAGGATTCCACTGCTCCAGTCATCGCTACTGCGCACGATCTGAGCGCGCACGGTGCCGACGTTACCGCGACTCTTGGTGGCAAGAGGGGTCAAAGGGTGTTGGATGTAATCACCACAGGGATACTTCGGACGCTGCACAGCGATAATATCTTCTTCCTCCGTGCGACCCTCCATCAAAAGCCAGTCAACATCATGGCTGCGCTTGTACTTGTCGCGCTTGATGAAGTTCCACCGCAGGACAAAGTGCTCTGCAATATCGAATACGCAGTCACCTTGTAAACCCATGGCGACATCGTGCCACGGCATACGCCCGTAATCAGCTTTGCTGACTTCGTTGCTCTGCCAATCTTGGACGCTCTGGAAGTCCATGATTCGGTTGTTGTTGAAATCTTGACCGGGGAAAATGTCGTCCCTCAGTCCAGCTGGGTGGACGTCTGCAAGTGGGTGCTGGTTTGCATCCCACCGACCGAAACAAAGATCAATACCACCGATGAAGGCTACATTGTAATCGATCACAATGAACTTCTCGTGATGTGCCCAGTAGAGAGTCATGTCAGCGGCATTCTCAAAGACATTGTGATCAGGATGGCGCATCACTCGAATATTGCCATAGCCCGGCGTTCCCTCGGGGCAAAGATTGCGCAACGCGTGCTTAGTGTGCGCCGAGTTACAAGTCAGAGCTTGGTTCACCTGTCTCACGTTATCAGTATAATTTTGACAGCTAGACAAGAAATGTAACCAACCTCCTTGTAGACAATTACGTAGATCTTCACGCCGGCCTCGGCACGACGCTTCAAAACGTGATCTAATCGCCATTCCTGGTGCTGCACTGGGGGACGGCGCAAGAAGAGCTCTGGGGAAAGCCACCAGTCGGCGATGTAGATGGTTTCAGTGGCCTTCTCCAAGGCTTCTGAGACTGCCCACATATAGTCCTTTGCGTCTACATACCATTTGACGCGGTTGCCGTCGTGAGTGGGGGCAAAGGACTTGAAGCGATGGGACTCAGCGCGTTCTGTGCGCTTCTTGTCGGTAGCCTGCTCATGCTCCTCGTCATGGCGATGGTTTGGGTTGACGATGTTAAAGAATTTGCCGACCTTGTTTTTGAAATGGGTGGCCTCGGCTTTCACATCGTGGATATGGGTTTCTTTGACTAGATTAGTTTGAAGGTGGGGGGGGAAGTGGATGTGTCTCGAACATACCTTTGAAGGAACCCTCCAAACTCTCAATGCCATGCTCAAACTTCTGCTTGAATTTCTGCATAGTTGGAAATGTGTGAGGGGAAAGTGGGAGAGAGGGGAAGAAATCTGGAGATAATGGAGATGGGTGACATCACTTCGGCCCTACGCCTTAAGAGGAGAAGTTTGTGATACAGTGCCAAGGGGGATGTTAAATGCTGATCTACATTGACCAACCACAATACGGGACGGTCAGTCTAATTTTGTCTGTTCCTGTTCTCAGCCGCGTGGAGCCCCTCCATCTCCTCCATTTCCGTGGTTGGGATGTCGGACCACTCGGTTAGGTCTTGGCGTTGGGTAGACATTCTGTACTACGAGTACATTTTCAAGTTGTAGAGTTCTAAAATTGTATGGAGTGACATGACATTAAATAAGATAACTATTGAAGTAGATCTAGGTGGAGAAGATGTGGGGAGGTATGCTGGGAATGGAGATATATCTGCATCTGCAGACACTTCTTAAGTTGGAGATATATCGGGGTTGACTTGGACCTCGGAAGCATCCATGGATACACGGAGAACTTTTAGAACCCAAAAAAACGACATCAGAAAAGTGAGCTTAGCATTAATTGCACTATGTCGAAGCTTATTACAGTGTACACTTTGAGAACTATAGAAATCAAATAAAGAAACAAGATATTCAAGGGAGTAGGTTGTAGAGAAGCCCTAGATGGATGTGAATAACGATGTGATATGTCAGCCATGATGTAATGATAGTTGGTTCCTTGGTTCCTGCACTGTTTCCCGCGCCGCTGACGCGCTTATTGAGGATGGATGCTATGTATGTACTTCATATCACATCTAGTGGAAACATTCATTTATGGAGTCATGTAGATGGACACAATGGCTTTGACAGAATCCATATTCTATATGCTGGATCTACCTGTCTGGGGGGAAATGTCAAGCTTCAATCACGTGATCCCATGGCGATCAACCGCATGGCACAGAGTCGACATAAAGAACTATAGAATTGGGTCTGATATTCACCTCAAGAAACAGGGATATCTAACAATAGACATGGTGGAATCACCACCGCACTAGTCAGCATATATTGAGATAATATGCAGAGACAAACATAGTAGTCATTCCTTACGTTGTTATTATGGAATGCTTGCTTACTGGACTCACGTGATCTAAACAACGTTGTCAGAGGAACGGGCCTTTTCTGTTTATCTTCACTCACACAACGCGGCTAGCCTTCAGAGCCCCAAGCTGGCTCGCGAACCCCGGGATCTTGCTTCAATTTTGGATCGTCGTTTTTGGACTGTATATTTACATCGTCGTTTGCTCTTTCCCGAAATTTTGGATGCGAATGGTCTGCTGAGCGTCGTGGATTATCATCGCGCAGGGTCATCTCCCTGGTTACCGACTCCTCCACTTTTTTACTAACTCAAACAGCAACGAGCATAATGCCACCTGAACTAGGTAAGTTCGCCTAAAAAATCTGCTGCGGGTCATTGGGTTCCTTTCATGCTGACGGCCTGCAAAGCCCGAGCTCACTCCCAGGGCAGCGTTGTGTCCCAGTCGACCCTGATCGCTCCCCACAGTCGGCCAGGTACCGCAGATCCAGTGCGAGCACGCTCTGAAGCTGTCTCCAGGGCCAGCCGCCGTCCCCGGTCAAGAGGATCAACGGCGAGCATTCACTCGAGTACTACGCAACAGACGCAAGATCAACACCTCGACGGGTTCCCTCAATTCATGCCCTCACAAGTCGGCGCCGGTCCGCACATGTTCCACAACCCAGAAGATATGCTCATGCGATTTGGACATCAGCTTTCAAACCACCCGGGCGCCACGGGCATGGACGGAACAATGCAAGATACACACGCCGTCATGCCTCGCGCCGAGGATTTCCACGCTCATCCTATGCACGGCCATACCCTTTCCCACCATTCTATGCCACCTGAGATGCCAAGCGGTCTGTCGAACGTTCCAGCGGCCTACCAGCAAATGTATGATAGTGGTGTTGAGAATCACCTCCCCGAGCATCTCGTCGAGGAGCCTGAGGCCCAAGAAGTGGGTGGAAAAAAGAAAAGGGGAGTTAGCTCAACGGTCGCAAATGACAATGAACTACGAAAGCTACTTCGTCAGTATGAGGGATGGAACCTGAAGCAAATGGCAGCGGAAGTCATGAAACATGAAGGTGGTGGAGGAAAAGCAGAAAAAGTCAAGCAGGTGTTCGCTATGATCTGGTAAGGGGAAATCGATCTCATATCATTACTGTCTCGGGATTGATGGGCTAACATTCTCGCAGGTTGAGAGAGAATTGTCGCAAGAGCAGTGGCTCTGTCCGACGCGATCGTGTGTATTGTTGCTATGCGGAGAACTGTGGCACAGAACGTGTTTCGGTGCTCAACCCTGCATCTTTTGGAAAGTTGGTTCGAATCATCTTCCCAAATGTCCAGACTCGGCGACTTGGCGTCCGAGGCGAGTCCAAGTATCATTATGTCGATTTGTCCGTTATCGAGGAAAAGCAACAAAAGATCGCTCCTATGCCTCAAGTTGCTCGCGCCTCCAATGGCCCGGCCTCAATGCCATCGCGACCTGCCAGTGCCATGCGTTCCCGAAGGTAAGGATTTGCCAACATCTGCAGCACTTGCAAATCCCAGCGTCCCAACTAACAAATCATTAGTGCCAGCGTCCAACAGCCAACAGCTGACACAGCTGTCTTTCCTTCTCCTACCACCTCATTCGCACCCCGATTCCCCAACAACTCTATGCCCGCAGACTGCAATTGCCAGGGCCACGGCTCATCTGCCCCCGATGAAACGATCACCCGCGAGAACGTTGCCCAGCAGGCTGGGAAGATGATCCATCAGATGCTCCAGTTCCCTCTCGATGAGAACACAGTAGTCGACAACGATGCCCTTCAACTTCCTGATGTTCGGACTTACCTCCCAGCCAACACCGATCTGAAGGTCGCTGCAGCTCTCGCTGCACTTTATCGTTCTCACTGCATCTCGGTCATCGACAGCTTCCGTTACTGCAAAGAACGTAACTTAATGAAATATTTCTCCGCGTTCCATGGAACATTGACCGTTCCTGTTCAAAAACTGTTGACTCACCCCAACCTTGCACCTTGGATCAAGGAGTGTGATTGGATGATGTATCAGAAAATGATTGCATTCGTGGCTCCCCTCACAACTCAGGTTGTACCGAAGCCGGTCCTGGATGCGTTCATGTCCATTTCCCAACGGCTCTGCGGCCATATCACCGAAACCTTCAAGACCCAACCTACTCATGTCTCCCTGGCCCGCCTAATCCCCGCTCACATTTTCTGCAATCTCCTCAAGCACATGCTAGACGTGAACCAAGCCGCCAATGCCGCCGCCGCTTGGCTTTGCCACCCCGACAACCGTAACCAGATGTGGGTCGACTTCAAGACTATGGTCGATCCTCGGGATATGATGACCAAAGCCAATATTCCCACATGTGCCGAAGCAGCGACTGAGCAGATTCTCAAACACGACATTCGTGCCCTTCTTACGCCATTGACGGATGCCGATCCCTCGGCCTGCCTGCCCTTCTTCACTCGCCCCGATAACCCGGAATCTGTTGAGGCTCACCGATTCCCAGTGGAAAGTGCACCTGGTGATGAATATAATTTCCCCGACAAGTGGGTACAATTCATTCTGAACATCCCTGCTGCTTTCGCAAGCCATCGCACGCAATGTGTCATCGAGAAGGTAGATGCACTATGGGACAGCGTCCTGCACAGGCTTACTTTGGGTGGGGCTCAAAGCTTCAGCGCATGGTGGATGACCAAGGTCTTTTTCCATGAGATGATGGTCTGGCAAGCAGAAAAGGGAGGCTTCATGCGCAACACTCCTGGGTCATTGCAGAGCGCCACCTTCGGACCTGAGTCAACAGGCAACTTTCAGTTGAAACAAGACTCTGCCGCTGAGCCGTCCCCGTTTGAGACCTCGAATGAGTCTCAAAAATCCAGCAACACACCTCCAGTTCCTCAAACAGCCCATCAGACACAGCCTGGCGCCCACCACCCGGATTTTAAGAACCCTCACAATGAGAAGCGCCTCTCACTTCAAGACCCAGCGTTCCAAGGTCACAACAACGATGACAGTGCGATCGATCTCGAGGATGATACTATGCTGCTGGCAGTTGGAAAATATGGAGACATGATGGTCTCAGACCCCGCAGATGCCGAAGGCGATGTGGTCGTCATCTAAATGTTCAGTTTTTTTGTTGATTATTGTTCATCAGTTGGAGTTGGATATCCCTTGTTTCTGGAAGCCGCTTTTTGTTGTGGCGTTCCCACGATTCTCCTTTGTTATTTCTTTTTTTTCCCTTCCCTTTGTTCACACGAAGCAACGAGACACGAGCATGGGGCTCATCGAGTCTCCTTACGACCCCGGCATGCCGGGTGTTTGCTCATCAACAGCATTTAATTGGCGTGAACTTCAGTTCCACTTTCCCTGTTGGGTACTACTTTTGGGCCTTGAAAAAGCCCCTCTGTACATATGCACCTATACATACCGGAATTTCCTTGCGGGTAGGGAGTTCCTATTTGGACTGCCTCCGCTTTAATAAGGGTGCTCAGGCTCAGGCTCTCAGAGTAGGTATCAGCACAAGCTCAGAGTCAGTGATTAGTTCAGAGCAATCACATCCATGCTGATACTATGTAAACGCTCATTGGATACTCACTGATTACTCTTGAAGTCAATGCCACTCTGTATCCAATCAATGAACGACTCTGTTTATTCAGACCACCACAGACTATACTTAAGTACTTTTAATAGACCAACCTCAGAAGGCCTTCTATACTGCGATATTTAATTCGTAAATAACGTCACAATCCCTCTTACTTTCTGAACCCTGTCTTTCTTATCAAGAAGAAGATATATCATTTTCATAGAACGCAAAAGAAAGTAAAGGACTGCTTTTGTTTTAGAATATTGTGAATAAAAATTCTTTCTGAACACTTATTGTAACTCGAATTGTCTCAAAGAAGAAGATACTATAGCGGAATTGCTTGCCCATCACCTCGAGGATCGCTTCCAGCGCTGAAAACAGTTTTTCCAGCATCATGCTGGCAACGAATCAATTGGCCGCGGCCAAACATTGCTCTTTCATAATCTTTCAACACTTGAACTTTGTGTCCAAGTGACTTCAAGCCCTCGATGGTCTCGTCGGGAATTCCTTCTTCGACATAAATCGGTGGGTAGCCCTCTGCTTCACTGGATACAGCCCCAATACAGATACGAGGTGCGTCGATCGCTGCCTGGGGACTGAGGTTGTATACCAGCATGTTCAAGAGAACTTGCACATGCCCCTGAGGTTGCATGAATCCCCCCATGACTCCAAAAACCGAGTGCAATGAGCCATCTAGGTTAGTCACCATGGCCGGAATGATGGTATGGTATGGCCTTTTTCCCGGCGCGAGCACATTCGGATGGCCATCCTCAAGTTTGAAATTTGCTCCACGATTCTGCAACGTGAAACCACATTCCTTGGGAATGATACATGATCCGAAGTCTTCGTAGTTGCTGATGATGAAAGATGCGCCGTTCCCATCTCTGTCCGTGACTGCAAAGTAGACAGTGTCGCAGTGATTGTGCGCTGGACTCCCATGGGAATAGAAAGGCGAGGCCCTCCCTGGATCAAAAAGCTTTGCACGTTCGGATAAGTAAGACCTTGACAGCATTTCCTGGACAGCGACATGGACGACATCGGGGTCAGTCACCCACCAGCTGGCATCTGCGAACGAAATCCGAAGACTTTCGATAATTGCGTGCAAATACTCGGCACTATTGTGATCCTCGGGTTGGAACTTCGGAAGACGTCCGGTCTCTTGCAATTCCTCCAGGATGCCCAAAGCCATGAGAGCAACTATTCCCTGTCCGTTAGGGGGATGCTCCCAAACTTCGACACTTTCTTCCTCCCCCGAAGTCCCAAGGGTCTTGGGGTTGAACTGTAGAGAGATAGGATCGACTGATTGGGTACCAGTTTGGGCGTGCTGCTTCAAGTCTTCGAGCGAAAGATAACCTCCACGGTCTTGGACCACCTTGGCCATCTCTTCAGCAATCCTCCCCTCGTAGAATCCCGGTTTTCCTTCTTCACCTAGTTTCCGAAATGTTTTTGCAAGATTAGTATTGCTGAAGATTTCCCCCGTTCGAGGATACCTGACTCCGTCCCTTGCGGTCGGGTCTGGCTTGAGCATTTCTCGGAAGTTTGCAGATGCATTTCGAATCATGTCTTCGTTCAGTCGCCACTAGAGCTATCTTTCAGTACGTCTATCGAGAAATAAAAAAAAGACCCTCACTCACCTTATAAGATGCGATCTCGGAGACTGGAAACCCTTCCTCGGCCAACTTTATCGCTGGTTCGAGCACCTGGAGCAGGGAAAGCTTGCCGCTCCCAAACTTCTCCACAGTATCAACCCAGCCTGCAGCGGCACCTGGTGTAGTAATAGACAAGGGACTATCGAAAGGGATCGATCCTTTATATGTTGATGACACACCAAGATCACCTCTCACTTGGTCTAATGAAGTGCCAATGGGGTACCGACCGGAGCCGTTAAGACCGTGAACCTTTTTGGTCTTGGCCTCGTAAAAGAGACAGAACATATCGCCGCCGATTCCGGTAGAGCATGGCTCGGTAACATTTAAAGCGGCGGCTTATGAGACTTAGCTTTGATCCCAAATGTAGTAAAGACTGAGCACGTTACATACCGACGGCTACAGCTGCATCCTTTCATCAAGAGTCAGTCAAAAATGAGAATGGATGAGAAAAAGGAAAAGAGTATGATAAGCTCACTGCTGCATTTCCACCTTCCATGAGAATCCTCTGCCCAGCTGCTGCGGCGAGTGGTTGAGTACAAGAAACCATTCCATTTGTGCTATGAACCGTGCTTCGCCTGCTTGCAAAGGGCATAAACTGTTGATTACTGTATGGGTTGGCGGCCATTTTGATTGGTGTTTCTTCACACTCCAAATGGAACAAGCAGTACTCAGTTCAATTTGAGTGCGCAAATTACTTCGGCGCGGAAAGCGGATATTTATACCACTGGGCATGTGGGTGGAATTGAGCCACCCCATGGAACTGAGCTCCACAAAGCTACGCCCCCGTCCGAGGGACACGATTTGATCTATCGGGACTCGCAGATAGCTTCATCCCCGCATTCTATTTGCGTCAATAATGGAGTTGTCTTACAGGTGGGGAGCCTAAGAAACACCGCTCGACGCCCAGATGCAAAGAGGAGCCTAAGCGAAGCTCCTTTCTCCAAGTGCATCACATCCAGCAGTTTGGAACGGGAATGAAAATAATAACACAAATCCTAATACCCCCCAATGCCGAGGCCTCATGCTTCTCTAAAATCGGGACTCTTAGGGTTGAAAGTTCTCTGATACAGACCTTGCTTGCCCCATACCCAGCCGAGTGAAAATTCACACTTGCGCAGTTTTTATCCAATACGACGAGGAAATCATACCATGGGTTGATCGCATATCAGATAGGAAGTCACCGAAATTGGGGGCGAATGTTCCTAGAAGGCGTTCGATGTCCGAGACGATGGCGCCTTCTAACAACATGCCCACACTCGATTGATGTGGTTGGTCTATTGTCTTGAACCACTGGGCTCTCCTCAATTTCCGCGGATCAAATGAAAGATAAAGTCGAGCAGCCTGCTTTTCAAGTTCTCCACTCGTGCTTTATTTGGCATATTTTCCGCGTGTTTTTGTTTATCCGTAACAATTCAGGTGACCATGCCAGTTAGGTATATCAATCATTTGACTCCTTCAGGAGCAACTTGTATCTTTGATTTTTCTCAATCTGCCCTTTCCATCTCCTACATCCAATAGAACTTTGGAAGCACCGCAATTTTCAACCCCTTTGGTAGTACATACCTAAAGCGACAAATATTGTAACTCGATATCGTCAATCGGTCGGTCATCATGCGGACATCTGAAATTCTTACCTTCATGCTCGGCGTGAGAACTTGTATCAGCACTGTTGCAGGTACGCGCTCGCAATCCGAGGAAGTCATTGGAAATTATTACAATCAGTATATTGACCCCATAAATCATCTGGTATGAGTAACAGCTAAGTCGAATGCAGCTGGAATGTCTCCGATGGAATATATGACCTGACAAGGTCCACTGTCATGAACGTGACCAAGCCCAAGACCATCAAAAACATGTTGGGATCTCGAAAGACTGCTATCATCGAGCCCTCGAGGTCCGCGTTGATAATGATCGACATGCAAAGTGAGTTTTGTCTCAAGAACGCTGTGTCTAAGTGCATTATGCAGACAGCTGACATATTTACAGATTACTTTTTGCACCCGGACCTCTCGCCGGATGCCACCGCCGGGAGATCTATTGTGAACACAACAGTTCGGATGGTCGAATCAGCCCGAAAATCCAACATGACGACTCTCTGGGTAAACGTGGGTAACTTTGAAACTGCCACAATCATTCTTGAGACTGACATTTGGCAAGTGGGGAATCGATGACTTTGATCTTTTGACGATGCCACCGTCGCTGCTGAGCGATTTCAGCAATGGTTCGAACTCAATGTCTGGTGCGTCTCACATTATACGAGTAGTTCCGAGCTTGATTAACACTGGCATAGAAACCTTTGGGAGCGAAATGAAAACGGTTAATGGCATCGAACCTGGCAGACTTCTATGGCGTGGGGCTTGGAACAGCGAACTATACGGCCCGTTGAAACCCCTGCATGCTGAAGGGGCTCGGCTAGGAACAGACCATTGGTTCCACAAAAGTAAGTAAAGATACTTTCAAGGCGGAACACGGCTCATCTGACCTGATTTCAGATCGACAGAGTGGTCTTTGGGGAGCCCAGACACCGCTTGGTCTGTGGCTCCAGGAGAACCAAATCACTACGCTGTTCCTTGGTGGCGTTAACATCGACCAATGCGTTGTAAGTGGAATTATGGCCTTGTTGATGTTCACTATTTACTCACCTGCATAGTGGGGTACATTGCTTGATGGATTTTACAAGGGCTACGATGTCGTACTCGTACCTGACATTTCCGCTACGACCAGTCCCTACTAGTAAGTTCAGCGAAACCTCTGACTTCTATGACGACTAAGACTGACTTCTGGCCAGTGCGACCGAGATGGTATACTACAACACTGACTGTAAGTTGAAGAATTTGTTCTTGTTATAGAAAGGTTTACTGATGATTCGACCTAGCCCGAGGTTTCATGGCAAATTCCACCGAGATTATCAGAGGTCTCGCGAATTGATGTTCTGGTTCTGCCACAAAAGCGAAAGCAAACATTTTGTTGAATGGAAAGCAGTCTTGTAAATAAAGGGCTTTTAGCTACAGAACTTTGAGATAAGACGAATGAAAATCAGTTTGGTTTCCCGAATGCTCTCCACATCAACTCATTCCTCCTTGGCAGTCCCACCCCTGCCGATCACAATTGTTGGGCCCCAGTGTCGGATATCACGTGAATTTTGGTAGCGGCTATGGAGCTTCAGTTCCTAGCAAGCTTTCCACGGCGTCAACTGATAAAGTGAATCTGCATCAGGCAATATCTTCGTGATTGAATGTTTTCTTATTACTGTTGTTCTTGAACAATGGTGCATTCTTTCCAGAGATTCGCCATTACTCGAAGTATATCATCCGCTCCCTGTCTGCGGAAATCGTTGGTTTGTTGCAGGCAGCCTGTCATATCTGCTTCTTCCGCAATCACCTATCCACCAGTCCACCAGCATTTCGGGAGGAATTCTTTCAAAATACATCACGACGATGGATGTAGGTGAAAGTTATTATTGCTTTGATCGCAACCACTAAATTCCAGCTAGATTCAACGAGACTGACCGTTTGAACGAACGATATGTCAAGTTTCGACCGACAGAGCTCCAACGGATCGCCGGGGAAGCAGTACAACAAGAGTATTGCCCTTATATTACTAAGTTTGCAGAGGGGGGCTTCAACAAAGTGTTTCTTCTGCGAGCAAAGAATGGCCGTGAAGTGATCGCGCGAATTTCGACACCTATTGCCGGGCCTCCTCATTATACAACTGCCAGTGAGGTGGCTACCATGGACTTTTTGCGATCTATCCTCAAACTTCCGGTACCGGAGGTCCTGTCTTATTCAGCATCATCGGACAATCCCATCGGAGCAGAGTATATTCTGATGGAGCGAGTGAAGGGAGAGAGTCTTGCTTCAAGGTGGTTATCTCTCACCACCGATGAGACGAAAGATATCATGACACAAATCGCAGATATGGAGAGGACGATTTTTGATTTCCATTTTCCTGCGTATGGAAGCTTATATCACAAGAAGGACCTTGACGGGGAAACCCAGATACCAATCGTGGAGGATTTCTGTATCGGCCCGGTGTCTGCTCGGCAGTTTTGGCATGGTGAACGAAGCAAACCCGAAATTGACCGTGGACCCTGTACGTTCCTCCCTTTCTCCCTTCCCCCTCTGTTCTTGGACTTTAGAAAAGTAATCCCCATGACCGGGATTGATACTTGTCAGGGCTTTCATCCGAGGAATGTGTTACGTCCGCGGCTCGCCGAGAGATGGGTGTCATTCAACACCACGCCAAAGCTCAGCCTCGCCAAACTTTTGTTTTACCGACTAACCATGACATTCTTCCCTCTGAGCACATCTCGTTACTCTCGCGATTCCTACAATTGGCGCCTCATATAATCCGACCGGGTTCTTACAGCGCTCCGACGCTGAGACACCCCGATTTGAGTCTGAGCAACATTTTGTTGGCACCTGGATCAACTAAAATCATCAGTATCATCGATTGGCAGGATGCTGTGATATTCCCCCGCTTCATGCAAGTGGGTTATCCCGCATTCTGTGCACACGATTCCTCCAAACCACAAAGCATGCATATTCCATCTCTTCCCGATGATTTCGATGAAATGGGAATCGAACAACAGAGACAGTGCAGAGCCATCTTTCGCTTGGAAGAGGCCAACCTTTACTACACAGCTGCGACAGGCATACACAATGAGAAACACATGGAGTTGTTGAGACTTCCTCATCTCGGAATGCGGCAGTATCTTCTTCGCCAGACAGGGTATCCCTGGGACGCAGACGTAATCAACCTACGTGCTGCCTTAGTAGGTATTACGACTCCATCGGTATGGAGCAGCATCTCCTCGGCCGCTTGTCCAGTTGTGTTCAGCGATGAAGAACGAGAGACTGCCCTGATGGAATCGCAAGAATGGAATGAGTCCGAACAGCTATTGTCCCAGGTTAGAGAACACCTCGATATAGATCTGGAAGGCGGTACCGAGCCAGACAACTTTGAGAGGGCGGCGGAGGGCAATCGAAAGTTTCGTGTGGAAATGGTTCGGCAAGCAGAAGTGGACCAGCGGGAGTTATGTTGGCGAAACTGGCCGTATAAGGACGATGAGGATGACAGCATGCCCCCCGGGGATATCTAACTTTTGATGCGAATACTAAACTATGCTTGATGGGAGGAGGCTGGACTATATCGCCTTGCGACGGCTTATGGTATGTAGGCCTACACAGGCGGAAAAGCCCCGGCCACGGTACATCTGCCTAAAGATATGAATATCGATATATGCAGGTCCTAGTAATCAATAGCGAGCAATCACAAAAGAAGCGGAAAAAACGAGGTGGGGGAGCATCAAAAAAGGATCGAAGGACAGGTAGACGGGTGGCGCATATCATATTCAAGTGTTAAGTTGACATCAAACTATTTAAACCAAAGTGGCTTTGGGTGCCATGCCATTAAGCTTGGTAGCATCGGGGACCGGCACGTCGGACACATGCCAGGAATCACCGACTCTGAATCCCACTGGGAAGGGATCAGTGGGATCAACTACGACCTGCTGGAAGCTAGTGATCCAAGCACTGCCTTTCACTCTCGGTAGCACTGCTTCATATTCTCCCACTTTAGTCACACCTTGGATGGAACCGATATATTCAGTTCCGATGATGCTGGTGTGTCGAAACGCCTCGCCAACAGCAAGCTGCTTTCTAGCATAGAACTGAGCCAGACGGGCGCAGGTTCTAGTTCCACAGGGGCTTCGATCCAATCGACCCGGGGAAACGACCACGGCGTTTTGGGCGATTTTTCCATGCGCATCCTCCCCCAGGGGTGCCGTGAATATGAAGTTTGTTACTCCGTGGATGCCGGGGTTTTCTGGATGAACTGGGTGGACTGCTTCTTGGACAGCTCGCTTGATGCGCTCTCCATATTCGACAATCCGCTGGCCCTGATCTAGATCCATCTTCAAATCGGTCTGGCTAATATCCACGATTGCGTACATCATACCTCCCCAGGCAATATCACAAAGAATCTTGCCAAGGCCTGGGACATCGACTTCCAGATCGAGCTGGAAAACAAAAGCGGGGACGTTGTCGAAAGCAAAATTCTTGCATTTCCCATTCTCACATTCCGCGGTAACGGACACCAATCCGGCAGCAGTATCCAGATTGAGGGTAGTCGCCGGCTCGACCATTTTGATCATACCAGTCTCAAGCAGTGCAGTAGTGGTGCAGATAGTGTTCGAGCCAGACATCGGAGCGTACTCTTCGCTTTCCATGATCAGAAAGCCTGCATCAGCGCGAGGATCACAGGGTGGCAAGACAAGGTTGACGTTCCGTGATGGTCGACCGCGTGGCTCATTGAGTAACATTTGGCGTAGATCGTCGGACTTGGTCCAGAAGTGCATCATTTTACCGAACATCGTTTTGCCTGGAACATCCAAGACACCTCCGAGGCAGTTCCGACGAAAAACAATGGCACGAGGAGCATTTTCAAGAATACAGAATGAGTACTATTTGTTTGAGAAGTCTCGAGTGCCAGGAATTATCCGGTACATCTGCAGCTCTACCTTTCGCCCACTGGATGTCTTGATCAGTGGCGGGCTATTCTAATGTCTGTCAATTATCCTGTTCACTAAACGTTTGTTCCAAGTAGCATACATAAACTTGCAGGCTCTCACAATTTCACCTTCCGTTCCACGTACACATCCCAATCGACCTTTCTCTTTGCCTGAAACTCTCTAACGCCATAAGCACCATCTGCATCTGGTCTCATCATTTCTCCAAACAGTGCCTTGATACCAGAAGCTTGTTTCTCCTTTCCCCCGTGGGCCCAGGCAAGTCTAACCAATTCCTTAGACATGCGCGAGGCATTCGACGAAGCAGCCTTCAGCTTAACCAAGAGAGTGTCAACGCTCCTCTCTAGTTCCTCATTCGCCGTAATCTCAGCAACAATACCCAGGCGTTTCAACTCCACCGGAGTGATTACTCGAGCAGAAAGCATCACTTCCCGGGCAAAGGCCACCCCAAGCTCCCGAGTCACATACTTCGATATCGTCGCCGGACAAAGGCCAAGCTTGACCTCGCTTAGCGTGAGATTTGCTGCCTGTGTGAAAATTCGCAAATCACACACCAACGCAAGCCCGACCCCACCCCCAAAAGCAGGTCCATTCACAGCAGCAATCGTCACTTTGGGACATTGATCAATGACTTCGAAGAGGTTCGTCAACCTTGTGAATTGGGCGTTGCTCGAGTCTTCCCCGACGGCCGTGCTTCCTTTCCCGAGATCCATTCCCGTGCAGAAGAATTTGCCCTTGGCTGTTATGACGATGCGAGAAACCAGGGAATCCGCACTTGCGTTTGAGATAGCCCTTGTTAGATCGGAGATCATGGTCGTCGTCAGCGTGTTTCCGTTCTTTGGTCTGTTGAGCACGATCTTCAAATTAACACCCGATCGGAACAGTTGCAGGCCTTTGGTTTCGTTCAGCAAAGTCCAGCTGAGTTGAGATGCCTTTGGTTTCGCCGGTGATTTGGTCGCCAAAGCCGTCCCGGCTCGACTTGAGTTGCTCTTACCGAGCTTCTTGCACACCCAATGACCCGTCTCAACTAGCTTGGACAGATCGACTCCGGTCGAGATCCCTACATTGTGGAACATGTATACCAGGTCTTCAGAGGCGACATTACCCTTTGCCCCTGGTGCAAATGGGCATCCGCCCAGACCGGCGACGCTGCTGTCAAAAACGCGGATGCCGTTATTGAAGGCCTCCCATACATTCGCAACTGCTTGGCCATATGTATCGTGGAAATGACCTGCTAGCTTTTCGACAGGGATATCATTAGAAATTAGATAGCTGATAAGCTCGCGGACATTCGCCGGGGAGCCGGTTCCTAAGGTGTCGCCTAAGCTGACTTCGTAGCAGCCAGCGTCTAGGAGAGCTCTCACACAGCGGAGGACGGCTGGTAGTGGAGTTGGACCATCAAAGGGGTCCGCAAATATGCAGGAGACGTATCTGACTCCATTAGCAAACCCGAAAAGAAATTGAACCAGATTGATCGGATCGCTTACCCTCTAACAGCGATATGAGACGCTTTCGCCAGCGATGCTAGCTGGGTACTTCGTTCAATCGCCTGGGCAACAGTACAGTTGATATTGGCTTTACTAAAGCCCTCCGTGGCACTGATAAAGACGGCAATTTCTCGCACGCCATGCTGCTTGGCAATTTCGAGTCCCTTCACATTAGGGACTAGCACCGGAAGCCGAAGCTGCGAGTCATCCAAGAGTGCTTTGGTATCTGTATTACTAAGGACTTCTCGACAATCCGCGAGTTGAGGAATCGCCTTGGGCGAGACCACAGACGTCAGCTCAATGGTCTGCAAACCAGTTTGATGAAGCCGTTGTATCAGCTCCAACTTGGTCGATGTGGGTATTGTGTCTCGGATATTTTGGAGACCATCTCGAGGGCCTACTTCCACGATTCGAACTGCTGGTGCCATCATTGCGATCAGATTGCTCAAGGTGAGACTAGGAGTCACCATAAGAATCGATGACCTCGGTCCGGCTGAAAAAGCCCTAAATGCGGAGGATCCGCCTCGGTCCGCGAGCTGAAAAATGTGGGGAAAAGACATTGCGCTGACCTCAGCGTCACAACCCCAACATTTTCGAATGACTCATTATGCCACCTGAAATGCTACCTCAGATCTCTAGAGTCTTTCATAATTACCTGGCCCCAAGAAGCCCGGTTTAAGCACTGGCTTGGTGGCTCCCACTGCACTAGAAACGCGAAGTACAGAAAGACTAGCTAAATCCATCTTCTCTGGATATCGCGGAGTCGGACTGGGGGTTTCAAAGCCATAGCAAATCTTGATCAATCTCAAATAAGAGAAAATGAGAGAAAGGAAAATTCGCTCTCGCGCGGCGGAATTATGTAGGATATGCGCTTCTCTGGCTCTAAATCGCAGAATCCCATACTGAGCGAAAGTGAAATGCTTGAGTAGTACACAAAAATCTCTTAATATCCCAACAGATAGGAATTATGAATTGTTTTTCTATCCATCACTAAAGCTTTGCCTTGACACCACCTGTCAGCCGATTGCCAATATCCCGCATCAATTGCTTTTGATGCTTTCCACTTCCTGTCTTGGGGAAGTCTGCACCCACCCCTGCATCGCCTAGCCAAAATACATGCTGAGGGGCTTTGTGTCGGCCCAGCCTTTCCCCAACAAATTGCTGAATCTCTTGGTCGGTGGGCTTTTGCTTTCCAGAATTCTTCAAAAAGCACCCAACCACTTCGCCATACCGCTCGTCTTTGATTCCGACCACGCTGGCCTCGGAAATGGAAGGGTGAGACATCAGCCGCTCTTCAATTTCCCGTGGGAAGATGTTCTCGCCGCCTATTGTATATCAATCTCAAGATCACAGAGTCGTTGAGGAGGAGAATATACCTCGAATGATAAGATCTTTGATTCGACCGGTGATATGTGCGAACCCATCCGCATCAATCATGGCTTCGTCGCCGGTGTGCATCCACAAAACACCGTTCTCGTCTCGTCGCATTACCTCTTTGGTCTTTTCTTCGTTCCTCCAGTACCCCTTCTGGAGCACGAAGCCACTGGTACACAATTCACCCCGCTGCCCTCGTGATAAGATCTTACCCTTGTCATCGATGACCTTTGCAGCCGTGTGCGGGATGACCCGACCAACCGTCGTCGTACCCTTTTCATCACTGTCGTCCAATGAAGTGATAAAGCTCACAGGACTGGTCTCCGTCATACCGTAGGCGATCAGCATCTTTTTCACACCCATAGTCTCTCGTAGCTGTTCCATGAGATTCTGGGATACTGTTGAGCCTGAAGCGAGTCCGGTTCGTAGTCGACGAGGTCGTTGTCCAGTTTTGGCCATGACTTCCAATTCGGCGACGTACATGGTTGGAACACCAAGGAGGACTGTGGCATCTTCGTTGATAATGGCATCGACTACCTTTGTGACGTCGAAATAGTCCGATGGGAACACGATGGAGCTTCCACGGTAAAATGAAGAGAGAAATCCCAAGACTAGTCCGAAGCAATGGAACATCGGGGGTGGGCAACAGATAACATCGTCGGGAGTAAGTTGCATTGCTCCTCCGATGAACTGCGCGTTATTGATCAGATTCCTACTCGTGGAGTCAGTGGGTTGTGTATTCGACAAAATAATCCCAGGAACTTACGTATGTGTAAGCATTGCAGCTTTAGGTGAGCCCGTAGTTCCTTGAAGATAGATTTCCCTATTAGCATTTACTGCGCACGATGTGTCCAAGGCACTCACCGGACGTAAATTGTAAATTGACCACATCTTCACGAGTGACCTTTTTCTCTGCGCGTTTGAGCGTGGCATCGTTCATAAACACCGAAAGACCATTCGAGGTAAAGGTGTGGTAGGGCTGAACCTGAACACCTTTATCCGAGAACCCCCCAGGACCAAGCGAAACAATCCGTCGTAGCTCAGGTAGCGCTGGATTTGGGAATTGTGTCCCTCGTAAAGTTGTGATATGACCTGTCAAGTCCCGGGTGCCGATACTAGTTGCATGAAAGACAAGCTTGCATGCTAACACTTGTTAGCTATTGTCTCCACACAGTTGGACTTGACAAACTAACAACTCCTCTGAACTGCATTAGACAGCTCGATTGGTGTGTATGTGTTGTTCAGTACAACAACAGGGCATCCGATCCGAGCACCACCAAGGAAAACCTCGATGTACTCATAGCAATTGCCTGCCATGATACCCACGCAGTCGCCGTGGCGCAGTCCCATCTCGAGCATCGCCTTGGCTAGAATTTTGCTCCGGTCTGCCAGTTGGCGATATGAAAGCCGAACAGACTGCCACGGAAAGACAACCGCTGGGCGATCTCCATATTTGGCAGCCTGATCATCTATGAGATCTTTCATGGTCTTCAGACATATTTGAGGCTCTTTGGAGCCATAGACGAGTGCAAGGTTGGGATCCATTTTCTGTGTGAGGAGTAGTGTATCGATGCAAAGAGGGATAGGAGACTGCCCAAATCATTTCAAATAAAACCCCCAATCACACAGACTATGATTATGCCCTTTCAACTGATCGTCGGACTCCTTCCCCCACACCCGTTGATCTGGTCCGCTCCCGGGCTTCGGACCGACCAGCCTCCACTCGACTCTTAGAAACCCATCCCAAGATTTCCTGCGGGGAAAGTTCATTCCTGAATTGCTTTCAAGAGAATATCAGGAGTTTCATGTCAATCTGACTCAGTGTTAACTTTCATCATGGCCGCCGAGTCTTCGTTTCCAGTCGCAAACACAAACATCGACCTTCGGGGTCCACAGTTCCGAGAAAACAAAGAAAGCTGGATCCCTGTGCTTGACCGGTTTGAAGAAGCACTGAAGCAAGTCTCAGCCGAAGGAAATGACATCTCCCTGCGAAGACACCAAGGTCGTGGGCAGCTGCTACGTAAGTTCACCAGTTCGCCACAAGATGAGAGATTAACGCCAAGATAGCAAGAGATCGCGTCGCGCTTTTGCTAGACCAGGATTCCCCTTTTCTAGAGCTCGGTGCATTCACTGGGTTTGGAAATGAGGATTCAACTCCGTGTGGCAACTTGATTGCTGGAATCGGAAATGTCTGTGGTCGCATATGCCTTCTCATGTCCCATATCCCAACACAAAGTGGAGGGGCCTGGAACGAGATGACAGGTATGAAATGATTTCATTGAATGTACAGTCTAGTGCTCGCGCTGACTGAGCTCAGTTCTGAAGGTCAACCGCATGATGGAGATCGCATTTGAGAATGACCTTCCACTTGTGTCTCTAGTCCAATCGGTGAGGAATTTCCAAAACCCCCCACAGAAACCCAATCTAACAAGACAAGGCTGGTGTGTTTCTACCACAGCAATTCCGAGTTTTCCACAAAGGTGGACAGCTATTCCGCGACCTTGCCCTCCGCACCCGACATGGAAAACCTTCATGTGCAATCGTTTTCGGATCCTCGACAGCCGGCGGAGCATACCATCCTGCGTTGTCGGACTACACAATATTCGTTGAGAATCAAGCGCAGGCGTTCCTTGGTGGGCCTCCACTTGTCAAGATGGCGACCGGAGAAGTCATCGAAGCAGAAGGGTTGGGGGGTGCCAAAGTTCACGCAACGACCACTGGTCTTGCAGACCAGATCGCATGTGATGAGTGAGTTTGGTTGAGTCTTTCTGAAGTTGGGACGCTGGGACGCTGACCTCGATATAGATTTGATGCTATTCACAAGGCGCGTGAATGGGTTGCTTCGCTGCAGGCACGTACCCCTGTCGTTCCCGGCTTGATTGAACCGCTAGCACCAAGATATCCCATCGAAGACGTTTTATCAATCGTGAATCCCGATATTCGAAAGCCATTTGATATGAAGGAAGTGATGTTGCGTATTGTGGACGATTCGCGTCTCTCGGTCTTCAAACCCAAGTACGGCCCGAATATGATCACTACATCGGCTCATATCATGGGTAAGAGCGGAAGCCCTAAATTCCAAGTCCTATACTGAGTTCCTCCCTCACAGGACTCCCTGTTGGGATTGTTGCAAACCAGCTATCAGTCATCAATCCCAATGAGGCGGCAAAAGCGACGCAATTCATTCGCATGTGCAACCAACAGTTAGTGTTGCATTCGTGACCTTCTTTGTAAATACTGACATTTCCAGGAATACTCCAATTATTTTCCTACACAACGTCACTGGGTTCATGGTTGGCGCAAAGGCCGAACACGCTGGGATTATCAAGATGGGCGCCCAACTTGTTTCTGCGGTCAGTTGTTCGACGGTGCCTCATATCTCTATCATTTTGGGTGCTTCATACGGAGCTGGTAACTATGCCATGTGTGGCAGAGCCTATAGTCCCAGATTCTTGTTCTCCTGGCCGACTGGGCGCTGTAGCGTTATGGGTCCAGATCAGTTGTCTGGAGTCATGGAAAATGTCCAGATAGCCAGTGCCAAATCGAAGGGGCAGACTCTCTCACCCGAGAAGCTCAAGAAGCAGGTAAACAGCTTCAGAGACAGGGTTCAGAAAGATGCGGAGTGTTATTCGACTAGCTCAATGCTGATCGATGACGGAATCATTGATCCTAGAGACACGCGTGATGTTCTGGGAATGTGCCTGGAGGTGGTCTCACAACCAGGAGTGACGGGGACACAGACACACAATTTGTTGGCACGAATTTGATAAGCAGTGAATGGAACATGATGTTTTGCGAGTTTTTAAATTTTGACAGCCATGTACGTTACTTTCAGTAGAGCAGACTTCAATAAACTACGAGCCATTTGATTTTACTGGAGTTTACCGTCATCTCAGGCATATTCAGCGGACAAGCCATGCGATTCATGTTTTTTTCCCCTTCAGATCATCACAGTAGCCGATCGCACTCATAGTTCACCGATATTCAAACGCAACGAGCAGTCCATTCTATCCGGGGCAAAATGTGGGGCTGGAACCGGTCCGCCCCCCGCAAAAGTGTGGCCCGGATGTCGGACCGGAGTGGAGACAATCGGTCTTTGATACTGTGAAGACACCTACATCTACTATTTCCCATTGTCTGCATCCTTTAGGCTATTTCGAACATATCGTCCATCATGACAGTTGCTTACACAGAGGGCGATGCCTCAGTTGCTCGCAAACCATTATTTGTCGCGGAACCCCCATTGGGCAAAGATGGCAGACCGATTATCCAAAAGGTCTTGATCGCGAACCGTGGCGAGATTGCCTGTCGCATCATTCAGACATGTCGCAAACTGAATATTGAATCTGTGGCGGTCTATGCAGAGGAGTCAGTATCCCGAATCAGTCAGAGAACATACCCCGAGCTTGAATCAACGCTGACAAAACTTCCCAGAGACGCATCCTCTCGCCATGTCCAAGATGCAGACGAAGCTATCGAAATTGGCAGCATTGACCGAAGCACCCGAAACCCATTCCTCGATATCGAGTTACTAGTGCAGACAGCCATCTCAACTCGCGCACAAGCTATCCACCCGGGATATGGCTACCTGAGCGAAAACGCAGAGTTCGCCAAGCGCGTCCATGAAGCAGGTCTAATCTTCATCGGGCCGAGCCCCAGCGCCATGTCAACCCTCGGTGACAAGCGATCATCGAAAGCGTACCTGCGCTCCCACGCGCCCGATGTTCCCCTCATCCCTGGATTCTCGGGATCTAGCCAAGATGCAGAAGCTTTGGGTAAAGTGGCTGCCGAGATTGGGTTCCCAGTGATGCTCAAAGCGTCTGCCGGTGGTGGCGGAAAGGGAATGCGAATCGTCCGCGAGGCAAGCCAGCTCAAGGATGAACTGGAGCGCGCGCAGTCTGAAGCTCGTCGATCGTTTGGGTCAGATGATTGCATTCTGGAGAAATTTATCGAAAGCAGCAAGCATGTCGAGATCCAAATTATGGGAGACTCAAATGGTCATGTGGTTTCATTTCTGGATCGGGATTGCTCGGTGCAACGCAGGCATCAGAAAGTCATTGAAGAAACGCCTTGTCCGTTTCTCACGGAAGAGACCCGACAAAAGATGAGTGCTACTGCAGTCCGCGTTGCGGAATTGATTGGATATGAAAACGCCGGCACAGTTGAGTTTGTTGTTGATATCAACACGAATGAATTCTACTTCCTGGAAGTGAATGCTCGGCTGCAGGTTGAACATCCTATCACTGAGGAGGTCACAGGAGTCGACTTGGTTGCTTTGCAATTTTTTGTTGCAGCCGGAGGTAGCTTGAAGAGTCTTCCACCCCTTCAAGATGTCACCCAGCATGGACATGCCATCGAATGTCGATTATGTGCAGAAAATCCCGAGAAGGATTTCTTCCCAGAGCATGGCAAGGTCCATCTGTGGCTGCCTGCCGGTGGTTCTTTGGCGCCAAGTCGAGATATTCGCTATGAAACGGCCATTCAGACCGGATCATCAGTGTCCATCTACTTCGACTCTATGATCGCCAAGCTTGTCGTTTGGGCCCCGACTCGAGCACTTGCAATCGAGAAGATGGCCAAGGTTCTGGCCCAGACTGCTTGTGTGGGTGTGAAGACAAATCAGCTCTTCATGCAATCTTGTCTGTTGAACTCGGCATTTCGTGATCCTGCATATACAACGGCATTCATTCCGTCCCATCTGAAAGAACTCCTCCAAGCCCCTGCTATACCGGGACTGTCTGAATATGAAAAGATTGCCGCCATCATTCCAAGTTTGGTGATTCGCCGACTCCCGGATTTCTCCACAGGCTTGTCACGCCCAAAGCCACTTCGCAATGTCCGAATGCAATTCCGAAATCAAAGATTTGACCCTGTCAATATCCATTGCGACGTTGTGACAACGACCAGCTGGCCTAACAACTCTATCGATGAGTCAGATCCAACTTCAACACAACCAATTATGTGTATTTGGAAGCCAAAGGCAACAGGGGTATCATCTGCCGCCGAGGAAGTACACCTCTTCCCAGTTCCTAAGAGGGAATCACCCAACGGCGAGGAGTTATCGGTGGCGGCTGAGATCTCCACCCAGTATAACGAGATCAGTCAAGCACTCCGAAGTGGCAAAGCGACTTCTTCCGATGGTCACAAAGTGAAGATTGTTTCATGGCGACCTGCAGAGGGCAATCCCGCTCTTGCAGAGTCCTGGCTGGCGTCGACGATCGAAATCTCCGTCAACGGATCAAAGCTCACCGCCCATGTAGCCATCCCATCAACACGGGCGCATACATTAGCGGGCCAGGTCGACTGTGGTCAACGAATTTATTGTCATCTTCCCGCTCTCGGTACCCACGTTGAGTTCCGACGTGATACTTTGCTTTCGTTTGCGGAGAGTAAACGGTCGGAACAGGCGAATCACGGCTCTGAGCAGAAGACGGTGGCGGCCCCAATGCCTTGTAAAGTTCTTTCGGTCTTAAGGAAGAATGGAGACGAAGTCAAGTCGGGAGACTCCGTTATGGTAATCGAGAGTATGAAGATGGAGGTCAACATTTCTGTCGCGGCGTCCGGTAAATTCCAGACGAATTGGAAGGTTGGGGACGCGGTGGAAGAAGGCAAGGTTCTTTGTTCAGTTGTTTAATAATACATATGACGAATCTCATTTCCACAGAACGAACAGCCAAGTATTTATTCGATGTAAAGGAGTGGACAGCGGAGGACTTTGAAATCGCAAAAAAGGGGCTGCTGAACGAGGGAAAATTGAAGACTCCTTCAAACCGCCAGAGCAGACACCCCATGGAGCGAGTACGGACTACCGAGCACAAAAAAATAACATGCAAATAGATCAATGAAAATAAAAGCTGCGAAAGGTGTGAAATTTGATTGACAATATCTACAATTTACTCATCTTCTTCATACTCTTAATCTCCTGATTAACCGCCAATTCCGAGAGGATCTCTTCACTCCCACCACCCACTACCATAACCCGAACATCGCGACTGACTTGCTCAATACGTGCCCCACGGCCATTCTTCGAGTATCCAAGACCGCCCATGACTTGCTGGGCTTCCCTGTTCACCTTCTCTAGAGTTTGACCTGCCAAAACCTTCAAGTTCGCGAATAATCCGCCCATGGAAGCATCAACACCTTGCTTCTTGGCTGCCTGAGAGATATAGACCAACTGCTCCATCCATGCGTATGTCGAGTCCAGGCTCCGGGCCATAGCACTGAATTTCGCGCGGATAACTTGGTTTTCAATAAGCTTCTTTCCGAATGTTTCCCGCTTGATGGCGTGTTGGTATGCGTCTTCGGCGCAGACTCGCGCCATGCGAAGTGACGTGCAGGCGAGCCAAAGTCGCTCATGGTTAAAGTCTGTGGTTATGGTCAGTTTACCCTAATTCTTCTTGGTTTGGTGATTGAGGGGACCACCGTACTGTTCATAATGACGGGGAACCCCTTGTTCTCCACTCCAAGCAGATTGGCTACAGGGACTTCGACCTGGTCAAACTCGATATAGGTTGACCCACTCGCGTGGACGCCTGAGTTTTCGATCTTTTTGCATGTTACACCGGGAGCCTTGAGTGGGATGATCAGAGCGGAGATGCCGTGGGTTCCTTCGCCTCCTGTTCTCACGGCGGCAGTGCAGTAGTCTGCGAAGATCCCATTGGTGATCCATTTCTTGGCTCCATTGACAATATAGACATCTCCGTTTCTCTCGGCAGTAGTGGTTATTCCGGCGACATCGGACCCAGCTGTGAATTTTCTTAGTCGGTGTCCACTCGGACAACTGGGAGATCTTACCGTCTGGCTCAGTGACCCCCAAACAGAATCTGATATTTCCTTTCAACATATCAGGGAGAAATCGTCGTTTCTGTTCTTCGTTGCCAAAGTTGATCACCGGCGGTCCTCCGATAGAGTTGCCGCAGCCTAACGCCCAGATGATTCCGAGATATCCGCAACGGGCTATTTCGTCGATGACAACAATGTCGTGAAACTCGTCCCAATTCTTAGGATCAACGTCTCCGGGGAGTCTCTGGCCATTCAGATGGTCGGCTGCGAGTGGGAATGAGCTGACAGCAGTGTATCCAAGTTCTGCGTGTCGCTTATGAACCTACTCGGAAGAGGGACATTAGAAAAAGTTCAATCCCATGGTGTTTGAATGCTACTCACTTCTTGAGGAACGGCACCTTGCTTCTCCCACTCCTCGCAGAATGGTGAGATGTAGGTGTCGACATATTCACGGGCTTCTTTTTGGAGTCGACGGTGCGAATCCGTATAGTATGGGCTGAAACTGCGGTTCAGCCAAAGAGGATCGGCAAAGGGGGTGGTAGAGACAGAAGCCATGGTTATGTCTCTTCTGGGGAAGAATTTGAACTGAGAAAGATTTCTATCTTTTTTCAGAGATAAATTTGTGAGGTATACTTCGGACCGGGTGTGGGTAAGGCAATAGTACCAGTCGGGTGTGATTTGGATCTAAATTGAAGTTAACGCAATGGACAAACACGAAGCCGAGGAAATGTGTTTTATCCTAAAGTTGATCCCCTAAATCCCATGTCTCAAGTATAACCCAGCAATTCCCCAGTTGAACCGGACCATACTCCACCACTTCGGTCCGAAAAGTAGGACCGAAAACCCCCGCAAAATAGCAATGTGGAGAACCACTCCGATCGTGGTCATCCACCCTTTGAAATGCACAGAATAATCTTTACTAAGTAAACTATGTCCTAGCGAGATACCGTAGTCTATTCTAATTACAGCATGAACAGGATGTAGTTGATCCCTGAAAACTCAGGCTTTTTGTGATTTTCTGTAATAATTATTATAAGAATGACAAGCTGCTCTGCATAACAAATCGTAGCCAACGCATTTTTTTGTTAGAATATTGGACCCATTTGAAGATTGCAACCAAAGCTTCCCTAATTATTCCCTGAGAATAGCACAGCCATGAACATAAGTCTAAGTGCATGGCTTCCTAGTTCCGGCTTTGATGTCCGTCAGCATAATTCTTTGTATCGAGCAAAGGTAATATCTTGAAAAGGGATACTTACGGCATTTGCGGGGCTTGTCTGTCTCCTTAACCCATCCCTTAGGGGCGAGGAACCACACACCGGAATTACCGTGCCTATGGGGATGATTAATGGATGTCCAGCTATTCAACAAGGATTGAAACACTCACTGGTACCGGCAAGAGGGCGTGAATATAGCACCCACTTGGGACTTTCCAGTTGTAGGGCTCGATCCGCAGGGGTACTTGTAGTATGGGTAAGACCGCTTCACCTCACATGGGTTGTGGTTGTGCCAGTCATGTTTGTCATCCCAATCATGGTCGTTTCCTCTGCCGCGCTCTTCGAGCGATTCGAAATCGGCCTCCGGCTCCGCAGTTGGCGAACCCAAAGCAACTTCGGTAACAAGAGGAAGAAGCACGGCCAACATGTACATTGGAGACTTCATGTTGCAAGGTGTTGATTATTATAAGGATAATTGAATAGAAACTGATGAAAGTAGGACAAGATGGATAAGCTTTGGGTTTGATGCCAAAGATTGAAAGTGATTGATGTGCTGTTGACTGTGTGATAGATACTTTCACTTGAGAGGAATTGTCGCCGGCTTTATACAGAATCCAGTGGCAATTGCTCTGAACGCTCCACGGATCACGCTGGTCATGAGGCGCTGAAACCTGGACGCATGAGTGAAAATACGAGGATATCATGTCAATGACAGGTTCCTGTTTTGGGAAGAAGAGAATCTAGACCAAAACGAGATGTCTTGTCTTCAGATTATGGATACATTGTCTAATCTCGAGTACTGGGTAGGCTCCACGTATGTCCAAGTTCCGGTGAGTGCCAGATAAACTTGTTACTTGGATTGCACATGAGAATATGATCTTCGATCAAACAAGATCATCACCAAGACAAGATAATTGTGAGTCTCTTCCTATCAATTGCAAGGCTCGACCTAAATCAATCCAGGATATCGCTCAGAAAGCGGTTTTCTGGCTTGGCCAAATCCCGAATATGTCGGCTGCGTTGATTGGGTCGCTCTCACTAACCGACGAAAATGCTCAATCCACAACAATCTAACATTGGAAGGCAATACCAGAGCCCTGGTTTAGGTTTTGGCTTCACAGTATTACCCATGGAAGTAGAAATGGTCCACCAGTTCGTACTCGAATAGAAGTGGGGCGATGCTTAAAGTCTCGACCAATCGGATAGCTCTCGCTTAGATCCCGCCAAGGATTGTGATTGACATACGCCAAGCGGTGCCAAGCCTTCCCCGGGAATCTGGGCTGCGCCTGGATTCCTAGTCTTCGTACAGCTGACATCTGTTGAGATCGATGAGCAGTCAATCTCGAAACCAAAAGTGTGGCTCTACTCTACGTCAGCTAGGTGATACACTGTATGCGCTACATTTCAAGATTCTAACACGTGAGGAAATATAAAATTCTGAATCACATCCATGGATTTGGTCCAACAATCATGATAGTTCGTTGACGATTGCAGGAGAAACTCCGGTATACGAAATTTATGGCTTAGCTGGAAAGGCTCGAACGGTGTGGCCCGGATCGAGTTTGATCCAGGACCACAGCCGCACTCACCTCGGAAACTTAAACCGCCTCTTCGTATGCAAAAATAGTACTCTTTGGATGATGTTCTCGGTTCTAAATGCCCGTTAGATAAGTTTCTATGACATCGAGTCAATCGCATCGGAGATTACCTTTCTTTTAGCATCATCATTAACCCTTGGACCAAAAATCCCTTGATGATCTGTGGTAAAAGGCCTTTATACAACCGGAAGAGACCTTCATTCTTGGCAATGTAAAGTAGAACTTCGGTAAACCCCGCAAAAGCCTTACCCTTCCGACACTCTGGGGGCTTGGATTGAAGCATTGTCTTAGCAACAATCAGCGGATGTGTGGCGATGGTTGCTAGCACCTTGGATAAAGCACCCAGCACTAAAAGTGTAAGCAGGTGTGTTGGTAAAGTGGCTTGGAATATCTGAGACAACCGTACCAAAAGCATCGAAGGGTCCAAGTATCGTCCCTTTCTTCAGGCCAAGGAGCCTCTCTCTCAGCCATTGGTAAAAACCATATGTAACCATGGGGTTGATGACAAGAATCAAATTGACCTTGAGGCCTCTCCAAAGACCCGTCCAGCCGTCCTCGCCGTGGATGATGTCAAGCATGGTCTCCCATATTGATCGCTTCTGCTCATTCCATTTCCGTGTTTGTTGTCTTGTAGATATCACCGCAATTGGATTGGTGCACAGCTGAGCTAATGCACCCCCTACGGCTCCCAGAAGCAGCTCTTTCGAGATGCTATTCGTATTCGGGAGTCCGTATCTTTTGAAGAGTGAGACTTGGAAGCTTCGGGCTGCTGTGGACCAGTAGAAATAGGCAAAGTTCATGGAAGCTGTTCCGAGAATAGAGCTTCCAAGACCACTGTAGAGACCAAGGACACCTTCATCGCGGAAAATTTGACAAATGGCACCGATCGCTCCATCATGATGCGCGCGGTCTTCTAGTGTAGGTTCTGTGGTGAGTTGTTTCTCTTGATCGGTGGTCTCTTGCGGGCGTTGGCGAACTTGAACCTGTATCCGGGTTTTAACACTGAATGTACACCGTACTTAGCATCATCAGACAATCTATCATTTCAACCATTGATAACCATACATATCAACGGGGTACACGATCACATTGGCCAAAATGGCCGCCGTTGTACCCGAGACAACACCTTCCCAGGGCGACGTTGGATGCTGATGAGCCATAAATGTAATCTGTATATATTTTCTGAAATCCCTGTGGTTTTCGGCGTCCGACCAAAATTTATTCATTCGTGTCAATCGATATGCATGGACAAAGATACGGACCGAGCGGACCGAGCCCAGAGTACTCGCGTCCGCACACCCGGGGCCGTGATCTATTCCTTTAGATTATGTTACTAGGCCGGGGGCTACAGTTAAGAAATTGCTCGACCTCTTCAAGTCGCATGGAGGGAGTAATACCCCCTAGAATATTGCCACTTGGACTGTATGCGTCTTGCCCCAGCATGCCGGCCCCCAAAACCCAAGAAGTAGGTGACGGCATGTTCGCTCCGGTCTTGGGCGAAAGCTGTTTTTTGCTTGGATCGGCGCCTAATATGGCATAATCTATCATTGACCACATGACTTCTTCTGAGCCAAAGTCCAACTCGTCCATCATATGGTTTGGATCAAGTAGAGTAGCAAATGGCTGGGAGATGGAATGGAACTCGCGTAGCGATGCAGCCTAAATTATCTTTGGTGAGTAAAAGTCTCGGGTTTGCACTTTAATGTGGTTCAACATACAATGTTCCCAGCATGAACCCAAAGCGTCGCCAACCTCTCTAGAGAATCTATACATTGTTGGAAATAGATGACGCTGTTTGATTCACGGCCTCTGTCTTGATCAAAGTGCGACGCCAGAGAGTGGATCCCCCCAGCGATGGCAATGCAATATGCATAAAAAGAAGATTCAACGAGGCAACCATGGTCAGTAGCTTGTTGAAGTAGATCCATGAGTTGAGCCGCATGCTCGCATCCATCTTGGAGAGCCCGAGATGAGAAGCTAGCTGGCGCTTTGGCGCCGAAAGGTTTAAGCCACCGTCGCACAAGGAATGGGTGGTTTAAAAGACAGTGGCACAGATGGAAGAGAGTGTGGGCGAAAATGAGATGTCCGATTTCTTGTCGATCGACCGCACCGTCTGCCTGAAAGCTCCCGTGAAGGACGTCGGAAAGTTGCCAACTGGAGCTCTTTGAATATGACTCCAAAAGCAATAGTGACGAATTGATCGCGGAAAACTCGGATTTTGGATCCCAAGGGGGTATTTCTTCCATCTTCCTACTTTGATGAACGTATCTTGTGCAACGACCAAATATAGAAGCCATCAATACCACAAGTGCAAATGGACTAGGACTTTCGGTTAGCTTGGAGTTCCAATTTAGCAATTGACCGATGGTACTGGTCTTTCTCCATTCCCCATGTCGAAATGTGCTCTCGTCGCATGGAAGTTGAACGTCGCAATCCTCATCTAGAAGAATGAGGGGTCGAGATCGTCCGCAGGAGATGAGTTTATCAAGCAAGTATATTGACCAAAACGCCCTTCGATGTTCTTCCTGCTCTGAATAAGAGAGCCATTGATCAGGTTCGGACATGAGGTGCAAATCTTGCGATATTCGGGCGGCTAGGCCGATCTTGAGCCAACCCGACCGTGCGCGACCGGCTGGAGAACATCAGCGAAAATTCCGGTCTAGTCATCAGGTCTCTTACCTGTATAATCAACCACAGCCAACAGGTTCACCGTCTGGACTACATGAACATTCAAGTTGTCTTCCATGGTCAGATGGTCTGCCAAAACCGAGAGCCACGATTCTCTGGCATATTTTTCCGAAGCTCGACGCGTTTGACCCGCGTAAAATTCATGAACAGAGAATCGTACAGCAGACGAGAGGACTGCTAATACTAGGCATCGCGGCAAAGAATTGTTCTCTAACTTCTGTCGAAATGAAGTTTCCTGGAAATACGAGTAGGGTTGATTGTGCACGCGTAAGAAGTAGGTATCGATTACCGAGCGTAGAACGGAAGGCGGAGGAAGGGATCTGCGTCAAGTCTTAGCACCGGCCCAAATTGGCATGCGTAGTTGAGCATATGGATAGCTATAAAGGCTCACATGTTCTCCTGCAAAATGGGTTGAGGCGATGAGAGTGGCTGGGAGAAAGTGTCTATGCCCTGCGATATATGGTTATGGTCCTGGATGATTGGAAATTGAGGTGTCACGTCTCTATAGGCACCGAATAAGCAACCGAGCATTAAAAACGCGTGGGAAAGCGCGTGGAGGGTAGAAATCGGAAGGCTTACTGTTGGGTTGCCCCACCAAGTTGTGCGAGGCGCGATTCGATCGTGCTGATTCTTTGCAGCAGTTCGACATTGTTCAGGTTATTTGCGGCGGAGGTTAGGGGTATGGTCGGATTTGCGACAGGGTTCTCAGCTAAAGTGGCTGAGTAAGGCTCGTAGACGCAGGCCAAGCGATTGCGTCGACAGTGAGAGCAAATTGGGCGATCACCCGTGCATTTTGTCTTCTTGCGCCTGGGAATACTATCAGGATTGGCCGGTGGTGGAGAGAGAGAGGAAGGGCTTACCTGCAATTAGCGCAAGCCTGTCGAATGCGCTTGATGCCTCCTGAGTCTATCATATCCATGAGGGGTGAAGAACATGAAGAATCACGGAGCTCTCGAGTGCGGGGAAGAGTGTGGAGTCACTTGTTCCCCGGACTGGCGGAACCTTGGAAGTCGCGAATGTTTGCTTGGCACTCTGTTTTATGAGAGAAGAAGATCTGATATGAGGTCAATTTGATTCGTTGGTCTTGACCTGACTGTAGAAAAGAGACAAGATCGGTGATTTTGGTGATTTTCTCACTTTACTAACCCAATCCGGTAATTTTTGCAACATGAGAGACAGGATCCACCAGGCCAATGGAGCCTCTGCTGATTTGTGGCGAGCGTTTGGATCTGCATATATACATGATAACGTTGACCAATCAGAGATGGCTCGAATCTCTTCTTATTTGCCTTCTTAGGTATATTTGGTAAATTTTGCCCGTTTATCGTATGCGTCGCTAGGGGGGCGGTGGAGCGCAATATGGGCGTCTGGTTTGAAGCCGGGTCGCTGCTGGCCTATAAAGACGGGCACTCTGGTCCTTCTTGAAGAGATTTCCGATTTTCTTCTCTTCATTTCTGTGCTCGCGTCCTCCAATCGTATCCAAAATGACATCCCGAGACGGTTTTCAATGGACTTCTGAAACAGGCCTCGTCCAGGGCGTCCCTTCCATTGGAGTCATCTCTCCGCCCTCAAATATCTCGGGGGTTGGACCTTGGGATATCATTGTTGTTGGTTCGGGATATTCCGGTCTAACGGCAACTCGAGACTTGTGTCTTGCCGGTAAGCCAATCTCGGACATAGATGCGACACACCAAAGCTGATAAGAAGCCAGGCCACAAAGTGCTGCTCGTTGAAGCCCGCGACCGTATTGGTGGTCGATCGTGGTCGTCCAATATCGGAGACTATCCCTTCGAAATGGGTGGCACATGGGTGCATTGGGGGCAGCCGCATGTGTGGCGGGAGATTTCAAGATATAAAATGCGGGAAGAGTTGGAGGCCTCGTTCGATTTCTCGCGCGGAGTCAATCACTTCCAACTGCGTACCAACGAGGGTGAAAGTATCATGAGCCACGACGAAGAGGTGAGCTCCAGCCTGTAATTGCCTATGGGCGATATTGACATTCATAGGATACTCTGCTTGCTGCTGCACTAGGCAAGTTTGTGGATGTGGATGGATCAATGGGCCGGAAGATAATCCCTTACGCCCACGATGCATTCCATGTTCCCGAGGCACGCCAATACGATACAAAGTCTGCTGCCGACCGCTTAAAGGAGATTGCTACCTCCCTTACACCGAACGAGCGTACCGCGCTGGAGAGCTTTGTCCTGCTGTGTAGCTGCGGTACCCTCGAAACAACCAGTTTCTTCGAGTTCCTGCACTGGTGGGCATTATGCGGCTACTCTTACCAAGGATGCATGGATGCATTGATCTCTTACAAATTCAAAGGGGGTCAATCTTCCTTCGCAATCAAGTTTTTCAAAGAGGCTCTCGCCACTGGAAACCTATCGTATTCTTTCAATAGCCCTGTTCAGTCCATCAGTGACCAGGGAGGCAACGTGAATTTGACGACACGGGACGGCCATCAGTATACTGGGTCTCGCTTGGTGTCTACAATTCCTCTGAACGTGTTGAACACAGTCTCTTTCAATCCTCCATTGGATTTCCAACGTGCTTTTGCGGCCAACACAGGCCATGTCAACCAGTGCGTCAAGGTGCATGCCGAGATCCTCAACAAGGATATGCGCTCCTGGACGGGTATTTCATACCCCTTCAATAAACTCACTTACGCGATTGGCGATGGAACTACACCTGCCGGAAACACCCACATCGTCTGTTTCGGTGGATTCCACAACCACATCCAGCCAGAAGAGAATATAAACGCGACGAAGGAGGCTGTTCAAAGCATGGCACCTGGAAACATGGATGTAAAGCGCTTGGTGAGTCTCTTCATGTGCTACTTTAACGCAAAGAAACATGCTAACTATGCTCAGGTTTTCCACAACTGGTCGAAAGATGAATTTGCCAAGGGCGCTTGGTTCTTCTCTCCCCCGAACCTGCTATCCACATCCCTTGATGCACTTAGATCTCGCCATGGCAATGTTCTGTTTGCCAATTCCGATTGGGCTGTTGGCTGGCGCAGTTTCATCGATGGTGCTATCGAAGAGGGAACACGTGCTGCATTTACAGTAACAGAGGAATTACGAGAGTCAGCTACATCTCGGTCCCGCCTATAGACTGGATTTTCGAAAGTTGTTGATATAGAATCTACTTAAGTAGTGCCCAGATGGGCTGTCTCAATGTAGCTTCACTGCTGAATATATGATGTTGGATAGTACTGTACGATCAGACACGCTTTGAAAGATACAAGAGTACAAAATTTAGAGATACACAGACCCAATGACATGAGTTGAATTAGTTTGACTTATCTGAGCTCCACTTGGCTCCTTCGAGATGAGTCTCCAGGGCTAGTTTGGATAAAGAGGATGAGATAGTTCCAAAGTCCTACGTAATGCAACGAACCTTGGAAGATAGCGAATGCAATCAACAAGTAACAGGATGGTGATTACTTAGGCAGCACCTCATATCTCCACTGGGATATACTACCTTACCCCTCTATGATATGTGCCTGGGTCCGTTCGGACCGAAGTCCAGAGTCAAAATCCGGGGAAACGTTTTCGATATGCTGGACCGGCCAATCAGGATGGGCCGTGGCAACACCAATTTCTCTCTCTTACTTCCTCTTTGGGTAATTATGCCACATTCCTCGTTTTCGGTTCCACATGGAAGCGATACGAGCAGTCGCCAAACTGAGTCTTGAAGGATTGGCTCAAGGTGTCGGCACTGATGACAGACCTTCTCTCTCCTTTATGGCCTATTTGGGTAATTTTGTAATTCCCCCGCACTGGACCTCTTATCGTCACAATAATAGGCATTTTGATAGTGCTGTAGAGTATCTCGTAGTTGATCTGTTGGGGTACAGGAATGACTCTAAGCTCTTAAGCCTACAGAATGTCCGTCTCCCTTGACCATATCAACCCCTCGGAGAATCTGGAATACACGCAAAATGCACCCTGAAGATCTGAAAACAGAGCAAAGTACGTGCCATCTCCTTCGATGTCCCCTGAACTTAAGAATTCGTATACTGACTCGATCTACTGCACAGCAACCCCCACCGACACAGAGCGACGTATGTTAGCTGCATCTCAATACAGTTCCCGATACTCATCCTCTCCCAGACTCGATACAAATTGAAGGCCTCGTCGAACACATTCAACTCAATGGACTCAATCTCCAAGCCGAGGCCACTCGGCAGATGTCAAATCTCGAAACAATATCTGCAAGCTGGGTGATTTGTGATAGCTGGGCTGGTGTTGCTGGAACTGTCGCTTTGGCGATTTCTCAAGGTGGTCCCGTCACTCTGATTTACGGCCCCATTGTCACAATGATCTTAGTAGGGGCCTGTGCGATGACGCTCGCTGAACTGGCAAGTGTATATCCCACAGCTGGAGGTCAGTATCATTGGACCTCTATTTTGGCGCCGAAATCCATCAATCGATCCCTGGTATGTCCCTTCTAAAAGTTCTTTTGTGATTATCAGCCCCCCGGACTGAAGCTCATACGGTGCAGAGTTATTGCTGTGGTATCACAAACATGTTCTCCTGGATTGCAATCTGTACCGGAATTGCGATCATTCCAGCTCAACTGATCACTGGAATCGCCATCTTCTATAACCCAGCCTATGTCCCGCAGGCATGGCATTCATTTCTTATCTACCAGGCTATCAACGGTCTTGTACTGCTCTATAACATCACCCTCTTGAAGAGGTCTCTTTGGATCCACGATCTCTCATGTGGGTATTTTGTTCCTCTCTTACGTGCCATGCACAGGTCTTCTAATGGATACTATAGTTGTTGTCACGATCGCAAGTTTTGTTGTCATCGTCATCACTTGTGTCGCACGGTCTTCGCCCAATTACGAGCCTTCGAGAGCAGTCTGGGGTACGTTTCTCAATGATAGTGGATGGAGTTCAGGTGGTGTCGCTTTCCTCACTGGCCTGGTGACTCCGAACTACATGTACGCTGGCATTGATGGTGCACTGCACCTCGCAGAGGAATGCAAGAATGCGAGCACAGTGGTCCCTCGTGCTCTCATGAGCACATTGAGTATTGGCTTCGTGACTTCATTCTCATTCATGGTCGCAATGCTATACTGCACTCATGATTTGGATGCAGTTGTCCAGTCAAAAACCGGGTAAGTCAAGACCGAGAAATGCAAATGATATATTCTAATCGTTTCTCAGTGTTCCCATCTATGAGATGTGGTACCAGGCTACTCGCTCAAGCACGGCGGCTACAATCTTCGTTATCCTTGTCGTTTTTGCCGCAGTCTTTGCACTCATTGGCGGGCAACAAACCGCTTCCCGACTAACTTGGTCTCTTGCCAGGGATCATGCATTGATTGGCAGCCAATGGTTGAGCAAGACACATCCTAAGTTAGACGTACCAGTATGGAGTCTTATCTTCAATTTTGTGGTAATGTTCATCATTGGATGTGTCTACCTCGGTTCATCATCTGCATTCAATGCCTTCATTGGTACCGGATTGATCTTGCAGCACATATCCTATGCCTTCCCTGCCGCACTACTTATGTACCGAAAGCGGTCTAACATATGGCTCCCACGATCCCGATCCTTTCGTCTCCCCGGCCCTCTTGGGTGGATTATGAACACCATCACCATCTGCTTCGCAGTTGTAGTGTTGATATTTTACAACTTCCCAACAACGCTACCGGTGACTGGGACTAGTATGAGTATGCTACGCCTGAGCAAGGTAATGGTTCTTACTATCACTGCTAACGTTGGTTTAGATTATACATCGGCCGTCCTGGCCGTCATGGCTATATTTGCAGGTCTCAATTGGATCATCTGTGCACGCAAGAACTATCATGGCCCCCGACTTCACTCAGCTGCAGATTAGCATTAGTTTCATTGATTTTGTCATAACCGAACAAATTTTGTTGACTTAATTCCGGAAGTTTTCGCCCAGGCGGGAAATCCTAAGCTACGAAGGGGCAGAGCGGCCAGGTCCGGTGATGCCTGATTCTGCCTGATTATGTCACCCCATTCTACAAAAAAAAAAAAAAAAAATAGGAAGGAGAATTTGAAATAACCAGATTGCCGTTGGTATTAAAAGAGAAAAATCACAAACGCGCGCTATAAACAGTCAAATATACATCAGGTGGAAGCTTTTACAATTCCTCCTCAACATCCCCATTCTGTTGACCCAATTCAATAGACCAAGAGAAATTCTGCACGTCCAAAGTATCCTCAGAAGAAGAGGCCTTGCCAGCACCGAAGTCCTTGAGGTTCCACTTCTCAACGCCCTCAACACCTTTCAGCTCTTCGCCGAACAGGCGGAAGAGATCATCGTTCAGGCTCTTGTACTCATCGTAGTCCTTGGGCCAGTCACCAATGCGCTGCACAGAGAGCTTGAAGAGTTGGAGGTGGGCACGAGCGTGATCGCCAGTCTCGGCAGAGCCAGCATCAGAGACTTGGTCGTGCATGTTGATATCGTAGGTGGAACCGTCCATGCTGAAACTGCCGTCGAGGGCACCCTCAAACTCAGCAAGGGATGGGTCGACGAAGACGCGGAGCAGAGACTCGTGAACACCGGCGCTCTTCTTATAGTACTTGTTGGCCAGGTGCTGGCCGTTCTTTTCGGCCTGGTAGCGCTGGGCGATCGCGGTGTAGAGTTGCGACAGGAGGGTGGACATCTCCAAAGTGCTGGGGTGGCGGGCACCGTTGACACGGCGGCAGTTGTATACAATGTCCTCAGCAAGGCGAGAAGCCTTGAGCTTATCACCGACAAGGTAGCGGGCAAGGATGTAGCGACGGGCCAGGTCCAAGGTCACAGCAGGGGTCCAGGAGGACTGGCGGTGACGGCTGTTCCAAAGGTCGCCAAGGATCCACACGAGGTTCTTGTAGTCCTGCTGTTCACCAAGAAGACCAATCAGGATGTTAAGGTAATCAAGATTGATTTGGGCCAAGTTGATCTTCAGATCAACGATGACACGAAGAACCTCCTGCATGATCAGTCCAGAGGTGCCACGGAGTTCCTTGAGAGTCGCGGCGTCGGGCTGGGGAGTGAGACTGTGACCAGAGATGAGGACACCAAGCGTGAAGACAAACTTCACAATCTCGGGAGTACGGTAGACATCGTGGGCCGAGATGTAGGCGAATGCAGCAATAGCAAGGTTGCTTGCACCCTTGAAGTTCTTGGCATCGAGAAGCTCCAGAACCTTGGTGTTGGCGGCGATACCCACGGAGCGCACGAAGTTTGAAGTCTGGTGCTTGGTCAAGTAATCAATGATAGTGATGAGGAAGATCTTGACCTGGGCAGTCTGAGTCAACTTGATGCGCTTGCCTTCAGTGGCACTGAAGTAAGCAACAAATTCATTGAAGACATGGTTGGCTGCATCTTGGCGCTTGTTGGAGAGCAAGAAGTTGTACAGACGGGTGGCCGAGACGGAGACACTGTGGAAAGTGCTGCTCTTGGACTTGGTGACGCTGCGGAACTCCTCAAAGTAGACATACTCAGTCGTCAACGAAGCGAGAATCTCGGTGATGCTGGAGGAGCCGTGGCGCAGGCTCTGCTGGAGCTGAGCGAGGAATGCAAGGCTCTGGCGACCGTTGGACGAAACCTCGAGCTGGGACTCCTTGGACTTGGAGGTGTCTTTCATCACAATCTGACGGTAGAGCTCTTCGGTGAGCTCGACGGCCTTGTGGGTCTGATTGGTGGCAATGTAGCTAGCCGCGATGGTAGTGGCAGCAGCAACAAGGCGCTCAGATGAAGTCTGAGAGGTCAAGATCTGCTTGGTGGTTTCGTGCAGCTCCTTGGTAACAACCTGGGTGTCATTTTGCTTCGAGTGGAACGAGACGAACTCCTGCAGCTTGGAAAGAGACTCCTCGTGTGCCCATCCGTAGGTCGAGCGAGTAGATTCAATGCGCTTGCGTAGAACCTTGGTGACACGCTGTTTTTGCTCAGATGAGATGGTCTGGGACTTCGAGGTGGCAGTGGCAGTCTGTTCCTCAAAGATGCCATCAAGGGTAGCTTCAATCTCCTCGAGGTCAATACCAGCAGGCTTGAGCTTCAAAAGCTCCTCATAGAGAGCAATGGCAGTGCCCTCGTGGGTCTTGGTCTCCTGGCAGACCTTGGCGAGAGTCAAGGTAGCTTGGATGGTGATAGTGGCAGTTGCACTGAACACAGTCTTCACCTTACTGTGGAAGTCAACAGTGACCTTGTGAATGGTGCTGAACTCAGTGCGCTTGGAACGCAGGCAGTGAGTGTAACGATCAAAGATCTGTTGAACAAAGCTCTCGTCCTGGAATTTAGGGCTCTGCTTGGGCTGATTCAAGAAGGTGGTGAAGAGAAGAGCGAAGTATTGAACAGCATCGCTATAGCGAGTCTGGGTCCAGAGCTCAGTCGCAACGATGATGATAGGTTCCAACGCTTCCGGTTTGATAACAGTAGGATCCTTGTTAATGGCAAGAATAATGCGCTGGTAGTACTCGACAAAGACGGGGCGCGGACTAGTAAGCTTAGCCAATGTGTAAAGGGTCGCGATCACGGTGGCATGGTCAGGGTTGTAGTGCTTGGTGTAGTCATCCAAAACCTCCTGGTAGGTGTTGATCACCTGGTCAGGCTGAGAAGAGCGCTCGTAGAAAGTGATCAACTGGTTCTTGACGGTCTCTCTGAGCTTGTCATCCACGGGGCGCGCGGCACGAACGGCACGGTACACACGGACGCGAATGCCTTCTTCGCGGGGGAAGCGGCGGCGGTAGTGATAACACTGAGCCAAACGCTCGGTAAGATCAAGGATCTCGTTGACGCGCTCCGTAGGAAGCACGACATCCTGAATAGAAGCAGCAAACAAGGAAGGCCAAACACCGCGGAGGACCTTCTTGAGCACCCGAGTGGCATCCTTCCAGCGGTGCTCCTTAGTGTAGATAGTCAGCAAGGTGCGAATAGTGGCAGTGGAACTCTCATCCAGTCGGGAGGAGTTGGAAGTTTCGTAAACAATCTCTTCCAAAGTAGACTCGGAGAAGCCAGAGGTGGAAGTGCTGGCTTGCTTGGTCACATGCTCATAAGTAGATGCGATGTATTTCTGGACCTCGGAGTGGGAGGAAGAGCGGTTGGTGCGCTGGTAGAACGAGGCACAATGCTTGAAGATACTCAAAGCGGCCACGGTAAGACCAACAGTGGTCATAACCTTGGCGATCTCCTCAAAGTGAGAGGTTGAGGTTTCAGACAAGGTGTGAGTGCTGTTCTTGTGCTCTTCCCAAACACTAGACAGAATCGAAGAGGCCTCTGTCTCACGCTTCTGGGTCTTCAGGAACTTGGTGTAGGCAAGGACAGCGCGCAGCTTGTGGTCCTCGGTGGTAGCACGCTGCCAGAGCTCAATGTACAAACGCTCGGCGAGCTCAAGGCAGCCTTCAGCAATGTACTTGTCAGCCTGAGTAATCTCACCCTCGAAGGACTGGGACTTCTCGTGGGCCTCGTCGCTCTCAGCATGCAAGAGGAAGCTGATACCGGTGTCGCCGATATCTTGCTTGTAACCCTTGAGACGAACGCTGAGATCACGAGAGTCATCAGCATCATAACTGGTGGTGGTGGTGGTCAGATGGTGGATCTTCTGGGTCCAAGTCTGAATCTTCTGCTCCTCCTTCGTCATGCGGTAGTGCTCAATAAGTTTCTTCATGAGGCTGATGGTCTTTTCCGACTTCTCACCGTAGTGCACCTGGTAGCACTCGATGATGATAATCAGAAGCTCCTCCCGCTTGGTCATGATCTCGGACTTGGTCGTAGTGACCGAATCGACAGTAAGATCGAGGTAGAACCGAGCCATCTCCATGGTGAGCGTGTGGGTAGTACCAAGCAAGGTCTTGCTCAGGGTGGTGATCTCATAGAACAAGTGAACAGCCTGAGGAGCCTGGTTGAGCTCACGGTAGAAGATAGCCAGAGACATGATAGACTGGAGAGTCACGGGGCTCTTGGTAGTGAAAACCTCACGACACAAGTTGGTGACGGTGGTGTAGTAGCTGAGCAGAGTTGGGGTAGACAAGTTGCCCCAGAGAGTTGTCTGGAGAAGCAAGAGGCTAACGTTCACGGGGAAGATCTTGCCGAACTCCTTGGCTGTGGGGGCATCACCACCTGTGGTGTAGGTGGCTGTCTGCTTCAAGTGACGGGGCCAGTACCGAACGGCGAAATCGAGCAGAGGGTGGGTTTTGACACGATGAGTAACATCACGACCATCCAGGGGAGTGGGGGAAGGCTCATGCTGCTCGGGAACGGCGTGCTTGATGTAAACCAAGAGGCGGGTCACAAGGTCAGAGTGACGGTCCTTGACGGTTGGGACCAGTTTGCCTTTCGAGAAAACATCCAGGACTGCGGTTCTGATAAGACCATGACGCAGATAGACTTGGCCATCTTGCATGAAAATGAGGGATTTCAGGGGCTTGATAGTGTCGCGAACGTTGAGCTTGCGCTCGACAACGGTCTGCTTGTCCACCTGAACGGAGGAAAGTGCAATGAGCTCGCGAGTCAGCAAAGGACGGTCAGCAGTTGCAAGCCAAAGCAGCATGTGCTTAGCATCCTCAGTGACATTGGGAGACTGGACTGCGTGAAAAACAAAGTCGGCGATGGTAGGCTTATTCTTGACAAGGGTGTCGACAAGCTTGCGGACATCCTCAGGAGTATGTTCCTGGCGAGCACGCTTGGTGCAGAGCTTGGCCCAGAGGAATGAGCCACGAGAGGCCTCGCTAATCTGGTCCACCAGAGTTTCCTGTTCCATCTCGTCCATGGCCAAGAAGTTCTTAGTCTCGGCCTTCGTGCCGAGGGAGAAATGGCTGCGCACAACAGTAGAGATGTCGTCGGTAATGCGGTCTCCACTAACAGGAACCTGCATCACGCCAACAGACGTCTGGGGCTTCTCGGCACCAAGAGTGATCAACTTCACATTAGTTCCGTTCGCGGTGGCAGTAATAAGCTTCTGGAGCAAGTGGGCCTCGCCACAGGAAGCCTCATCAACACCATCGACAACGATGACAAGGTCCTTAGCACGAGCAAGAGCAGCAGCGAGAGCCTCCTCGAGTGCGCGCCAGAGAATGTTCTCGTACTCACCCTCGTCGGTGGTCCTCTTACTGAGGTCGTAGGCATCATGGAGAATCTGCAGAAGCTTAACATTTCCAATGCGCTTTTCAAAGAGCTGGAAAAAAATTGTCTTTGCAACAGCAATGGGTGTGGTCTCCGCAGGGATTCTGGCATTGATGGGAATGAACAACGATTTGTATGTAACACCACCGATGTGGTCATGCAGGCGGTCCACGATAACTGAGGCCAACACGGTCTTGCCAGAGCCCGGAGCACCAGTGAAAGCAAGAGCATGCTTATTACTCTTCAGGAAGTGGGTCAGGTATGGGTCCATCCAAAGACAGGTCATTTCCTCACGCTCGTGGGCCAGGTGGGAAGTGTTCTCGGCGAGGTGGCTAAGGACTCGGTCCTCGGGGGACAACCAGGAGCGGATCGACTTGACAACGGAGACTAACAATAAACGGAAAGTTAGGAACAGTTACAATCGGAGGCATCATGAAGGTTTTCCTACCAAGTTGGGGGTCCTTGTTGTCGTTGACCAGCTGGTGGCGCCACATGGAGTCTGAGATCTTCGCACAGCGCTCACGGAAGGACTCAATCGCACCAGTGAAGGTCTCATAGATGTTAATAGAGATGGATCCTTCAGTCAAGGCATCGATGGACTGGTGGAAGTGGGTAGAGACACCAGCAACCAAAGAAACAAGGTCGGCCAAAGCCTCAACAAGCTGGTCCTTGATCTCCTGGGAGACAGCAAAGAGCTCAGTGCGCTCAAGGAGGTTAACCAAAGAGGAAGAAGTGCTGTGGAAGAATCCAAAGGATGTCATCAGGGCAGTCGCATTCTCCTTGGGAAGCTATAGTGGAATTAGTGAGGTGATCCGACATACTGGAAAGGAATCGCATACCTGAAGCAGCATCAAGCAGTAACCGTAAGAAAGCTGAGCTGCAAATAAGCTGCTTCCCTCGAAGTCACGGATTGCGACGTCAAATGAGTGCAGGCGCTCAACGAAGAGCTGAGCCCAAGCAAGCACCTTATCATAGCTGCTTCCCTCTGCGGGAACATCGTTCATGCGCTTGTTGGCGATCCAGTTCAAGATGTCAGAATGATTGGTATTGAATAGGATGGAATGCGCATTCGAGCCCAGTTCAGCGCCGCTATCGCGCTGCAAGTTCTGGATCACACCAGTGAGCTTGGAGCTTCCAGCAGCGCTGAACTTCTTAGTAAAGAAGGATGACTCGCGGCGAGAGTTGCTCGGGCGGGACATGCCACCGTTAGAGAGAGTGTCACTGTCAAACATCGACATAGTAGACATAGAAGACACCTTTCTGGAGCCCCCAGGGAACTTGGATGAGAGAGGGGAAGTGATGTTTCCCGGAACGGGGGACATGATACCAGGAGCCATGGTGATTTTCAAATTAGCTGATGTGTTAAAATTGGTAGGGACTGAAACTGATTCGGGTTGTCGTCTGGGGGTATTTGAAAGACTAGGTCGAGGATGATGATCTGGTTTAGTTTCTTTGGAGCAACAGCTCTTGAAGCAACAAAAGAATCGACACAAACCGGCAATCTGGTTGTTGACGAAAAAGAAAAAAGAGTTATGCTATTACCACATAGAACTCGAGGGTATAGATATATGGGGAAGAGAGGGAAAAGAGAGCTAGGATTCGGGGGAAGCTATCTTTTTGTAGCAAGAGAGGGAGAGTGGGCACATGTCAATCGATGAAATCACTCTATTCCAGTACGGAAAACTCCGTCCTCTTTTTCGAGTAAAGATCGAGGACAAATTTGTCATTGGTCTCTGACAATTCCATCCATGCCTGATGGGAGTGGAGAACATAGCTTCAGCTATGATGCAAACGAGACTCACGATCCCCCTTTCGGCCTTTCGTTGCAGCTGGAAAGGCTATAACATTGGACATTGAGCTACAATCAAGTGGAGATAGTAGGGGAATTATTGCTCAAAACGTGGTAGCCATCTCTCTCCTTTCTTTTGGGTTATACCGAGAGTTCGAACTTGCATGAAATGGACCCCAACCAGGCCAGTGGTGAGGCACATTGATCCAATGGCAGTCCATTGACCCAGGGTGAATGACAGGTGTGGACTCAGAATATCACTCCGTATCCCAGCTTTGTCGGGACGACCGTGGATCATGGCCAGCCATCCTGCAAGAAGATGGAGATTGCCTGATATTGCGTTCTCTTTCGCTATTGAGGACCCAATTTTCCTGCACGCAAGCCATCTTTTCGTTCACTGCCCCCCTACTTCACGGAGCACAATTTGGGCTTGTGATACGGACTTCTCCATGCCTGTCATTCCCAATTTAGTACAGCCCTTCTTTTTTCGGAGTCTCCGTTAGCGCCGGCAATACTCATACACCACCTCCGGCTTAGTCCCTGTATACTTGTACGGAGTAAGGTGCAAAGATACATACAACTACAAGTATCAGATGTGCTCCGTGCGTCGGGAGTGGCTGGCTGACCACGATCCCATGCTCTGCCGCCAGTGAAAGGTGCGGGGCATATATGGGTCTTTTACCCGTCGTCCCGGTAGCCAATGGAGGAGAGTTTGTAGCTCTGAAAGTGACGAGTTCCATCACTCGGACGAACCGTTGATCGATTGTTCGAAGACCAGGCAGAGACCTGCGCGGGGCTACTCCTCGTACGATTCCCTAGCCTCTCTCTAGCTCGATGATCGGTGATGCACCATCAATAATCGTGCATTACAGACCAAAAGTGACGCAGAATATCCACTTTGGTCCCGCTGGATGCCGGATCGATGTACCGAGCGGGCTCATGGTCGCAGCTATAGCTCAGGATTTACTCCGTACAACATACGGAGTATTTAGTACAAAGTGCAATTCTTGGAAATGACACGCAAGGACTCTATGCCTAGAAGTCTAATGGTCCGCTTCTATATAGTAGCCGTAAAAGCAAATGAGCTGTCTTGGAGCAATTGGATGAAGTCCCCTACTTGCACACTGCACGGAGTACTTGTATGTACACCGTGTGTGCATATCTCCGAAGCGGAGGTCTGTGGGGTGCAAATGAAACCAGAGTAATTCTTTCCAGCGTCTTGCATTAGGGTGATGGGTCCTGAGGGCAGGATTTGGAACAAAAAGTGGTTCATCGAGATTTTAGTGTCGCTTAGTGCGTTCACTTCTGCATACACTCCAGCTGAAGATACGCTGAGATACGTTTGTACGAGTAAGTACTCGTATCATCGTAGCTCGGCAACACCTGTCAAATTTCGGATACGGCGCAAGACTCCAGGGCTACTGCGTCTCTTTTGGTACAGACTTTATCAAATTACTGTAGTGATCAATCAATAAATCCTATGGCTCACTTGTCCGGAGTACGAGTATGTACATAAATCAGCTCGGATTGATCATCTTTATAAATCATCACCACGGAGGACAAGGGAGCTCTTTGGGGTACCCCTACGAGTCTTGACTATCCTATACTTCGTACTCCGTACGGGGTCATCGTGCCTATCACTTTTTTTGAATACACGTACTCGTACGCCCGACAATTACCTCCATCAGGCACGAGTACGAAATAATTCCAAATCTTTCCTGGGGTACTTTTGACAGCCGTTCGCACCTGTGGGCGGGTTCTAGTCTCCAAAATATACGGACTACTCGCGAAGCATGTTCTGCCGACCAGAAGGCACCTCACCATTGGTCTATGACATTTAGAAGGCAACGAGGCGTAGACAAACGGGTGTCAGACCAACGAGTATCTACTCGTACTCCCGAGGGGAATTATCGAGCTTGCAGTCACAAAGTTTTGATTTTTTAAGCCGACGCTGCCGAGATCTTCGGAACTTAGTGTGGCAGGTCAGCTCCACTTCTCCTCAGCTGAACCGAATGGATTCGAATTTATATTCATCTTACGAGTAAATTTTTAGGATAAGTATGTACTTTAAATGAATGTTCCCGGCAGTGTAAAAAGGAGTTTTCAAATGTCTGAATTTATGTATCAATTAATACTTAAGTATCAGATGATGAAAACGAGTTGTTGAGCTTCGTGAAGCCCAACAATTTACCTTAGTGACAGTACGAGTACACATCATGCCAAAAATACTCCTACAAAACAAGGAGTTTTCTCGGATCTCAGAACTCGAACACAGGTTTGCCTACGTTGATCTCGCCTCAAAAGGCAAAATCGTCAGATCTAAACCAAGATTCAGTATTTCTAGGCATCGCATCGTGTCCACCCGGATCCTTCGCAACGTGAGGGGAAATCGCGCAGACCCGCATTCGCATGTCGCTTAGATTTGCTCGACGATCATGTTCTTCCGTCACTTCGATTTCCCGTCTTGAATATCGAATACGCTACTCGTACGATGCGCCCTTGTAAATTTTGATTTTCAATTTCGGTTTGATCAGTCGATTATGGCCTCCGTGGGTGACACTGGTGATGAAAGTGTGCTTACTGGCTAGGAACAATAAACGGAGAACTTTTTCTCAAACCAGACGAAGGCTACGAGTACGGAGTACATTGTCCAGCCACTCGCATACTGAGTCTGACTCGTCAAAGGTAAAAACGGGCGTGCACCCGTAAACGTCACTGTGGGAAATCCCAAATTTCCATTATTCCCGATGGCTGGATACAATTGGATCGATCCGCATGTCAAAGTGATTATGGTTCTCACCTGGTTACGGTGACATTTTCGTTAATGGCGATTATTCTCTCATTGCGGACCTTGGTACGCAGGACGGGCATCCAATAACCTTCAAGGTTGGAACCTTGGAATGCGACCGTAAACTTTACTTCTCCGCAATGGAGTCATAGCTTTGCATTGTGGGAACCTGTTTGCCGATTTTTTTGATGACATCGCCGCCTGGAGATATGCACATTATTTCCATATTGCACAGAAAAGCTTATGGCGACTCCCGGGCACAAACTCTCCAAGGTGAGATTGTTTGCGGGGGGCAGATTTTACGGAATACTCTGCTCAAGTGCTAATAGTTTGATGGCTTCCGACACTCACACCTGGGCACTCAGAACCATATTATCCATGGATATATATCCCAAACTGAGCTGAAACCCTCGCATCCCGTCCGGGCCGCCCGCAATAAATTATATGCATGCAGACGTAAGGAGCAGCAATGCACCTCAATTTTAACCCCCAACTCTGCGACATTGTCTCCAGGGCTACATAAATCAACCGTAGAAAATTTGAAAATTAGAGCACCATCCATGATATGAAACATGTAACAATGTTATATATAGATGCAAGCAGCTCTAGAGTGCCTAAGCACTTGCGACTTCAGGAGGTCCTGCTCTGGCGTTTCCAGATGGAGTTCTAGAAGTGTCTTAAGTAGTGCCGGGTCTTGAAGTCGGGTCGAAACCTAGCCCTGGATTATATATAAAGTAGTTCCGGCTCCAGCTAGAGGGCCTCAGGAGGCTAAAGTCGAGGGAATCGGTGGAACGAACCTTAAAATCCAATAGACCCCGAAGGTTATCTCCAGGGCCTTGTCTTGATCTGCAAGAAAGATCTGATAATCCATCGACCCCAAATCCATAGAAAGTTAAGTACTCAAAACAGGGGGAATTCTAGTTCTAAAGTTCATCCGAGACCAGAGGCCCCAAAGCTGAAAATCCATTGAATGATGATTGTATTTGCGTTAATGGGATGAAATAAGACGTGAAATTCACATCGGGTACAGATCGCGTAAGATTGGATATATGAACAATTAAATCGCCTCTACTCCAAACGACGTTGGGTGCTGTTCAGAAGTCTATGTCAACCAAATCAACTCCCACCTCAAGATGAACAAGACTCCAATCAGGCCAAGAAACCTTGAGGCTCACCGCAGGAGTGCCTAACCGAAGCATTCAAGCCGGTACAGGCATGCAAGTATTAAGAAAAAAGAAAACACAAATGCAATCACGTGGACTCGGTCTTGTTCTTCTCGGCCTCGGGTGAGAACTTCCAGCGATCCCAGTTCTCGAGAACCCACCAGTTGGCCACATACGCGGCATTGTACAACCAGTTGAGAGTTTCATCGTCGTAATCCGCCTTGATTGTGGTGGCCAGGTCCACAAGACTGAAGCGCTCAATTGGGCTCAGCTCATCGGGATCCTTGGAAAGGTCGGAGAATCGCCATTCAACGTCGTTGACGAGGGGAATGACAAGACGGAAATCGGGTCGCGCGGCAGAGCGCACGGAGAGCCAGGATCCACCGGTGTTCATGACGGTGAATTGCCAGGACTCACGGCCGTCTTCTTCCACGACCTGCGGACGGATCAAAGATTGGCCCTCGTACAAGGAACGGAGATCACGCGCGGAACGAGTGCTGTCTGTGCTCAGGGATGAGGACTCGATCAAGAGGTCGATGATTGTGGGCACAATCTGGCTGTTGACAACAGGGGTATCGATTTGGACGGGGGGAAGTTTGGGGTGTGCCAGGACGATGGGAACCTTGAAGCTGCCGACGTGCGGGTTGTCGTAAGGGGTGACACCGCCGTCATTGGGGAGGGAAAGACCGTGGTCTCCGGCCATAACGAAGAGGGTCTCGTCGATGACACCCTTTTCTTCGAGAACGTCAATGAGCTCGGAAATCCAGTTGTCCACATAGCCGACCGAGTTTAGGTACCGGTTCAGGTCGTTGTTGGGACCTGCGGTAGAGCCCATGATCTTCTCAAAGGCGTCGTTGGGAACTCCCCACGGGTGGTGGGTGGTACTGGTCAGGTGGCTGAGGAAGAGGCGCTGGTGGTCGCGCTCAGCATCATCGATGGCATCTCGGATGTATTCCTTGAGTTCAATTTCGGGGTAACCGTAATAGTTGATCTCGGCGCTCTTGACGGGGCCGTGCTTCGCATCAGGCTTGGTGATTGTTTCCTTGGTTTCTTTGTTCTTGAATCCAAGATGGGGTGTCAACTTGTCCTGGTTGTCGTAAAGTTCAGTGACGGACATCATGAAAGTCGAGTGCCAGGGCCATTTAGTAAAGTCGTCTGTGTCGCTAGTGATGTCTGGCTGCTGGCTCAGAGTTTCGAAGACCTGGGGCAGACACGGCTGGTAGATGTGGTGCTCGAACTCTCGGTTGAAGTCAGCCACCAGCGGTGTCACGCCACAGAAACTACCCGTCAAACTCTTCAACGTGTAAGTAGAGGAAGTGATCGCGTTCTTGGCACTGAGACCACCGTACGCCTTGCGCCCGTGGAACCGGCTGTCATCGTGGTCGAATCCAGTGCGGAAGTTGGTCAAATACTCAGCGGTACGAGTCAGGTTGGCAATGCGGTCTTCCACCTCGGGAGGAATTTTCTTGTCCTTCCAGGTCTCCGCAATCCGCTTCCACATGAAGTTGTCCTTTTGCAGGGGGAAAATGTCACTGCGAGCACTCTCAAGTTTCAGGAAGACAATGTGCTTAACCTTAACATCCCCGCTGGCGAGGGCATTGTGGACCTCCTCGAGTACGGGCTTGTTCAGGTTGGAAATGTACAGAGGATCCTTCTCCGCGTTGTAGTGGAGGGCCAATGGATCATTCTTGTCCCAGTCACTGAAGCCATCCGAGGGTTCATTCGACATCCAGCCCCAGCGAGGCGGCGGGGCCAAGGCACTGGCTCCGTTCAGATAATCGAAGTAGCCAGGCATGCCTGTGGTGTCAACGGGCGAGTCACGTTCACCGCCCTCAAAGACAGTGCTCAAGGGCAGAGTGGTGGACAGATACATGTAAACGGCATTCGACGGCCGCAGGAAACGAAGAAGCAAGAAGAGACTGAACAATCCGAGAATGAGCGCACGTTGAGGGACACCATCGGTAACCCGCTTAGACTCTGGGAGGGGGTTGGGCAGCTGAGTGTTCAACAGGTGGTCGCCTTCTTCGTTGTCACTGTCTCCGTCTTCCATCGCAATCTGCTCGTATATCCGGGGATCGGGGAGGTTCTGATCCTCCTTAGAAGACCGGGGCCAGAAGCGTTGTAGCAGGGGCTCGATGTGCGGTCGCACCCGCTCGAAGACCCATCGAATGGGCCACGCCCACACGTGTAGGATTCCTCCGGTGATGGCATGGATGGGACGAGCGGCGAAAATCGAGATAGTCAACAAGATTCCCTCGACAATCAGGAAACCTGTTAATCCGGTCAAGAGGGTATGGATGGCAGCGGCGTCGCCGTTGAAGGATTTGGCTTGGCGCCAGTGGATCTCGGCACCGGTAAAGACGTAAAAGGAGGCGTTGGCCGATGCCATGAACGAAACGATCAAGCTGCAGACGCCGTTAGCCCGATTCGAAATGCATCGGCGTGCCGAAAGTGACACGAAAAGGGGCACGTGGTCACTTACCTAGATGGGATGACGAGCAGCGCCAACACTGCGGCCGCCGGTCGCCACGCGACCCTTTGGGTGAGGGTGCGGAAAAGCAACAGAATGGCAACATCTTGGAAAAAGAAGGTGATACCCCAGAGGAAGAAGCGCGCAGCGGGGAGGGAATACAAGTGAGCGTAAAGATGAAGCAATTTTGCGCAAAACAACGAGAAGAAGGCAAGGGTGAAGAAATAGCGGCGGGCAAAGTCCCACACAGCATCCAGGGTCTCACCAGGCGAGACTCTAACACGCCGGATGCCGTGGCTCAGGTAGGCATGGACGGCATGGACGACTTTCATGATGGTGTATTTACTCTCTCACATTCACACCCCGGCATGATAAGAAGAAAAGAAAAAGGGACGGGGGGAGAAGATCAATTGAGCCCCAGCCAAGACTCATGGTCCTTCTATTCAGGGTCGTAAGTGGGGAATTTCACCATCAATCGAGAGACAGGGGAAGAGAATGGAGAATTCGGGGGCCAGTCAGGAGTCCGCAAGGGAACAAGGGACCACTGAAAGGAAGACGTTGGAGTTCCACCTTGCCAGTCAAGTCGCAGAGCCACTGGAATAGCCACGGCAGAATCCTCCAATGTCCTCCATAGGGTCACAGTGGCCCCCAAACGCCCCCCAAGCCAAGAACTCATCGGCCCCGCTCCGCCGAATACGTGATTTTGGTCGTGTGCTCGGTTCCTCTTTTGCTTTTTCCGGTTATTTTTTTTCTCCCGTGTGGCTAAGGTTGGCTGGTTTTGGCTGATGGAGGGCTGATTTTGGGCTGGTTGGGGCGGGTTCAGGCTGGCTTTGGCACTGGAGACTGGAGTTGGCGAAGATTGGCAGGCATTGGCGGATGGAGGATTTTGCCCTGTCACCCCGTTCTCGTTCCCTTTCCCGTCTTGGATCTTCGACCCCTAACTTATCTTTTGAATGTCCCTCTCTCGACAATTACCCCCCCATATAATGTCAATACCATGTTAGGTGGTATATTCGCTTGGGTCTCGCTATTATTCGAGCCTTCGGCCTTTCAAGTGCCACTCATTCAACCTCAACCTCGTCTGAAAGCCGAGGATTCCACCGCCCTCAAGCCAACCTCCACCAACCTCCCCTGGCAGGACATTATAACCGGCGATTATGGACACCCTCCGAAGTTGAAAATCCACGATCGTGAAAGTATCGTGAAATGGAGCTGGGAGCGGAAAGATGTCACCCAGGATCTTCCGCCTCGTATTCGTAGCGGCCTGTACGGCCGCGCCAACGATGCGACGGAAATGAAGTGGATGCGTGATGGCAAGAGTGTCGCTGCCATCTACAGTTCTTTGATTGTGGTTATCAACCACACTCCGGATATACCCTCTATCGATAAGAAAATCACCTTCGCTGTCAACCGAGATACGGATGTGCTTTGGAATGCACACTCCCTGGAACCCTTGCCCGGTGATCGCCTCGCTGTCGCCACTACCGGTCAACGAGCCTGGGATGGTATTCAGGTCTATAACATGAGCTCTGCCCTTCCGCTCGAGGACGAGCCGCCCATCCTGCAGAAGGTCGAGGGTCTCCGCGCCATTCATGCCATGATCTGGGACGAAGAGGGCCAAATGCTATGGGCGTGCGGCACCAATGTCGCTGCGGATGGATCGGACCCAGAACCTGCCTATGGTGTCATCCAGGGATATCCATTCGACAACCAAACAGGTCTGCTTCGCGACGATCCTGCCTTCAAATTCACGTTCCCAGAATACTGGGATATTGATACTGAATGGGGCCACGGATACAGCTGGTGGTCAGGCCCGCACGATCTTGTGCCTGTGCCAAATGAGCGCATCTTCCTCGTCTCCAACGACATCGGAGTGCAAACCTTTGACATCGCGACCATGTCTTTCATCCATGGTTTCCAAGAAACCATTGACAAATATATGCCCGGGTTTGAGTGCACCTCCACTGATCGGCATGGGATGAACCGCCAGGGTGAATGGGAGGAACTCCCATACTCGGATCTCAAAGGGTTCAGCCTTGCGCCTGATGGAGCTTTCATATACACGCAATCACTGTGGAAATTGTTCCGCGGAAACCATACCAGTCTCGTGGTCGATGGAGTTCGCACCCAACTCATGGAGGGGAATGAAATCTACCGGTCGCGATTCTTTGGTGACATCGATGGCTGGCCCAAACCGAAGACGTAAAGTGTTCTGGCGATGTCTGTATAGTGCCTCATAGATAAATAATGAACATCAAATTGTATCTATATTGCCCATATGCGCCAGTTGAGAATACAAAAGACAATAGTGTGTCAATCTCCGATCATCCCGAGGTCTGGTCGTCAGATCTAACCCATGTCCAATGACGAAATGTCTACAGCTACACTTGCAGCCTTACAAGGCCAGTCTCCTTTAAAACTCGGGTTTCCGTGCACCGCCACAGGTGCCAAGGCCACTAAATGCCACCATGCACGCGAACAATCCGAAGGCTTCGGTGGCAGCCCGTTATTGGCTCCTCGTGAAAGTCTCCGCGCGGCCTCAAATATTAATGACGTGCCAAGGGCTGAATGTTTCATCCCTTTCCTAGAATAGTAACTCCCTGCGTGATACGAGTATAGGGAGGCCTAAATTTGAGCCACTGTCTCGCCTTACCTTCTCGAACAAATAAGAACTATGTACGGAGTAGTTACTCCATGTTCTGTACACTTATAGTTCTTATCATGAAGATCAATGCGTTGTGCGTTTCACGTTGATTTCCGATTCTCAATCAGCCGAAACCGGGTGCACGGGTCCCGACCTCGGGAGGTCCACGGGTGCTCTGTATACACCGTACCCAGATTACCCGAAACATCCGGTGAATGGGCTGTATAATACGTAATCTAAATACAAGCCTTAATACACGCTCTTCCCTTCCAATGTTTCCACGGAGTGCTCAGTTCGATGTTACCTTTATCGTGACTTCGAGAGCTGTGTCCGTGGTGTCTGTGGTGTCAAGGGAACCGTTTCATTTGTTCTTTAATGGAAGCATACCTTGAAGTCGGCCATCTTGTCAGTGGATTTTTACCCCGGATTAATATCCAAGAAGAACGGTAAGCAAGAGCAATAATTGAATGAGCAAACGATAAAGGTCACTACTTAAGTATGTTGGTAGTTGCTGGAGCTGGAGCCCCCACCAATTCAACACCCCCTTCATCTTTTCACAATGTCAAGCTAGAGCAACGCTTATCTGCAGCAAGAAGCAAGGGTCAATTTGCCAACGATATTCTCTTCCAATCTTGGAATTACCAAGCCCGGGCCGAGGAGAGTTCCTGGCGTACATGGAATGGCGGAATGTCAACAATGAGAGCTGAATGGGAGTAGTAAACCCCAATGGAGGACTCATTCCCGTAGGCTATATAAAGAAAGTCCTTTTCTTCATGTCCTGGTAACCCTATCCATATGACACCGGGAAAAATCTCAGGGTCGCGGCAGTTCTGAAGAATCTGGAAACTATCAGCTTCAAAATCAAGAGATGCAACCTCTCTGGTGTGTTCTTACCTCGGTCATCGAGCAATCCTGTTCAGATTCAAAGTATTCTTGAAGTGGTTCAATATTGGCCCCGATGAGGGGGTCCTTTTGGGAATGATGGCGGTTCAAGTCTATGTGCCTTTTCTTTGCGTAGGAATATAGTTCTTTAAGTCCCCTCACGCGGCGGGAGAAAAGAAGGAACTTCCAGTAAAGATCAAGGTCCGAAGTTCCAATAGGCAAAGACGAAAGGAACGCTTGATAGCCATTCGAGTCAGGTTCTTCCTGTTCCCACACAGACTTACTGTCTGGGGGATTATAAACAGGGCGGAACTCAGCATCCATGCCCAGATGACTGAAGATAGAAAAGACTTGCAGATCAGCACCCTTGAGCGCATTTGGCAATAAATTTTTGAACCCTTCAGATGTATGGGGATACGCATGAGAGCAATAGATGCCAAGGGTACCACCTAGTATTGGTCAGTCTGGACATACCCCGCCTATGTAGATGAAGCTAGGGAGCCCTTGGAAGCTCCTGGGCATGACTTACCCATTCTAAGAAAATCCGGCTTCATCAATGTCTCTTTCAAGCATTGGTATGACGACAAGCTCTTAGGATCGAGGATCAATTTTTCTGGAACCCGACCAGCTTGCTGCACGACATCTGTCTTGGTGATATACAAGTTGTATGTCAACGTGATTCGTTCTCCTTCGGTGACCGGTTTGATCTCGTGTTCACAGTCACTGTAAAATGCGGCCCACTGGATTGTGGTTTCACTGTGTTGACTCCAGTCAAAATCAACTTCCTTTCCTTGGTGTCGCACGATCAGGTTGCCCCCTTTAAAAGGCGATGGCAAGCAGACAACAAGTGAGCCTATTTGATCAGCCGATCTCGGTGTATCAACGTGTTTTCTGAAAAGGCCGAAGGGTCCTGAGTATACCTGTTGGTTATGTTAGAATTCCATTTAACGAAGGTAGTCGAAGGAGGAGTTTTCAGGTACATTTAACTTGTATAGCTCGGCTTTGAGGCGACGATTTTGACCAAGGAAGAGATCAGGAAGAAGAACTTGTTCCACATTCTCCAGGATCTGAAAATCTGACAGGTGGAAGCTGCTTGTGAATTGCTGGGGATCAAGCTTTCCTGCCTTACGGTACTGAGGATCAAGAACGTCTTCTTGCCCTTTCCCAAAAGTCGCAGGCTCACAATCATTTACCAAATGGCGTAAATTGTCGGATGCATCCTTGGAGTTGATGTTGTGACAAAGAGGCAGCGTCAATTGGCGGGTAGGATTATCTTCTCCCTTACACCAGTATACCTTGATCGGAGATGCCAAACCGTGGTCATTTGCCGGTCCATCATTTTGAACCGAAATAAGGCCCCCGCAAACAAAAGAGGCAGATTTTGCGATTATAGATCTAAGCTGATCAAAGGCTGTCTCAATCGCCCAATGCTCTGGGTTTTCAGTTTTCAGTTTTCTGGGTCTGAGACTTTTTTTGCCGTCAATCTCATGACAGAATTGTGTGAAGATCGGATCAACCATTTGGCTGTAGAACGCACTCTCCCTTGATGTGGTATTGTAAGAATGTTGTGCCTTTAGATGGCCTGCTTCGGACAGTATAGGCAGTCTGTCCACAAGTTTCTTTTCTATGCTCTCATCCTCCAAAACATCAGGCGCAAAGTCTTTTGATACAAGGGTGTTCAGGTCGTTTGACAGTTCTTCGGTAAGCCGATCCAGGAGGTGCTCTTTCTCTTGGCCTTCGAAAGACTCAATATTTGTGAATTCAGAATCGATTATTTGAACTTTCGACAGCTGGACCAGAAATTTGTCGATGCAAGCATCAAGCTTTGATTCCTATACGTGATGACACGGTGTTAGACAACAGTCCATTAGGGTGGGAGTATAGATTAAACGCACCCTCACGTCCCCCTCATTCTCCTTTTGACTTGAGTTGTGATCGCTCATCTTTCTTTTTCTTTCTTTGGTTTTGGATTTTGTTGAGATCACCGGATCTTGGGGTTCAAACTGCTAGATGTAGATAGTTTAGGAGAGAGCTGCTCTCTCTTCCTTTCGTTCTCTCCTCAGTCTTAATGGTGACAATAAGGTAGCTTTTGTTGCAGATCTTTCTCTTCGATGCTCTTGGGTTGATCCCCATTCAAGTCTTCGGATGTCGAGTCGGCTTCGCTAAGGTGATTGATCCAGAGGTTGTTCACTTGAAGATGTTGCCGGAGAACAGAGAAGGAGAAAAATATGACCGAAAGATTTAACAAAAAGAATGGAGCAAAAAATATTCGAGTTATTACCACATCATGATCAACACCCATGGATATTGTCCGACCTCAAATGGGGATCTTTGATTTAAGTTGCACATACCGACACCAAATTAGACACCTCTCCCGGGTTAGCTGCGTCTTTCTAATTCTTTTTCTAATTCTCTCCATTCACCCGATTTCAAAATAGCATATCTTAATGGATTCTATCAATACTAATGATAGGTAGGGTCTCAATATTAATCGGGATCCCTATCACACTCAAAGACATAGTGGTGAAATGATTGGATTTCATACATCCATGGATCTACTAAATGTATAGCTAATTGTACAGAGTCGGTCCCGCTGATTTGCAAAAATAAACTGATAGTCGTCTTCCCCATTGATTAAGCACCTAGCACAGCGCCTATCACCTCCCCTGATGCCTCCAGTGCAGTCTTGTTCTGAGCTTTGTTGGCCCAAGCAGATAGGAGCACCACTTCAAGGAAGAATATGTCGTGAGGAATGAGAATATCCAGTATTTTCTCGCCGGATGCCTTCCCGGAATGAACCTTGGCTAGTTTTCTGCCAGATTCATCGAGCAAGTCCATCTTTTTTGTCGACATCGAATCAAGCTTCCACTTCAGTTTACCCATAGAGGGGGTTGGAAAACTGGAATTGCCTGACATCTCGCTGAAGCGCATCTCCGTCGGTTGGCCGTGAATAGTAAGATGGATCTTGGAAGAAAAGGTTGGGAGCCGAGCATCGCCAACGACGTCCCACGGACCTCCACCCCACCCACGAGACACTACCACGTTACTCTTGCCTGACGAAGATATCGTGATGGAGTACATCGGGGGGGAATCGATGGGATAGCCCGTTTGATGGACTAGAATCTTTGTTCCATCCCAGGGTGCTGGGCGGATTGAAAAAGAGGCACAGGCCTGTGGGTTGGAACTGCCGCCGGATGAAAATAAAGATGATAGATGGAAAGTCATGGTTCGTTAATATTGGTGTCGGGGATCGAAGTAGTAGTTTTGACAGAGGACCCTGGATAGTCTGAAGGACATTTCAAATGTTTCCCTGGTATTTCCAAGGCTCTTATATCTCTGCTCAGGAAGCATCGACAAATGATCGCCAAAGATAGAGATCCCAAGATACATATTGTGTGCCACTCGTTTTAACGGACACACCGTTGAAGTTGTGAAAGCTCATTTTTAGAATGTCCATTTTTGCCCCAATCGGGAGAGATGATGCGCAATACGGGATGTGGATCCTCACGAGAGAGAGATAACGTGTTCTGATTGGTCAGATCCTTCAGAGGCATGGGCAGTGCACGTTGGGCAAGTGCGATCGTGGGGGCCATTTCCCGATTAGCATTTCCAATGGCAGTTTGGACCAGCAGAGCGTGTTCATTGGAGCAAAGTGGCCTGCTTACGCTGATCTGTTGTCCCAAGTCCCCCTTAGCCACTTACGTCGCAGAAGACCCTTCACAGGCCCTTCATAGGCCCTTCATAGACCCTTTAGAGGCTCTTGGCAGATCGACAGCTTCTGGGCTCGGGGGCTGTGGCCAACGTTGGATGTCGTCACACAAAACCATGCACGGCGCCCCAAATCTCTCTTTTGGGTCATCTCACTCTATGTCCTCTCGCCTCACCGCGTACTCCCCACAAACAAAGTGACATTGACATCGGAAGGTCATGCCAGGTGTTCCGTCTAGCCGGGGCTGCGATGCGTGTCGCAAGGTGAAGAAGAAGGTTGGGGCTTTCTCCACGGTGGATGGCAAGGGCACTTTATTAATGCACAGACTAGTGCGATCAACTTAAACCGACTTGCTCACGTTGCGCCCGTTTGAAGATCACGTGTGTGGGAAGTGGACAACAGCGATACATGTTCAAAAACCAACCATTGAAAGTGACGCAATCACAAAATGGCGCGCTGCAAAAGTCGCACCCCCCTGTGACAGAGGAGATCATCTTCTCTTTTGGAACCCCACCGAGTGTACTCAACACTGAAACTGGTCGATTGGCATCCGCCTTTGTGGAAACGCTGAAGATCACCGATGTGCGATATGCCGTGACCTACTATGGACCATTCCTTCGGGAAATTCCCCAAAGGCTGGGGAATAGTCCTGTGCTAGATTCGGCTGTGAAAGCTATGTCGTCTGCATATCCCTTTGTCCACAAGGGAACATTTCCATCCTCTGCTTTGGTCCATTATGGTCAATCGCTACGGGCATTGAGGGATTGCTTAAATAACCCATCCGAGGCTCGTACATCCCACACACTGTGTGCTGTCTATTTGATCACGATATGCCAGGTACAAAGGGGAATCCATTCTTATGGCCAGGGGCTAATCACATCAATCATAGAGCTGGCTGGGGAAGGTTGATGATTCTTTGACCAGCCACAGCGAGGCCCTCGCCTTTCTTTTGAAGGCGTCTTCGCTGGGTGAATGGAGATCCCAGTTCGAGATGCAAATGGTCATTACACTCAGTGTGCCTATAGTACGTTTGGATATTTCCAGGGTGACCACAGACAATGCCACGACCCGATTGCTAACAATAGATTGCACAGATCCTCGAAGGCATCGTCAACCCTCGTATCAGAATGGACCCTGAATTTTGGGAAATGATGACTACCTATAGAAAACGCCTTGACCCACAAGCTTTTGAGAGATCGAAAAATTCCACACAACTGCACCATCTCGCCATGCTTCCAGAGTTTGTTCAAAATCCCGATGCGCATGTATTTGATATCGCCAAAATGTACCTTTCACTCAAAAGGGATGCGCAGACGATCAAAGCAGCCCTTGATCAATACGCACCCTTTGTTCCGGCTTCCTTCTCGACCCCTCAAGTTGGAAAGCACTCGCAGCAACAGGCTGCTTATACCATTGTCACTACACTGGCTGCGCTACTCAACACTCTTCTTCGCCTTTTCAATCCATCCAACTCGATCTTAGAATCCGAGACAACCTTCTTCTGCGACGAAGTACTCACACAAGCAGTACTGGCTTCATGTTACAGACCCATGGGTTCAGCGTATATGCCTCTTTCCCTCGTCGTCTGTTGGGCTTGTACCCATGACATTGTTCAACTGGCAAAAATCGAGACTGTTCTTGCTGATTATCAGACCGACTTTGCCGAACTACCCTGGATGAATCGTGGAATCTGGTTGGCCACTTTGTTGAACAGCCACCGTGAGCGGATTGCTTTGGAAATGGCAACGGGCGCAAGTCCTTCTTCTAACCCGGAAGACGTAGTTCATACCGCGGGAGAATCTTGCTGTATCCTTTAAGCTCAGAGCCTACTGAGATACATGACGATTTATGTTTGAGAATGACTGGTATGAATTGTTGAGCTGGCCTCAACTCAATGATCATTTGGAGTTCTAGGTATATACTGCACTATCTTTCTGTCATGATGATGAGAAGCGAATATCCCTGATAGAGTTTCATCAAGACTTCCATTTGAAGACAGGACGCAGAACCCTGCTTGAAAGATTGCTACTGCGCGGCGATCTCTTTTTGAATGCTTCCTCGATCTCATTCAAAGATCGGCCTTTTGTCTCCGGCATGAACAGAGCACAAACAACGGCAGTCAGAATAGAACAACCACCGAACAAAAAGTATGCCCCGTAGCTGCTCTTTGATAAGAGAATTGGGGTTGTTAGTGCGACCAAAAAGTTCGCAGCCCAATTGCTACCGTGTGCCAAGCTTGTCGCAGAGGCTCGAGTGCGCTGCGGTTGAATCTCCGCGGCATAAATTTTGATTCCAACACCCCATGTCGAAGAGTATATCACAGCGAAGATGTAGATAGTGACAATGACGACCCAGCGCCCGGCTCCAAAAGAGCCATGCACAGACCCCGATGCGTAAAGGGCACCGATCAAGAACATCGTGATGCTGAGTGCAATCCCACCGTAGATTGTGCTTTGTCGACGGCCCCACTGGTCCGCCCAAATCAACGCGGGGATAGTGGCGCCGAAAATGACTAGGGCTGAAACCCCGGAGGCGAGAAAGCTGGCTTGCGATGATGCCAGCCCTGCTTGTTGGAATAGCAATGGAGCATACTATTGTCCTGTTAGTTATGCATTAGATTGAAAGTCGAGTGACATCTTACGTATAGAACACCGTCAATCCCACTCAATTGTTGCATTCCCATCATGAAGACTGCAAGGCCAGTGCGTGAACGAACATCGCGAGAGAAAAGATCCAAGAGGGTATGTCTTGGCTTTGTTGCAGTCTGAACTTCCGTCGCGGTGGCATCATTTGTGCCTTGATCCTGTACTTGTTGTGACTCGGCAGATTCGAGTTCGATCTCCACCTTCTCTCGCTCGGCATGGCTGACACCCAAATAGTCCCAGGCTTGTGTCGCCTCTCCTTCACGACCGTGTAGAGTCAACCAGCGAGGTGAGGGAGGCAGAAAGAAGAGTGAGACCATTGAGAGGGTCATCGAAAATGATGCGAGTACAATAAACGGTGTCCGCCATGACATGGAAGATTGGATTCTTGAGGTACCGTAGCAAGTAAAGAACCCAGTAACGATACCAAGCGTGATAAGAAGCTGAGGTCCTGTTGTGAAAGCCCCTCTAACTCTTGTTGGCGATATCTCGCAAATGTATCTAAAGGAGTCAAATTAGTCACATCTGATTGACTCGGCGGTTCGAATAATAGAGCGTACACAACCAAAGTCCCTAAAAAGAGACCCTCGCCCACACCCTCGACAACCCTACCAACAATGAACATGGCAAGATGAACAGCGGCAGCTTCTAGCGCAGCGCCAACGCCAAATATGAACACCCCGATGCTGATGCCCTTGGATCTTCCGAATCGGTCTGCCACGAAGCCAGCAAAGAAGGAGGAAATCGCAGCTGGAATCAGAATAGACGATACGATGAGACCGTGGATCGTAGCTGACCGACTGCCACCGAACTGAGCAACGAAGTCTTCCATGTCTGTGACAGGTCCGATGATTCCTGTGTCCATGCTATCGGGGCATGTTAGCATCGGCGTCAGAAATGGGGGGTGGGGGCATATTGCATACCCAAACAGCATGCCATTCAGGGAACACAATATACTGGCTGGCACATATCGTGGAATTTTCTGCAGTCTTTTTATCAGAGACAATACCATTATCAAAGTGAGTGGGGCCTCCAGGGCTCGTCCGTTGTAGTGATTTTGAGCAAGTATGGCCCACTACGCCACAACTAACTTTAAAAGGTTTCAGGAAGCAAAGACTATAGATCTTGATATGAAACAAAACAATTCAAAAAGACCCTGGACGATCTGCTTACGCCGAAAATTCTTCATCGGAATCCTTAACCCGCTGCCCCTCCATCACATGCTCCACTATAGCTTATCGATGCTATCGCCGGGTAAATGCCGGCTAAATGTTTTGGTAAATACCTAGGTAGTGTTCAAATGTTGAGTATTAGATCGGGATGAGCCCGACAACGCGAGATCTAAATAGCCTTACTCCCTACATGGTACATTACATGTTAAGTTTCCAGTTCTAAAATCCATCACCAGCTGAACCGATACTCTCAACCCGAATTCCCAACCTGGTCATCTTCTTGATATCAATAATGCATCGTCCGTCAAACAGCCATTTGGGCGTGCTCATGCTCTCCGCAATTCTCTCCCAGTCTACCTGCTGCTTGGGAAGAGCATCGCTGAGCTTACGAGCAGCAAGGTCTTTCCCATTCTCTCGCTGACAATCGGGGCAATCGAGAGCGCAGGTAGGCTCCTCATTGAGTGTTTCCTGAAGGTAGGAGAGGGAAGCACTATCCTTCGTACCTCCAATATTGGAAATAATATCGGTTTGAACATCCTTCGAGGCAACGGTGGCAGGTGGAGATGTAATGGCAGCCGATTCGGTGTTGCGGAATTCGTCAAACTCGGTCACAATGAGAATCGCATTTGAGGATTCACACGCTTCGTAAGCATCGTGGTAGACCTTGACGGCTCCGCCGTCGTCTCTGAGTGCTGGGGGACCATACCCGTGCAACTGACGGATCTCGCTTTCAATCACGTAAGGGTTGCAGCAGGGGTCGAAGATGGCAATCTCCCCTGGATTTTCATCCAGCAATGTCTTGATTATTTCGAGCGCAGGTGCCTCGCGGGTGTCAGATGTGTTTTTCTTGAAAGCGTAACCTAGAAGAGTGATCTTCTTCCCGACCAGGGTGTTGTTGAGACACTTGATGACACGACTGGTGAACCGATTCCGCTGGTACTCGTTCATGGTGACGACCTGACGCCAGTATGCTCCGACTTCCTTGAGACCTAGAGATTCAGCGAGATAGACGAGACTGAGAACATCCTTCTTGAAACAGCTGCCGCCGAATCCAATTCCAGCACGGAGGAATTTGTCGCCAACCCGAGAATCCATTCCGATGGAAGCGGAGACCTCATTGATCTCGGCACCTGTGGCCTCACAGATTGCCGAAATGCTGTTGATACTGCTCAGTCGCTGGGCAAGCATAGAGTTGGCCACAAGTTTGGCCAGTTCTGATGACCAGATATTTGTGGTGATAATGCGAGATCGATCAACAAACCCGGCATATACCCCAGCCAAGGTCTCCGCTGCGACTTGTCCATCTTTGGTGGTTGAGGAACCGATGATGACTCGGTCCGGGTGCAACAGGTCTTGAATGGCGGTTCCGGCCGCAAGGAACTCCGGGTTGGACAGAATCTCGAAACGTGCTTTGGGTCGGCGAACAGCAATCTGTGTCCAGGTAATTCAGTCAATCTAGTTATCTTGAGTTGAATGTGACACATGTCATACCATTTCCTGTATCATCTGAGCGGTTCTGCAAGGGACTGTAGACTTCTCCACAATGACAGCACCACTTTTGGCATGTTGTACAACATCTGCAGCAACGGCCTCGAACGCTGTCATGTCTGTTGCACTGCCTGCACCAGAGCCGCGCATCTTGGTTGGTGTATTCACCGCAATTATGACAATGTCGGATTCGCGGATACATTCCGCTACGTTCGCAGAGAAAAACAGATTGGGTGCCCTAAAGGAGTTGATACCTGGGATCTGTGACTCGGTATATTGGTTATCGTCATCGGTATGGGTTGACTTCTTTTCGGAGCTTGGTGACAGTCCATCTCGTGAGACTCGGACAATCTCTGCAAGGCCGGGCTCGTAGATGGGCAAGTGTCGCGAGTTCCACCGGCGAATGCGACGCTCATCTTTGTCAACCACGGTGACCCGAATGTGAGGGTTCTTTAATGCGATCACTGCAGCGGTCGGTCCACCTATGGGGAGTTAGAAATACGAGTAATGCGGGTGATTGGAGGACTACAGGGAGGAGACACAGAAATACGATGCACTTACCGACATATCCCGCGCCAACACAACAGATACTCTGCACTGGTTTTCCCACTATCGGGCTCTCTGTATCGCTCACGTCCCCGGCACTTCTCGTCCCAGGGGAGTTTGAATCACTCTTGTCTGTGCCGCCATTGAGACTTCCCTCCGGGGTTGTGAATTCAGTTGATAGGATGGTATCAGAGTCCAACTCTGGTGATGTAAAAGAAGACATATCTGTAAGGGGTGACCTCAACCCAAATTGGAAAGTTGGAAATGTTCCAAAGATACTTCAAGAGGGTTTGGTCAGTCGAAGAGATATGAACGGAGACCGGGAGACTGAACCCGGATACATGGCTGCTTATTGCTAATTATGGCTACTCTTCCCGCCAAGGCAATTTCCAGGTCGAGATTAGTGAAATCATGCCGGAAAGTAGCATGTCCATAATGTTAGACGTTCATAGATCGGCCAGGTGGGATCCTATGGTTTCGTTACGGGACAATCCCTGGGTAATTAATACCTGCGAGTATACGTTTGGCGGCAACGATCTATGCAGCCACGATGTGGCCAACCCCCCTTGCTGCTTTCTCGTGCAACGTCGGCTTAGACGCGTGGTCCTTATCCCAGTAAAAGCAAACATCGTTAGTACAATTTTTCCATGCAAAGCACGTCGCACAAAACCTGACTGCCTAAAATTCAAGACTGCCTTGACTGGGTTGATACTGGGATTTTCGTCATATTAAGCTCTATCTTGAGGGATCAATTCCTTGATTTCGCCATCAGAATACGAACACACAGAGAGATAAGACATCTGAACACTTCAAATGTTTTAGATGTTCAAGTACTGGGTACTTTACCGTAATACAATTACCATACACTAGGCCGAACGAGGCTGAACCCAGCATAACCGGCTTGGCATGTGCGAGCGAATCCCAAGGCTTCAATTGTACATGTGCCCTGGTCAATACGCCAACATCACCTCCGTACAATTTCGACCTTGCTTGCTTTTTATGAACCCGCAAACTAGGTCTTCGTCATTCACTAAAACGAGACTTTCATTACCCCTAAATCCTTGGACCCCATTTCCTCCCGGACGAGTATACTCCCGATGTCCCTACAGTTCTTGGCAAGGTGCAATAGCTCTCTGATCTCCATCAGCCCTACTCCGCGAGTGGGGCCATTAGATTCCCAAGCTCAATCCTCTGGCCTTTGACCTAACCGAACACGGTCCTGATCATCGATATGTTACTCTAATTCAAGACCACTTTCGCACGGGGGCTTATAAACACTTCTCACTCGCCCACATCTCCCGCACGATTCCATTCCATCGATGGAACGTAGCCATCACAAATATCGGATTCATTGCGACAAGTGCGGAGGAATTCAATTTGCCTGTCTCAGCCATCCCCGCAAGGGTCTGAGGGTACCCACGTGCAGTCAAGTACAGGTCTACAGACGCCCTCACAAGGGCCCCCTGTACGCGACGGTATCAATCAAGTCCGCTCGCTTGGATACGAGGATACTGTCGGATTGAAGCGCACCCGAATGAGGCTCACGGAACGAATCCGGTAATTTGCCTGGACATCGTCGTCCGTTACGTTGTCGCAATATCATGGTCGGTCCCGGGAGGTGTGGATCTGGGTGTCCGGGCAGTGCCGGCGTATCGATAATACGACTACCCTTTTTCGGACCCTACGGCTCGTATATAAGATGTATCATAACGGGTGAATATACGAGGGGTACGGGGTATTTTAGGCACTGATTCTCATTTTTATGATTCTGTCCCATGGTTGTACATGCGAAATGAGAAGTCGTGCACAGTTTGTATTAGGTTTATGTACAATATCTATAGACTGTATTTCCTTAAATCCAGGTATCATGTGGCAGTCTTCTTTTTGGAATCCAGCTCTGCCTTGCTGAAGAAGGCGCATCCAGCCAGAACAAGGGCAATACCAGTTCCGTTCAAGAGATCAACTGTGAAATCCTTGAAAATGAAGATCCCAATCGCTAGTGTGATCGCCTGCTTGAGATTACCACAAACCGAGATGGTCAATGCGCCGGCAAGCTTATTGGTCTGGAAGGAAGAGACGTTCAAGAAGAATGCGAGTAGTCCGTTTCCGAGGAGGAATGCAACTGTAGCCATAGTGGCGAGCTTCGAAGACTCGGCAGCTCGTTGCGACATCGTATTCGCAAATTCTGGAAGCTCTCCGGCAAGAACGGCGAACACGAAGGATTGGACTGCAGCCAGCGGAGACATGCGGAACAAGAGCTCCATAGATGGAAGTGCCAGCGATCCGGTCATCAGGCGATTCGTTGTTACAGTCTATGGTAAGATCAGTCTCGGTCCATTTTTGGGGTATCACTGGAAAGTGCCTTACCTTCACTGCCGCGAGAACAACTCCAAAGACAGTGATGAATAATCCAAGTGCAGAATAATGATATTCCCCAACAACAGTCATTCCAGCTCCGACGATTATAGGGATCAATGACAGGTACGTTGCCATGGAGTATGATCGTGCGAACCAAGCACGGTATATCAAAACGGTGAAGATCGGAACGGTGTTGCGGATAATCTGGAAGAATGCTAAACTGACGAGGGACCTATTCAATAATGATTAGTTCTGGGTATCACCGCCATTTGACCGAGAACGTACAGCGATAGGTTTGACATGGCAATATTAGCTGTAAAAAGCACCGAGAATGCGACCAAAATGAGATGTTCCTTTCGACCCAGTCTTGAAAGCTTGAACCGGCCAAGCTTAAGAAGAACAAAGGTGCCGATCGAGGCAAATGTTGTATGCATACATGTTAAGAGCCATGGGAATTTGAACTGTTGATTCAATCGTCCACGGGTCAGCACTTGACTCTATCATCATTTCCAAAGCGGGTCTCACCGATCCCAAGATCAGCTTGTTATATAGCGTCAGCATCATGCTGAAGAAGAAGTAAGAGCCGAGCCACATGAATTTCACCGAGGTGGGCGTCTGGTATTCGGGTTCCGTCGTGGGTGTTGGTTGTTCATCTTTGCGATTAGCTTCGAGATCGTCCGATCCCGCGACAGAGCTTGAATCCTCGTTGGAGAGCAGAGCCAGCTCTGATTCCTCTTCTTGATTGACTTTGGAGTAGCTCATCTTCCCATCTATGCTGGCGCTGTCAAACTGGGGTGTGGTGAGGGTCGGGTTGAATGAGGTGCGGTGAGAAAGAATGCGACCAAGAGAGCACGCGATAGATGACGGAGAGAAGGTTGCAAGGCTATTTCAGAGGCGCCACATAAAAAAGAAAAAAGAAATAGAAAAAAAAAAAAAAGCAAAGACCAAAATAGAATAGATGCGCCTTGAGATCAAATATACCACCGGTAACAAATACCAAATACCGGTATCCGGTATTGGTCGTAATCGTAGAGGGGCGCGCTAGTAAGAAACAGGAGTATACAAGTACAGAGTCGCAGAGAGAGAAATGATCTTGGCATCGAAGGCAACAGTCTACATGATTCCTCTTCCAACTGGCTGACTCTTGCCATTTCCATCCTTCAACGCTAATTGGCTCCGGTGTTGTCGCGGTTCACTCTCGGTTGCAGACAAGTGGCCAAGAGCGAGCGAAAGAGAGAAAGGGGCGGGTAGGACGTATTCGGAGGCTGCACATAGCCCGCTTGGCTGTCAGCAAAGGCTAATAGGGGTGGAATCGTTTCGTATTCCACAGATCCGGTCTTGGCTACATGTGAGCCCAACCGTCGGCCCTTTTGCATTTTTCCACTCCTAGGTGTAGCCACCCTTTGTACAATTCCATCCGGGAGTTGTCGCTATGCTGCTATTTACCAGCCGTTGGCACTGGGCCATTCTTGCTGGTTTTGTGGTTGTAGCTCTGATCACCCTGTTTCAATATCATTCTCCGATCGGAGACCACGCGCCTGTGTCTGTATCCTCTGACGATGTGAGATTTCTCCCTAATTTTTGATATTGATTTGGTATCTGACCGAGAACAGACAACGTTGCTCAAAGAGGATTCACGTGTCACAAATATCCCTGGGGAGAAAGATACTTCAAAAACTTCCAAATTCCATCTACTCATCCCGGCAAATGGTCCTCACCTCCAGTTGTGCAGAGCGGTGGTCTCATCAACCATTCTGGGCTACCCGATTCCTGTTTTCAATGGTTGGAATCAGTCTGGAGACCTGGATGCCTCTGTCACTCATCTCGCCAAAGTACGCAATGTTATGCGCTATCTTGACAGCCTGGAGTCTGCCTCCGACGATGATTTAGTCTTAATGGTCGATGGATACGACGTGGTTTTCCAGCTGCCTGCCGATGTCTTGATTCAACGATACTTTGCCGTTATTGAAACGGCGAACGCTAAGATTGCAGCGCGATTTGGCGAAGACTCAATAGATGCCATCTCCAGGGATAACGCTCCAAGACAAACCATCCTTTTCGGTCCAGAGAAGATTTGTTACCCAGTTGATTGGAACCGACCCGGGTGCTGGGCCATTCCGGATATTGACCTCCCTGCTGGTGCATTTGGTCCGGACGACGGTCAGCTCAGTCACAATCTTCCCAAATGGCTCAACTCCGGTACTATCATGGGTCCAGTCGGCGACATGAGAGAGTTGTTTGCTGCTACTTTGAAGCGGATCAAAGATACCTATGACCCAACCCATGAATTCAGCGATTCGGATCAGAGATATATGAGCGATGTCTGGGGAGAACAAGAATTCTGGCGATCGGTGGACTTGCACAACCACTATTTCCACGACGATGTGGATCCGAAGAAGATTGCACCGGAGGGAGAATCGGATCAGATCATTCCCACGAGGGAAGCAGGTCAAAAGACTGAGTTTCACATCGGCATCGACTATACTTCCGGATTATTCCAGACCCGCGTGGGCTCTGATCATGTTGTTGAACATGTGTCCTTCGACAAAAGTGCATCCGATGGATCTGGCCTTTCGACCTTAGTATCTGACAACAAGATCGAATCCTCGAATTTCCAGCCCTTTGAAATTGACCTCCCCGACAACGTGATTTCTTCTCTGACCAGACTTTTGAAGTCAATTGCTCCTTCCCTCAAAAGTGAGCCGCAAAAGATTATCACCAAATTGCGCTTGGGCACCAATTTTGTGACCAAGAATGTATATGGGCTATTCCACTGCATTGGTGAAAAGACTTATCTTGATGACTTATGGTATCGACTTTGGTTCCAAGAGCATGCGAAACCTCTTTTGGAAGCAAGGTTGAGACTGGCAAGTGAAAATAACACTATCTCTGAGATCCCCATTGATGGAAGGAGATGGGTTATCGCACACAACTATCCGACAGAGTCGGACAAAAGCGAGCATTTAGCTGGTGCCTGGATGGATATGGATGGCAAGTGGATATCTTGGAACGATCTTTGTGAGCCATTTGAGAAGGATATTTTTGGTGATCAGTCAAAGAAGCTTGCTTAAGGCGGTGTTTGGGATGACAGTATCCTGTCCGTGAGGTTTAAATTGTATATAATACCTTTTTCTATCTTAATTTTGATTTGGCTTCTTTCTCCGGATTAGACCTATGCATAACAAAGTTCCATGATGGTTTTCATTCTGATAAAAGAAAGCACTGTGCTCAGTGGGTTATTTACATATCTCATACTTAAGTAGTAAAGGTTATCCATAGAAAGAACGATGTCGTCAAACCTAGAATGACAACAGAAGATATAACGAACTAATTAGCAAATATAATGACCAAGGAATACCGAACGCTCAGCCTAACACTCAACAACAACCGCCAACTCCGGGTATCAATCCTTACAATCAATCTTCTGGCGTCGTTTCATAGACTTCCATTCCGTAAGGCCAGCTCCGACAAACGACAGTATCGCAGCCGCAACAGATACGTAGAATGTCTGCGTGACGGCAACGTTATAGGCGTAGAGCACAGAAGGAAGAACTTCCTTCGGCACCCTTTCTGCCAAATGGGCGGCTCCTGCTTTTATCAGGGCCTGCGGATTGGCCTTCGGGGCATGTTCAGTTATACTTGCGACGAGGCGATTCTCAAACACTGTTTGAGCAATTGAGATAAACATGGCCCCACTCAAGCTTTGCGCAAAAGTGATGATGGCGATACCAATCGGTATGTCTTGCAATGGGAGGACGGTCTGCAGTGCATTTATGCACTGTTGAAATCCAACTCCTGCGCCAATGCCTAGGATGACTTGATATCCAACCCACTGTGGAACCCCACTGCCGACGTTCAGACTGGTGCATAAGCCGGAACCAACTGTCAAGAAAGCGCTCCCTGCGAACATGAGTGGGGTATAATATCCAACGACATTCACGAGGACTCCGCCCAGTGCAGAGCAGACAATCATGGATACAACCATCGGCAGATTGTTGATTCCCGACTCTGAAGCAGTATCCTCCTTGACTGCCTGGAACCAAATTGGAAGCTAGAAAACAAATCAGCTTTGGTACTCTCACAAATGTTGGAGAACTCACATAGTAGCCAAAGACAAAAAATGAGCCGCCCAGGAATGTTGCGTGGACCACTGCTCCGAGGACATTGCGGTTCTTCAGAAGACGGGGTGGTACTGTGGCATCGTCTTGCTTCCAAACCTGAATAATCGCCCATATGGAGGCAAACACCCCAAATAGAATGAAAAGCACTATTATGCGAACATCGTCCCAATGGTATTTAGTGCCACCCCATTGCAAGCACAGCAGCAGCGAAACAACAGCAGGAACAAAAGCAGCAACACCAAGTGGATCCATCCGTTTCAGTTGATTCAATCGGCTTATCTTGGGCTTAGTTGTTCCTTTTGAGTCTTCAAAGAAGAGCATGATGACGAATGCAGTCAAGACGCCAAAGGGCAAATTGATCCAGAAGCACCATCTCCAACTGGCATGGTCCGTCAGAACTCCACCCAATCTGGCTAGCGTTAGATTTCATCTTGCAAATCTCGACCTGGAAAATGGCTTACAATGGACCTGTGATTGTCGCAATTCCACTTGTGCTCCCAATTATTCCAAAATAGAGCGCGCGACGATGAAGGGGCACGCTGTTTGCAAGAACAAGAAGAGCCCCGGGTGATAGTCCACCAGATCCAACACCGGCGATTGCGCGTCCAAAAATCAACCCCTTCGATGATGGTGTTACTGCGCATATCAATGACCCAATTTCAAATAGGGCGAGCGCAATTAAGTATGTCCATTTTGTCGAATAATAGGTATAGATCTTGCCAAAAGGCAAAGTGACTGCGCATGTTGTCAGGAGGTAGGCACTGGCGTACCAGGAAATATCGCCCAGGGAATTAAATTGTTCGGTGATTTTTGGCACGGCAGTAGAAAGAACAGTGTTGTCCTGTTGAGAAGATTATCGCGTTAGCTGCATGAAATTTGGAACCATAGACTGGGGCTTACCAGCGCAATGCAGAACGACTGGAAACACAGCCCTATCAAAATCGGAACAAGCTTCGAGTTAGGGGGGTACTCTTGCTTTTCGTCTTCATCGCTGTCTTCACTTCCAGTCTCCTTCAGTGGAATATCATCTCGGTCTGAAGTGACATCGTCTCGATAGTCTTTCAAGCTTGATTTGTCTGCCATGAACCCAGATCAATTTCCCCCAGTTATGAAACTAACTGTTGGGGATCATGAGAGGTTGTAAAGTAAGTTTCATTCACACCGAGATGTGAAGTGTGTCGGTGAATCGAGTTAGTCAACACTTGCAAAGCTTTGGATGTACTGAGCTTTGCGTGGATGATAGCTACTAGAAAAGACATGCTGATCACACAGTGTAGATCAAGGTATATGCCCCTTGTTTGAAGCTTCTTCCGGTGGGTTACATACTGTGTATTTCTTGTAGGGGTCACATACGTACCTTGGATGCTGTCAAAAGTCCACATTCCTAGGTGATATCGACATTCTCGAGACCTCTCCCCGGGAAAGTCCGTCAACCTCTACGCGTCAATTTGGCAGCACAAAGCCATCAATATTAACCATAGGCAAACATCACAGTATATATATACCGTTAGAAAATCATACGGAGATTGCAGTGTGCCAATCTCTGCCGGTGTTTACAGAAGCTCACTGGCCATCGCCGATCTATGTACCCAATGTTGTCAATCCCGGGTCCCTGCATTCCAAAGATTGCAACCTCGTCCTTGAGCACATGCTACCCGACAAACCAGTTCCTTTCTTGTCGTGCACCTGTGGATTTTATTTTGGTCATCTCGTACCTTTATAGTCTCAGGATATTGCGTCACCAGAGAACGCCCCGGGGTCACAGGGCTATACTACCATCAGGCCGGCCGAGCACTAGGGCTCAATACATATGGAAGGTTTGGAGTTTTGCAAGTTTTAACGGGCTTTTTCTGTACTCAACTTTACTTCTTATACCACTAAGTATGAACTAAAACAGCTTTTGAGTAGATGATATATTTCCCCGTTGCAGACTTTATTCATCAATTCCCCATAAGTTATGAACGTATTTCCAACGTTCTTTCAGGCACTGGAGTAATCATACCCCAAATTTTAACGGTCTGCATTACTTCTAAAGTTCTGTATCACCACTTGAGCACTATCCGGCACTAGTCAGGTGGGTACTATCTTAGGTAGGGGTTTACCTAAGTACCCAGATCATGAGACGATGAATAGACACGTAAACCAACATCTCCTGAAATCATTTCGGGGTCTGATGTCTCGAAAATAGATCGGCCTCCTTGGATCTCCTCGTGCAATTTACAATGTACATATTCGTATTATGGATACACTTGAATAGCAATTCCAGGCAAGCACCCGTGGACGGGGAACACGGGTGGTCGGCAATGGCAAATATGTGGACTGTTCGTGTCATATCATGAAGGGATGAGAAACAAGGATGTAATCCCGGAGAATATGAGTGGTGTAGTAAATCCCCGGTACCAGTAGATCATTCAAGAATACGGCTGCATCGATAGAATAGCCTTCTGTTATTCTGCAGAATGCACGTGAGCCGACTCGGGATATCAACTTCTAAAGTTCGGGAGATAGATGCACCTGTTGAAGAGAAACGGGACCATGGTGGTCTCTGGGTTAACTTAGAGGTTCTCTTCATCAAATTTTGATTCTACGTTGCTGTATAAATGTCATTTTGGCCAGACGGTCTTCAATAGCCCGGGTTGATTCCCTCTAACCTTCCAGGCTTGGAATAAATATATGTATGCTTTTTCGCAACCCAACTTACCTCTCACAACCTTGAAGGGAAAAAAACAAGACACAGAAAAGATCTGGCGCATCATTGAAAGCGCCCTTATTCGAAATATCAGCAGAGTATCATTTATTTGCTGGCACGATCGCATCTCGAGGCCTTACTATTCTCGTGGTGAGTGTTATGATTTTTTTGAAAAAAAACACGATAGCCTTGAGCTGAACATCTTCATTCTAAGATAGCGTTTAAATCCTGAAGTCGATGAGATCCCTCCAAATAAAGGGCAGAAGAATTTTATGACCAAAGTGGCATTTCTAGCCTGTTGATGTGCCCGTTATGACGCGCCCGAATCAAAACCTGCTCAAAGTGCGGGTAGTCGTGCCGCCAAGCCCCGGAGCAGGGGCCACGGCGCTGGGCCATTCATAAGACCTCTGCGAACTGAAACTCTATAGGCTCTCCTCCGTACTCGTTATATTGAGACCATGCCGAACTCTGATAGAACACAGAAATGTTGATTCCAGAAATCGAGGGGGCCAAAATGCACAGAGAGCTTATGCAGCCACAGATTAGACCAGAAAGCGGGTTACTGCACAAACCGGAACTGCCTGATGGGGAAATTCGCAGTGCTCATCCCCCAGGATTCGGTCACAGCCGTGAAAAGCAGAGACGTGGAGAACGGAGTAAGTGGCGTCATTTAACCAGTGTGAATTCTCTTGCCTCAAGTTCCAGAATACAAGTAAATTGGAAGAGAGAACTCCAGTCACAGCCGTTTCTGTGACATCCCTTTCAGATTCCATGGTACAACACGGAGTAGCCAGGAACAAACAATCGGGATCTCGCGAGGGGAGAAAGTTCATCGCAAATCCCTGACTCTTGTTCACAAAACGATTTGGCCCCAGCCTAGTCCTTGTTGGGGCCAAATTGTTTGTTGTGTTTTTTGAGAATGACTTTGGGGGTTCTTTTTTATTTATTTTTTTTTTTTGTGGAAAAAAAAAATATATCAACGTCGCATGAGGTGGCCCCATAGTCAGATGTTGTATTGATCTTACTTACCAGCAAACTTGAAATATCCCATGGACATAATCATATATCCATGCTCATGGATTCTGGGTCTAGGAAGAAAACTGTAAGTTCAAATTGGCATAACATTGGCACTTTATTGGCATTCATTGGCATAGTATTGGCATCGTCCAAGAAGGCTTCAGAGTAGATAAGCTCTTGATCGAGGCTTGGAAGTTGAAAAAAATCCATTCCCGCATCCCCAGATCGCTCGAGACCCGGTTTTCTTTCACGCGGGGGAGTTTCCACTTTAAAACTGGAATCTGACAGGCTGGAAGGTGATCGGCGGGCGCCCTGAGCCTGTATAGGCCCGACCGAAACTTCCACTAACCGACTCTGGCGAAGCCGGTCCGTCGACGCCGTTGCCCTGAGATGGGGCTGGTTTTGAGTCGCGTGGTATTCGTTCTTAGTGTGATAGGGAGGGTTTTTGATCGGAGGGATGTTGGCTTTAATGTCCGTGCAACGCAACCTTAGAGATGACGGAAGCCGCCAATGGTGATCAAGCGTGCTCTTTCGCGGAGCATTGGCTGAAGTGGGCCGCTTGCATGGATTGTCCAAATCACAAATCACAAATCACAATGACTGGGCGTAGCGGCTCGGCTGCAAGAGGTAGTCCCCAAAGTTTCCCTGATCCCAGGAGGTCAAGGCTCGGCGTCGATTTAAAACCGCCTGGCTTCCCCGCGTCGATGATCGCCTTTGTGTTCTTCGGTCCTGTACACTCCTAGCTCCGATCGAAGGTTGATAGAGAGTGGTCCTGTTTTCGCAAAGATGCAGACCAAACGTTTCCTGGGCCTGAATGGCACCAAGCTACAGGTCGCCATCGGGTTCCTGGCCGGCATGGATTTTCTTCTGTTTGGTTATGATCAAGGTGTCACTGGTGGCCTGTTGACACTCGAGTCTTTCGTCAAATACTTCCCCGAGATTAACACACTGGAATCATATACAGAGGGCTGGAGCTCAGCGGCGAGAAGCAACCAGTCAACTCGACAAGGCATCACAGTCGCAGCGTACAACTTGGGTTGTTTTGCAGGTTCGATTCCCACAATTTGGATCGGAAATATTCTTGGTCGTCGCAAGGCCATCTTTATCGGCTCTTTCATCATGTGCATCGGTGCCATTCTGCAGTGCACATCATATGGCCTTGCGCAGTTTATTGTGGGAAGATTGGTCACTGGCTTTGGTAAATCTCTCTGAGACGCTTTGAATGTTTTCGGTTCCCATTCACTAATGCTTCACATCAGGCAACGGAATCAACACCTCCACAGTCCCCACATGGCAATCCGGTATGTCAACATTCCCATCCCGAGTACCGTTACGCGATTTGATCCCAGGGTTGAGATCCGGAGGCCGGGTGAATCGACGATATACAGCATTGGCCAGAGCTGACGTGAAATAGAATGCTGCAAGTCTCACCGACGAGGTCAAATGGTCATGATCGAGGGAGCCATGATCACCTGCGGTATCACAATAAGTTACTGGATTGATTTCGGCTTAATGTTCGCCGACCCAAACGAAGTCGCATGGAGATTCCCACTCGCTTTCCAGATATTTTTCGCTGCAATCATCCTTGGCTTCGTCATGTTCTTGCCCGAGTCTCCTCGCTGGCTCATTTTGAAGGGTCGCGAGGAGGAAGCAAAAGAAGTTCTCGCATGCCTGATGGGTGACGAGACGGACGAGCTTTTCATCGAAACCGAGTTCACCGCTATCAAAGCTACTGTGCTGGAGATGGCAACGGGGTCTTTCAGGGACATGTTTACCATGGGCGAGGACCGACACTTCCACCGCACCATGCTGGCGTATGTCAATCAGATGTTCCAGCAGATTTCCGGTATCAACTTGATCACTTATTATATCCCAACTCTCTTGGAGAGTCAAGTTGGGTTGGATGCGACAACTTCACGTCTCATCGCCGCTTGCAATGGCACTGAGTATTTCATCGCGTCCTGGATTGCTGTTTTCACCGTTGAGAAGTTTGGTCGCCGATCACTGATGCTATTTGGCGCTGTCGGCATGTCAATTTCGATGGTGGTTCTTGCAATTTCGGACAGTATTTCTGCGAGCCACAAAGGAACTTCCACGGGAGTCAAAGCTGGTATTGCCCAGACTGTTTTCTTGTTTGTGTTCAACACTTTCTTCGCGATTGGATGGCTCGGAATGACCTGGTTATACCCTGCCGAGATTGTTCCGTTAAAAATCCGTGCTCCAGCCAATGCCTTGTCCACTTCCTCCAACTGGATTTGGAACTTCATGGTCGTGATGATCACCCCGGTTGCTTTTGAGAGTATTGGGTACAAGACATATGTCATCTTTGCTGTAATGTGAGTTACCCCTTCGTTTCATTGGACAAATTTCACGCTAACAACATTAGCAACGCCGCAATCGTGCCTGTGGTCTACTTCTTCTTCCCGGAAACAACCATGCGCTCACTCGAGGAAATGGATCGCATATTCCGCAAGACCACAAGCGTGTTCAACGTGGTTTCACTGGCGCGATCAGAGCCCCATATGTATGGACCGAATGGTGAACTGCTCCGCACTTTGGACGACGTCGAAGATGATGCTGTCCGCCGAGCCAGCGTTTTGAACAAAGAAAATAAGGCCCAGCAGCAAGCTCATACCCAACATGCAGAGAAATACAGTGATGGCAATACCAGCGAAGAGAGGTAGGTAAGAGAGCCTGTTCAACCTGCTTGAGATCCGTTTCTCGCGTGTGGCTCAACACTACATCCCTTACTTAGAATGGGATTTCGAGGCCATCTTATTTGACTGAACTCCTGTGTATATAATTCTGAGATAATAAATACCCTTGTTTTTACTGGATAATAGAAAATGCCTTGGCTCATAATTCGTGGACGCAGTTTAGGCCCAAATAGGATTCAAACGATCTATAGATGATATAGAATTTACCGGAATTGACTCCGTGCCCCCAATTTACACCACCTCTTTGTGATCGGCACCAGCGATTTCCTTTTTAGCACCCTCTTCCTTGCGGCGCTCAATCTCCTCCCCAAAGATATCACCAATCTTGTGACTTTTCCATGGCTTGACATCGGTCTCAAACACCAAGTCGATCTCTTCAAGGGACCGGCCCACAGTCTCGGGGTACATGAGGAACACATGAATAGTCATGACGCAACAGAACACTCCGAAAATGATATAAGTTTTCCACTGAATGTTGTGGAAGGCAGGAGCCACGAAATACGCCAGGGCGAAGTTGAAAATCCAGTTGGTTGCGGCCGAGACACCAACACCCTTGGCGCGGTACTTCAAAGGGAAAACCTCAGACGCGTAGATCCATCCGGTCGGAGCCTGTTATTGTTAGTTCAGAGTTCGGGAAGCCAGGAGAAGACATCACATACCCAGGTAAGGCCGTAGATACCAGTGAAGATGTATGAAAACGCGATGACGGCCATGCCGGCACTGCCTTTGATCTCCCAGGTCAGGTTGGCGTTTCCATTCACGTTCGGGACGGGTCTGCCGTGGCTTGCCATGGTACCGGCAATGATGAAGTGTACAATCATGCAGGTGACGGATCCAATCAGCAGTAGATTTCTGCGACCGACGCGATCGATGAAGGGAAGCATGACTCCTGTGGTGACCAAAAAGATCACGTACTGGATAGCAGAGGACCACAGTGTCGTGTTACCAGTCTTGATGGAATTAGCGAAGTGAACCCATTTTCATATCCGGAGCAAGTACTCACCATGCCAGCCATTTCAAAGATGTAAACAACATAGTACATAGCAACATTACCACCCAACAACTGCTGCCACATTTGAACACTCATTCCACACATGGTTCGCTTCCAAACGCGAGGTCCAAACAAGGCCAAAAAGGAAACATCCTTAGACTCGTGAGCGACACGGACTGCCTCGCGGACCTCCTCGAATTCAACCTGCACAACCGGATCATGACGATCACCATTGGCATGGATGATAGCCAAGGTATCCAAAGCCTCTTCCCAGCGTTCCTTCGACGCGAGCCAGCGCGGCGACTCGGGGAAAAAGAACAAGGCGATAAAGAGGATCAGACCAGGGACTGCTTGCACGCCCCAGCAAATCCGGAACGCAGCTGGTCCGGAAACACCCACCACGCAGCCATATGCAATCAGGTACATGATCAAGATACCCCATTCAATTGCCCATTGCTGGATACCCACCACACGACCACGGATCTTGGCGGGTGCCAGTTCAGATAGGTAGACGCATACTTGGGAGGAGGTAATTCCAACGGCCAACCCACTGACGACACGACCGGCAACCAGATGTGTTACGTTCTGAGCGCTGCATTGGACCATGGCGCCAACAATCCAAATTAGAGATGCAATCATGAGTGCGTATCGACGGCCAAGAATATCCGACAACCAACCCGCTGCGAGCGAGCCGGCAAATGAACCAGCCGACATCGATGCTGTGATCTATGAAAACGGTCAGTCTTTGTATCACTTTCATGGGTTGACAACTCATACTCCACCCTGCAAGTCGGAATTCGGAGAACCGAAATAATCTTTGTATGTGTCGACGCCAATCCAGGCACTCATTGAGCTAGGGCTCGGGTTAGAGGATGTTCCATTCTGCAAGGGAATGAGATCAAAACTAACCTCACATCGAACCCAAAGAGAGCACCTCCGATGGTGCCAAACGCGGCAAGCACTGTGATTCATTAGCACAATGTTGAAGCCTTTTCAAGTGGGATTCAACAAACCGTAGATATTTGTTATGGTATACATGATTGCAGATGCACCATCGAGATATCCCAAAGCACTGCGGCATGGCGTTTTATAAGTCATTTAGTGCAATCGGATCCACCTGGTCCATGCAGAGGTTCACATCTAGTTTCGAGGCATGGTACGACCTCGGGCCCGGGGGTTTCACCCCGGAGCGGGAAAAGATCAACGGGAAGCCAAATGTGGAGGAGGAGAAATCCCGGGGCTCAAAAGTCGGGGGTGGACACGGCGTCATTGGCGGGCCTGGTCCCTGCCGGGAGCCAGTCGGGGCATTTGTGTCTCTCTTTTTTTAACCGAGTCCTTTTTATCCGCGCGAATATCCCTAGCCGAATGTCTCTAATTGTCCGACTTGCTTTTTGCCTATTCTCTGTCTCATCTTCCCCCTCATATTCGAAATTGCAAACCGGGCCGTTTCGCACGGATCGGCATCCCGACGTCATGCATTTGACCCTGGAAGTTGATTGAAAAGGTGCGATTCAGGCTCAACCCTAAGTTGTATTTGTTTCTGTCTATGCTGGTGCAAACAGCTACCTTCGCAATGTTTCGGGAAAATGGAACACTACACTCAGATCGAACTTTCGACTTCTTCTTCCTGTGATCGTCGGGTTATTCCAGAGTCCTCGGGTATTCTGATGGCTTAAAGCAAGAATTGTTCCACTATCTTGATCTTCAGAAACTGGCCAGACTTCTCCCGATGGGAAGATTCACTTACATTCAATCACGGATACTTGTTGACAAATGAGAGGCTCAGAGAGTAAAGTCTAACAAATTGCTGGTTTCTAACGTCTCGGGACTGAGCCTATTGGCTACTCGTCCATATATGCCCGTACTCGTTGGCGTAACGCCATATGCAGGATTCCCTGGGAGCAACTGATGTGTTTGCGTGACCAGACTCTCACTCTATTCAGATGATATTTTGGTTTGTGTGAGAATATCTGTACTCGATTGGTTTTCAAGACATTTGAATCATCTCCTCGCGCCACGAGTCCAAATACGCCATTCCCGAGCACCTTCGAGCTATGGCGCTCTTTCTGAGATGGTGGCGTTTTTATCCGTTAGATCAATGCGCCACCAGCTCAATGGGCTCAAAACTGGCTGTGGTGAGATATTCTCGTTTATTTTGTTAGTCCCAGTAGGATTGGCGATAGTCGGGTAATTGATGAGGTTACAGTGTGGCCATATGACCGCCGGAATATTACCTTTTTGATAATTCGGCTGCTTGAGTCACTAAGCTACTCCGTACACAAAAATGAACTGATTCGTAATTTCTCATATCTTAAAACCAGATCTCACCCCGAAGTTCTTTTCATGTTACTATATCATAAATTGGAGCAGGTTTACTCGGAGGGGGATTTTTCCTGGGGAGCGAAGCTTGATGTACCACCGGTCCTCCATGGCTCAACCTCGAACTGAGCTGAGGCGAAGCTTAGATGCCCTGACGATCCCATGATCTTCTCCATATATGCACTAACATGGAAGTATACACTATGTTGGGACGATTCTTCTCGGCATAGTAAATTGGGCTAACCCCACGTCCACAACCTGTGGGGATATGTGGGGGATGCGGGAGTTGCCGATACACACTCCAACATCCCCGAGCCCCATGTCCATGCTTTGGTGTCATCCCTTGCTTCCTGGACTGTTGCTACTACTCGTAGGTAGCATTCAGGGCTTGCGAAACATAGGACTAGTATCGGTTGATGTGAGCCTGTTAGCCCCTGATGTCTGATGTCTTCGGGGGTGTATAATTGTGATATCCAACTTGAAAATGATTTTGAACTTTTTTTGTATCCACTCTATGAGATCTATGTGTATCTCTATGGGTTATGTCCAGCCGAAACAAATTAAAAAAATATACCGCATGAAAAAGCATCATACATCAGTCCGGGATTTACAGCTTGCTCTTCGCTGGCTCGTTCTTGAGTAAGGCAGAGTTCCAGGGGTAGGGGTCGAAGGTCAGATCGTTGACGGGGTTTTCCTGGCTAGCCCGACGGAAAAGGTCCTCGTAGACCTTTCCATCGTAGCGACCGAGACTGCTGTCCAATTGCCAATCGGGGATGGCCCATGCGTCGACCAAGCGAACGGCATGAGGACGAATGTCATCAAGGAGGTTCATGACGGCAGTAGTGCGGGTCAGGGTAATCTGGCGAACGGTCACAGCACCAGAGGCGAAGAACTCAGCGGCTTCGCGCTCCAGGGTGTGCAGGGAGAAGAGTCGGAAGAGCTTGTGCATGAGGCCCTTGGTCTCGGGGTCCAGGGAGGCGGAGAGTTGGGGAGAAGAGACGGCCTCGTAGAAGTTCTTGACGACGAGGTACTGAGAGTGGGCAGTGGACAGGCGCCAGAAGTCGACCAGCAGACTGTTCCAGGAGCGCTGCTCGGCGTCACGGTGCTTGAGGGCCTCGAAGGTCAAGTGAGCAGTGCGCCAGGCAAAGGCATCGACAATGTCCTTGTCTTCTTCGAGCACATCGAATGAAGCACCCTTCTCACGTCGGTCGAGGTATGCTTGCAGGATCCGGCTGGTATCATTACCGGCGGACTTGCCAGCGAGAACTCCACGAGCGGATTTCAGAAGCTATAGACATCATTAGTTCGATGGCCAACGGAAGATGAGTAAAATCAAAACGTACATAACGAGCGACCTGCTGGGTAAGCATATAATTATCACCTTCCCAGGTCAGAGTGGGGAGATAATCGGAGTACCAGGGGCCAATGCCGCTGTAGCTGCTGTATCCGTGACCACCGCATGCGCGACGGCAAATCTCCAGGCCTTCACCAGCAGTGGTACTGGCGAGGGCCTTGAGACCACAGGATGTGGCATGCAGATCAGCGAGCAGGTTGGCACCGGCGCGGAGCTCCTCGGGCCCAGCACCACGGGAGTCCTGACCAGGAGAGTTCGCAGCCTTCATGCGGCTTTGGTTCTCTTCATATAGACGCATCATACCACGACCGGTAAAGTGCAGAGCATACATCGAAGCCAACAGAGGCAACAGGCGGACCTGCACCATCTTATAGTTGAGGACCTGGTTCTCACCAGCGTGCGGTTCCGCATCACGGTCCTGGAACTGTCTTCGGACCGCACAGTATCGGGTCGCGATGGTGACACCGCGAGCGAGAACACCACCGGCCTGCAAAACGATGTTCGATCGCACCCAGGTCAAAGTACCAAAGACCAGCGAGGGCATCGCAGGCTTAGAATAGTGGTTTGTGGCCTTGTCGATGGAAGAGAAGCGGGCCAGCATGTTAACATGGGGGATCTTGACGTTGTTGAACAGCAAGAAACCGTTATCCATAGTGCTAGCGATAAGGTTAGCGAGTTGGTTCAAGCTTCATGGCGAGCGAGTACTCACTTGTAGCCAAACTTAGGGCCGATGTCGCCTACGTAGACATTGTCCAGGGGCTGATGTGTCTCCAAGTCACGGACCTGGACAACGAAGGGGTGGGGACCAAAGTTCTTGCCATCGATGAACAGCTGGGCCATAACAACGGCGTGGTTGGCGGTGCGACCAAGTGATCCGATCCACCACTTGGAAGCAGTCAATGTGGGGGAGTTGATGGTGAAGGTCTTATCGGCGGAGTTCCAAGTAGCAGTGGTTTCCAAGCCACGCACGTTCGATCCGTGGCCCAGCTCGGTCTGGGCGTAGCAACCGATGATCTCGTATTTCTGGGCGCGTTCGAGGAACAGCTTGTGCTGCTCGGGGGTTCCTTGTTCACGGAGGGTGACCTATTCGGACGTTGGCGGTTAGTATGGGATCGTCTGGCTAGTTGCTATTGACTCACCAGGAACATGCTGGCGTGCAAGCCATAGGGGGTGGGCTCGCCAATCAGCTCATTGGCGGCGTGAAGCTCTTCCATGGACCATTTGTGCTGCTCTGCCAGCTGCTGGAGGCGCTTGGCCTTGCCGAGCGACCGCTGCAGGCGCTCGACGCGGCCCAATGTGTGGTTCTGTGACTTGTCGAAGACCTTCTCAGGTTGGAGGAGACCCAGAAGATGTTCTTGACGCTGCAGGGTCTGCTTGGTGTGGAGCAACTCGGATAGTTTCTCAACATTCACATTCGACTGTGCGCGCTCCTGCTGAAGGAGCTCGGAGCCTTGGGGGCCAGCAGGCTTGAGGGCCTTGACCCAATCAGGGGGAGGAGTTGGCATGATGACTATATAAGTGTGTGTGGTGAGTGAAGAAGAAACCTAACCATGCAAAGTAGCGGAATGGAGGACAGTTATGAACCCCGGGGTAACGGTGACGTTTCCTATGGCCGAGGCTCTCGATTCGGAAAGAACCTCGGCTGAAAGTTTTGACCAATCAGAACAGCGGGACCTCCCCGTTGTCCTCTCGTCTCGTATACACTTCCAATTACATTGTACGGCATTTTAATTGTATTTATCAAATCTGCACTCCATACGGGTCTAAAACCAGAGCAAGACTGTCCCCCCACACAATGTTGGTATGGGGTAGCGGGGGACCGGGGAACAGAATATGAGAGAGCAGTCCGTTGATTGCATCGGCTTAGCGAGTCCCGAGATCATCCAACTTTTTTTCTTTTAGACTTTTGGTCATGCGGCCCTAATAGAAAGCCGAATGACCCCCTCGTATGGACGCAGTATTTTGATGTGACCTCGGCTACAGGAAACTCAGCGTTTGCATTGTTTGTTGTAGTTGTTTTACGGAGAACGCCGCATGGGACTATTTTCGGGATTTCCCACGGAAAAGAAATGTGTATATTCCCACGTGAAAAGATAATGTTCCCAGTCACAAAATCGTGCAGAAAGAACCCGATCGGATCTGATAAGCTGCCGATCCTTCACATGTTAACTGGCCTTTCCACGTGAACACGCGTGTCTACTCATTCCGCCTGACCTTGGACACTCGTGGCAATCCAAGCCAGGCTATCAGAATAGCACCAGATAGTCCAATGATGAAGGGTTGCAGCACTTGGACTCCCTTGGCTTGTGCCAGCACTCCCACCGCAAAGGGGAGAATTGCGGCACCACTGCCGCCAAATGCCGCGACAAACCCGATTGAGGCCACATGAAGGTGCCGGGGGAGGAGCTTGGTCACCATCACAACGGCTCCGGGGAACATGGGACCTAGGAAAAATCCCTGTAGCGAGACCGCAACGGCCGACGCATAGAAATTGGGAACGAGCCAGAGGATAAGCGCAAGGGCCATGGAGCAAACAATGTATATCTGGGAGGAGTCAGTCGGTATCATATATATCATGCTCTTGGATAGACTCACCGGGATAGAAATCTTCTCACCCACCCGGGGTGTCACAAACCCGAGCACGATCCGTCCAACCGTGATACCAAGCCAGAACCCTGTTGCTGTCATACCGCTTGCAAATGCACCACCGTTGCGAACTCGAATCATGAAAGTGACGATCCATCCACCGAGAGCAACCTCCACTCCCACGTACCCCAACAAGAACAGTGCACATAACCATGTCACTCGGGCAGAAGGTCGCTTGAACAACGCACGCTTCAGACCCCCTTGTCGGTTCTCTTCGGCGGACTGTGTGTTTGCCGCTAGGAAGTCGGCAGCCCGAGCATTCCAGAAGCATGCTCCACACACTAACAGTTCGACGACCGCACATGCCACCTAACTATTAACTCGGGGTCCTTAAATCAGCCGAAGCCTTGGATACGGTCACTCACCATGACATAATAAAAATAGTACCACGGCAGATTGGCACTGGCAATCATCGACGTGGCAACCAATGGACTCATTACTGCACCGGCTCCATAGAAGCCATGCAGGAGTCCCAGCATCTCATTAGCATTAGCCATATTGCCGATCCACGCATTCCAGCCAGCATCTTCGAGTCCATTACCCAATCCTGCAAAGATATATGCAATAACCAACACTGGATAAGGTGGGTGAACGCAGCTGATCACGTAGGCAATGAGATGGCTCATCGGCGCGATGATAGCTACCCCCCTTTGACCGAATGTACTGTGGATGCGGTGATTGAGAAGAGCGGCGGCTGCATAGCCGACCAGAGGTGACAGAAACACCAGCGAAACGACCGTGTACGATAATTGATAGTATGACTCCAACTGCGCACCGGGTGAGATTCAATATGATTCATCCATGGATTAGGGGGACTTTTCTTACATAGGGAATCAAAGCCTTCAATTCGTTAGCTATGATTTGATCAATCCGCATCATATGGATCACTCACACCATATGCCGCATCATTTGCGCCCATGACCATGAAACACCAAAATGTTGCCAATGTTCGCTCTATGTTGAGGCGAGACTGGTTCCATTTCTCCAACTGAGGAAAGCTTTCTGCAGGGTCATCTGGCGGTTCATCAGACCTCTGACCGTGTGGTAAAGCCTCGAGAGCGATGAGGCTCGCTTGATGCTGTTCTTGTATCACACAAGTCGTTGACATGGCGTATGGATGATTTGCTACCAGTGTGCAAGATGAAAAGAGGCTTTCTTTGTACTCTTACAAAGCGGAGAAAGCTCCTGGCTGCATAAGGGTCCTCTTCCAAGGTTGGGGTGGGAGGGGACTATGACGCCCCGCATTCGTCAAAAAACGCTTCGGTAGAACATCGGCTATTCCCTTAGACCCTGAATCGGTGCCTAGATGTGTCTGATGTGGGGAAATTTGACTCGGCTCTTCATCTTATATACGCATCTCCATTTGATCCGGAAATCACAGCAATTACTTAACTAGCAAAAAACTTACTTGTACAAAGGTACCTACTCAGAAGACCACCCGTCTCGAAATAAACATTTTTAAGAACATTTTCAAGAGTCGGGGCCCCATGCACACCTGGGCATACGGTAAATTCAGAGCTTTTGAGAGCCTCATGAACCAGATTACGAAATTCAATTTTTTTTCCGCAATGTGACATATTTTGGTCCGAGAATTTGGTGGCTTTGTTTCTCCACCAATCGGGATATCTTCGTTCATAGATAAATACAAGTAAAGCCCCGTCTAAAAAGACCATCGAGGTAATGCATCATTGACCAGAAATGAGTTGCATTAATCCCATCATTCCAGGTTTCAACCCTGACCCTTCAATTGTGTGTGTTGGCGAGGACTTTTTCCTGGTCACATCAACTTTCGAATATTTCCCAGGAATTCCCATATATCACAGCAAGGACCTGGTTAAATGGATATTGATAGGCCATGCATTGACTAGGCCTAGTCAGCTACAGATCCACACGCCCGAGCCGGGGGGAGGTGTCTGGGCAAGTACAATCCGGTACCGCGAGGGTGTCTACTACATCGTGGCAGCAAGCTTTCAGCGATATCGGCCTCAGTCGGATGACCGAGTCTGGCCCCAGGGATTTTGCGTTAGAACTCCCAACATATGGGACGATGCTACATGGTCCGATCCGATTTACTTTGACCAAGTTGGGTTCGATCAAGACGTAAGTTGTCATATAAATTTTTGGGAATGAAGTAAACATTAACTGTGATTCAACTGCCGGTAGCTCTTTTGGGATGACAGTGGCACGGTATATCTATCTTCTACTTATCGAAAGCTCGAACCTACGCCAGGCCCGAAATTGAAAGATTTTGCAATCCATATTTGCACCGTAGACTTGAACACCGGGAGGTCTACCTCTGAGCCCAAGCTCATCCGCGAGTCATCATCCGGCGTTGCAGAAGGATCACATATCTTCAAACGTGGACGATATTGGTATCTTTTCACCGCGGAGGGAGGTACCGAGAGTGGCCACTGCGAATGGGTCAGTCGCAGCACGAGTGGTCCCATGGGACCATGGGAAGTGGGGCCTAATAACCCTCTCTGGCGGAATAGCACCGAAGACGAAGTCCAGAACACCGGGCATGCGGATTTGGTTGAAGATCCCCGTGGCCAGTGGTGGGCCGTTGCACTAGGAGTTCGCCCCGTCCGACTGGATGGCAGATGGGAAGAATCGGTGCTAGGTATGTTGCGTTAGAAGACTTGCGTGAAAACAATACTGACTCGTATAGGGCGAGAGACATTTCTGGCACCGGTGGAATGGGTAGACGGTTGGCCTGTGATCAATGGGGGTGAAAAATTCGGGTTGACTTCACACGGTTCCGGTCTTTATCAGATCGAGGCCGCTGTCACCTGGAGAGACGAATTCGCAGGCCCTCGGATGGCATTGGGTTGGTATCGAAAAAGTGAGTGGGCGACAAAGCGGAGAGACGAGCAATGGTGACTGATTGAAAAAGATACGCCATTGGTCAATGATTATTCACTGACTGAGAGGCCGAATCATCTCCGCCTTTACGGAGGGCCTTACAATCTGTCAGTGCCAGCTTGCCCAACGATGTTTCTTCGAAAACAGACCTACCGGTGCTGTACATGGGAGACCAGTCTGTCATTCCAACCCACCTCAAAGCACACCGAAGCTGGGACAGTGGTCTGGATGAATTATTTCACGTACAGCACCCTGGGGATCCGCAAAGATAACGCTGGGCGATACCTTCGATTCCAGCCACCAGATGGGAATTTTGCGGATCACAGACTGGGGCCAGCGACGACATTGACATTGATAGTTGATTGTGGTGCTGAATATAAATTTGGCTATCTTGAAGACGCAGAGCCCGATGTTCACTGGATTGGCTCAATCTCGAACGCAAGTATAACAGCTCCACCGCCGGTTGGGGCAAATTTCACCGGCGTGATGTTGGGGATTTACGCATTTGGAGAGCGTCAAAGATGCCTTGTACCAGCCGATTTTGCATATGCTGAGTTCAGATAGAATCGAGGAGCAGTGAGAGCTTGAATGTTGCAGTGAGGTTGTGATGAGACTATAGTCTAGCCCCTTCAATTCAAGTTCACTCAAGTATCATTGAATGCGTATTGACCTCTGGAAAGATGCCCAAAAGCGTAGGTGCCATATGGGCAGGTGACACTTGCCCAAAAGGGTGCTGAGTAATATGATTACATAAATGGAGCTTCAACCAATCACAATCACGCGGTCCATCTCACCCCGGAGCGTGCCTAACTGACTAAGCTTTCAAACTTGAGTTCTTTTCTGTCGCGTCCTCTCCCTCTCCCTCTTGCCCTTCCATCCGCGCACAGCTCTCAACCGCCCTGGATCCTCTGTCTTAATACTCATAACCTGCGCGCAATCAACCTATGACTTCGTGAATACCCGACAACTCCAACCGACAATGTCTTTCGGAGGATTTGGAGGGTTTGGTTCCAACAACCAAAGCAGCGGCTTTGGGACAGGTTCTGGCTTCGGTACTAGCAACAACAACACTACTGGAGGTAGGTCATTTCTTTTTTTCTTGTCTCAATGGAACTTCTGGAATCTCTGGAGCCCATCCCCCCTTTCACTGTCCTCGGCGTTTCCCTATCTCGACATCCGGTGCTCTCGACCTCGGCCTACGATGGTGCAACCCACGCGCAAGGAAAATCATTTCAACTCAACGATCCTTGCTGTGCCATTGAAAATCACCCGTGGACCGTCTGTGTGCCTAGGCGACACCACGACAAGATAAGGAATGCCAGGGCATCATCGGAAAACCAGTCCCTCTGACCGCGATCCCCTCCGTTATCTAGGCTTTGGCTCGACAGCATCCCCCTTCGGAGGTACCAGTGGAACATCGGGAACTGGTGCTTTCGGTGGTGGCACAAGCACTGGCTTCGGATCTGGCACCGGCACCGGCACCGGCGGAGGTACGTTCAACTTTTGGGAGTCGCGCTGTTTTTTTTGGCCCCGGAATCATCTGGCCCGGTCTGCCGTCGCAATACATCAAATTTCAACCGATGATATTCCATACTGTGTCCACGGATACCCCACGAGTCCTGCCATTCCTGCGTCGATCGCTGAACCGGACGACACGCCTAGCCAATCATTTCTCTCTATCTTCACCTATCGACCTCCCTCGATATATGGACTTGCACTTCTTGTTGTTCTGTAAAATCCTCAATTTCGGTGACTAACTTTCGTCTTTCCTCTACAGGTTTCGGAACCACCACACAACCTCAAACCAATTCACTTTTCGGATCTCAACCCCGCCCTGGTGGCTTCGGCGCAACAAACACCACTAATAGCGGAGGCATGTTCGGAAACACCCAGACCGCTGGCGCCACTGGGGGCTTCGGCTCCACAGGATTTGGCTCTGGTGGAACCACTGGCGGTTTCGGCACCAACACCAATACCACCTCCAACACAGGTGGAAGCCTTTTTGGCGCGAGCAAGCCAGCTGGCTTTGGCACTTCGACTACAGGTACTGGTGGATTCGGCTCTAGCGGCGGCGGCTTCGGAGCTGGGGCTGGCGCTGCCGCCCCCACTACCGGCTTCGGTGGCTCAGGGACTGCTTTCTCACAACCGGGCGCTGCCGCCACCTGCGAGGGAACTGGAAGTACCCCATTCAACGCCTTCACCGAAAAAGACAATGCCTCGAGCGTAACAAACCACTATCAAAGTATTTGCTTCCAGCAACCTTACACCAAGTTCTCTTTCGAGGAGTTGCGTCTCGCTGATTACCAGCAAGGCCGTCGCTTTGGCAACGGCAGTGGTCAGGCCGGTGCCTTCGGCTCATCGGCTTTCGGTAACACTGGATTCGGTGCCCAGCAAAACACCACTCCTGCTACTGGTGGTTTTGGCGCTAGTGCCACTCCATTCGGCGGCGCTGCCACAAGTGCGCCAACTGGCTTCGGTGCGACCCAGACAGCAGGCGGTTTTGGCTCCACGAACTCTAACCCACTGTTCGGAGGGGCGGCCAAACCGGCAGGAAGTACTTTATTCGGTGCTAATACCACACCAGCAGCCTCGACAGGGGGAATGTTCGGTGGCGCCACACAAACTACTCCCGGAGGCTTTGGCAGCAACACTGGGACTGGAACTGGAGCATTCGGCAATACTGGCGGTGGCATCTTCGGGGCTAACAACCAACAACAAAATAAGACCGGATTCGGGGCAAGTGGCAGTACTGGCGGCGGATTCGGTTTTGGTAACAACACCCAAACTACTACCGCTGCCAACCCATTCGGAGCCTCAACTGCGACGGCCTCGCCATTTGGTGGTGGTGCGCAACAACAGACTACCGGCGGATTTGGCGGGTTCGGCAATACCACGCAACAAAACCAAAACCAAACTCAAAGTAAACCCTTGTTTGGAGGCGGTGGTGGATTCGGCTCTACCACGCAACAGCAGGGTACCGGTACCGGCATTCTCGGCGCTGGTGCCAGCACGACTCCCGCCACAGGAACCTCCCTCTTCGGTAATAATCAGCAGCAGCAGCCGCAACAAGCCGGTGGATTGTTTGGCAACACACAGAACCAGCCAGCAGGATCTTCCGGTGGGTTGTTTGGCAACACGCAGAACCAGCCAGCAAAACCAGCCGGTGGGGGTATGTTTGGATCGACCCCAGCTCCCACAGGAGGCGCCTTCTCTGGGTTCGGCGCCTCTACAACCCAACCAGCCGCTGGCGGTGGACTCTTCGGCAATACCCAGAACCAGACACAGCAAAAGCCTGGTGGTTTCACTGGATTCGGTACTAGCACCAACTCCGGCACTGGTAGCTTGTTCGGCGGCACCCAAAATAACCAAACCCAAAACACGGGTGGGTCCTTGTTCGGGGGTAATCAAAGCCAGCAACAGCAACCAGCTGGCAGCAGTATGTTTGGCAATTCTCAGCCTGGTCAACAGTCGCAACCTGCCCCAGGTAGCTTCCAAGCTTCTCTTCTTGACGGAAACCCCTATGGAAGCCAGTCTATCTTCTCGGGTCTGCCTGCCCCCAGTGGGTCGACACCTGGACCCCTGGCGACTCCACTGTCTTCTAGCATGAAGCAGAAGCAGCGAACCCCCCTGCCAGTGTACAAGATCACCCCCAATGCTTCCACCCGCCTGATCACCCCACCCAAGCGTGGCTATGGATTCTCTTACTCCACCTATGGATCACCCGCCAGCACTACTGGCACCCCCTCTGGTCTGAGTAACAGTCTTCTGGGTGGCGGAGGTAGCAACAGTCTCCGCGGAAGCATCAATGGTAGCGTTGGTCGTAGCTTTAGCAAGAGTTACTCCACCAGCAACCTACGCAAGACTTTCGACCCTGAGTCTGATAGTGTTCTTTCGCCGGGTGCTCTCCAGGCTGGCAGTACGCGTAGCAACTCCGGCCTCAAGCGCCTGACTATTGACCGTGGATTGAGAAACGATCTGTTCTCTAGCCCTGCTGCTCGCGCCTCGCCAGCACCTCTTCTCACCAACGGGGAAGACGCCGGTCAGTCTAGCGACAAACTCAAGAAGAAGGTTAGCTTCGACTCGGCTTCTTCTGGTGCCAACGGTGGAGAACTTGTTCGCACCGAGCCAAAGAGCCCGGAGCCATCTGCACAGGAGCTCGGATTCCTCCGCTCCACTCGCAAGAGTGGTAGTCTTAACGGAATCGACAGCGCTGCCTCCTCTTCCTCCCGTCCTGAAATGGAGTCTGTGAGCCGCGATCTCGCTGTGGTCCCTGAAAACGGACCGGCTACTACCAATGGTGCTACAGTCAAGCGTCTCACTTTCATCCCTGGCGGTGATCCCAAGCCTGGCGATTACTGGATGCAGCCATCCCGCTCCGAGCTCAGCAGATTGACCCGGGATCAGCTCAAACAAGTTGTTGACTTTACTGTCGGACGTTCAAACTGTGGATCCGTTACCTTCGATGGCCCTGTCGATCTGACTGGTATCGACATTGACAACCTATTTGATGGCCTGGTGGACATCAATCTTCGCAAGATCACCGTTTATCCCGACGAGTCCATCAAGCCCCCCATGGGCAAAGGTCTGAACGTGCCCTCAATCCTGCGTATCGAGAACTCCTGGCCTCGCGGTAGAGACAAGAAGAGCAACTCGCCACTCACCACCGGTCCTCTCTTCGAGAAGCACATTGAGCGTTTGCAGAAAGTGGGCGACACCGAGTTCATCAACTACGAGACAGAGACTGGAACGTGGATCTTCAAGGTGCCTCATTTCACCACATATGGCTTGGATTATGACGACGAAGAGGAGAGTGAGCTTGATCAAAGCACCTTGAGTGCCCCGGGTCCTGAGCACGCTACCCCTAAGGCCCACTTCGACCAATCTGTCAACTTCGACCAGTCGACCACTTTCTCCATCGACGAGTCATTCGTTGGATCACAGATGGGTGTTGACGATGATACCTTCGATTTCAAGAAGCGCAATCTCGTTTCCGGCTTTGTCCCTGGCTCATTCGCCGGCCAGGCCTCACGGACCGAGGAAGAGGATTTGTCCGAGGGCGAGACTGAGCAGTCTTTTTTAGAGGAAGGCTCCACGGGTTCAACTACTGAGAATGATGATGACATCGTCACCGAGAGCCAACTGTCTGGCGATTCGGTTGTTGGATCAGATGAGGCAGATGTTATGGAAATTGCGGGTGCGTTTCCTACTCCTCATCGCACCGTGGAGCACGAAGACTACCAGAGCACCAATGGTGATCTGGAGACCACTCACCCCTTTTCCAAGCACTTCGGCAGTCCCGCGAAGCCTCAGCTTGATCTCAGTGGCGACTGGGCCGAGCAGCTTCAGCGTACCATCAGCCCTCGGAAGCAGAACCGTGACGCCCTGCGTGAAATGCAAGCAGATGCTTTCATCGATCGCAACTTGGTGAGCGACGAGTCCGCAAAGATCACAAATCCATCTCCAAAGAAAGGGTTCTCAACCAGCATGGATCTCATGCAATCTTTGTTTGGGAAGCAACCCGACCAAAAATTTCCCTCTCCACTGAAGGCCTCCAAGCCTCAGCTCAAGGGCCCTGAGGTTAGAATCCCCTGTTTATGTCCCCATTGATTTGAATTTCTTTGTCATTGTCCCCCCCCCCCCCCCCCCCCCCCCCCCCCCCCCCCCCCCCCCCCCCACCCCCCCCCCCCACCCCCCCCCCCCCACCCCCCCCCCCACCCCCCCCCA